TTTATATATTACTTATGAGATGACAGGGATTGAGTAAATTGCAGTACTGCATTTTTAATGTACTCTCCCTGCTGTGCATAGAATGATCTCGGGATGAAATAAAGAATATGGTCTTATTCACCTCTTTGAAAACAAACAAACCATCTGGGATTAGGAATTAAACTGAGATCCTGAAATGGAAAGGAAGAGTGTAGTTTAGAGCACTGATTCTCAGCCAGGAATACTCAGAGGTCTTCCAGGGGCTACTCAATTCATCTAGATCAATGTTTCTCAACTTCAGGGGTTCAGCCCCCTGGGGTGGAGGGTCATCAAGAGATGTGTTGGGGGGGTCACAAATGCAGGGGTTGGCAAGCAGGGCAACTGCCCAGGGCCCCATGCCACAGGGGGCCCTGCAAAGCTAAGTTATATGCTTCAGCCCCAGGCAGCAGGACTCAGTTTTCAGATAAGGCTCACAAGCCAAAAATAGGTTTCAGAGTAGCAGCCATGTTAGTCTGTATTCACATAAAGAAAAAGGAGTCTCTAAGGTGCCACAAGTACTAACAAATTTATTTGAGCATCAGCTTTTGTGAGCTACAGCTCACTTCATCGGATGCATTCCACTGAATAAATTTGTTAGACTCTAAAGTGAAAAATAGTCTCAAGTGTCACACTGTAACAACCAGCTGAACGTGAAGGGAACAAAGACTCAAATCTTAAGTTCTCTGTAATTTAGTAAGAATTTGTGCAAATTGTGCATAAGAGGTGAATACGCCCATGTTTTTTATTTCACTCTGAAAACATCCTATACACAGCAGGGGAGTATATTAAAAATCCAGTAATACAATTTACTCAACCCCTGTTGTCTCATACATAATATATAAAACCATCCTTTTAGACATAGATAACTGGGATTCTAGTGAACTATTGTTCCCTGAAACAAGAAACACTCCCCTGACCTGAGGAAGGACAAAGAATATGACTTACAGTTTTGGGAACCAAAAGGTAACAAAGGCCAAACTGGAGCTACCAGAATGAAAATAGTTCTTCGTGAGTACATGAGCATAGGGCAGTGGTTCTCAAACTGTGCATCAGGATCCCGTTTTAATGGGGTTGCCAGGACTGGCATTAGACTTGCTGGGGCCTGGGGCTGAAGCCAAAGCCTGAGCCCCACTGCCTGGGACCCAAGCCCAAGGCTTCAGCCCTGGATGGCGGGGCTCAGGCTACAGGCCCCCCGCCTGGGGCTTAAGTCCTAGGGCCTCGGATTTGGACCCCTCACCCAGGACTGTGGGGCATGGGCGGGCTCAGGCTTCGGTCCGCCCTCCTGGGATCATGTAGTAATTTTTGTTGTCAGAATGGGGGTCATAGTGCAATGAAGTTTGAGAATCCCTGGCCTAGGGACTGAGCAGAAAATGGAACTATGAACCAGACTTAAATCCAGGGATATGACAAAAAAATCCACTCTTGACGATTTCCTAGAAGCTGGAAAAGGAAGACTTCATCTTAGTATTGCAATTAGCAACCACCATATTCATTTGGAAGGTATTAGTGTTTGCCACATCAATTAGCACCTTAATTGAAAAGGTGAGGATATTTAATCTTTAATAAAGGCTTCCTTTATATATTTATCCAAAATATCAGGTGTTAAATAGTTTTAGTCTCTCTGAATAAAAATCCTTTTCCTTTTCAAATTGCTCAACTTCCACCATTTTGGCTCTAATGGGGCCACCATTTCACTAGTTTCCCAGTCAGGGTCTTTCAGCATAGAGATCTTTTGTTATTTTTAATGTTAAAAAAACAAGAAGGATTTTTTTTCTTTTAAAACATTTTCCTAGTCCTCCATATACATCATATATAAAATATGCACATGCCCTTTTTCTCGCTTAGCAGATGACCTTTAAGAGATGCATCAACTTAGAATCTACTCAACTTCAACAAAATACTTTTAAATAGCTTCAATTGCTATAATTGCCAAGTTATGAAAATTTCCCTAATAATTGTATTAAGGTTTGCCATGACTCAGTTTCCATACAAGCATTCCTTTATTAGTTCAAAGGCCACTTGGGTGCAAGTTACATCCAAAATAGCAATATAAGAATATATCCTTATATTCTATGCCCTAACAATAATAGAGTTATAAGCTTTGGCCAAAATGCTTACAATAAGTTCAGGCTCGGGAGACACCTTCCCCACATCATGGCATGCCTCCAGAAGGCTAAAGAAAACACTGACAAAAACTCTAGGAAGCCTTACTTTTTATGCACTATAACAAGTGATATCACTGCCGATTATTGGGCCTTAGCTAAAATCAGCTGAAGCAGTTCAGGGCTGCACCATACTTTATCATCTCACTTTGCCATATTTTTCCCTAGCTGCAAGACTTGACTAAGCATTTGTAAATTATTATTTACTGGTTTATTTACTTTATTTATTTATTTATTGAGCTGGTGCTCAATTAACCATGTTTTCTTTATTTCTATTGCTTAGCTCAAACCCTCAATAAGGTAACAGGGTATTTCCAGGGCCATTACAAATTTTAAGATAAACAATCCCTCTCATTTTTTCTGGTTGCATGCTTCAGACTTATCACTTTGGTTAAAATCAAAATAATATAAAATCATAGTTTACTTAGGTCTAATGTAGGCCTATAGGCCTACACCAAGACTTCCCAATTTTGTGGCTTTGCAAATCATATTTATCTTTACTGTGTTTTCTAGCCTACCATGTGGATGGGTAAGACACCCCTATAAACCAAGTCTTACTGATTATATAGTCAGTTTCACTTCTTTCCCTGTATAGAGTGATGTCAAATGCAAAGTAAAACTGACAAATAATTCTCTAGCTATTTCTAATATTTCAAGTACAGTAAACTTAAGTGTCGTTTGCAGCAATAGTACATAAAATAATTTCAGAAGTGTGATTTTTTTAAATTGAAGTCTTATTTTAAATTGAATGGTTTATCACACATTGTTGGGCAATTCTTAAGGTAGTCTGCAACACTTTTTTAAAGTTACTTTATCATAGCTAGGCTTTTATGAATCCACAACAGTGGCAATTCAGTTCAATTCGTACTATTTTAGAACACAATAAAACACTCAGAAATGCATGTATCAAGGACACATGATGATTAAGGTATGGCTAGTTGGGCTGACTAGTGAAGAACACATACTTAACTAAAAAGAAAAGGAGTACTTGCGGCACCTTAGAGACTAACACATTTATTAGAGCATAAGCTCACTTCATCGGATGCAGCTCACAAAAGCTTATGCTCAAATAAATGTGTTAGTCTCTAAGGTGCCACAAGTATTCCTTTTCTTTTTGTGAATACAGACTAACACGACTGCTACTCTAAAACCTGTCATCATACTTATCTAAGCAGCACCACACAATACTTCAATTTTATTTTAATTAACTTTAGTGTAATTGTTTAGTGTAATTGTTTTGTTGGATTTGGGAGAAGTGTTCAACAGATGGATCTTCAAAATCGTTCACAAGCGAAAACGCAAGTCACAGATTTATTGCATCTTTAAAAAAATGTTTTACACAAAGCAAAAGAAAACCAGATGAAAAATAATTTTAGAATACTCCTAGAGTAACGGGAATTAGTGTTTGTTTTCTGTTCTGATACATATGAACAAAAGTAAACACATCACTAGTTTTCTCTACTACTGCATTCAGCTGCATGGAAGACCATAAAATGGAAAATATATTGCCATTTGCTATGCTGGTTAAGAAATTTCCTCATCATTGGAAATAAAGATAAGTATACTCCCAAAAGAATTGAAGTAAGGCTAATGGCACACACTGACAAGTAAACTTTCCCCTCTAATCAGAGAGGGGACCAACTGCAACAGCAGTCACAGAAACCTAGCTTCAGAAATGCTTAGAGTAGACCCTCCTATTTCAACATCAGGCAGTGGAAAACTTACAGTAACTCTGAAACCCATCAGTTTCATCACCTCCCTAACAACAACTGTTCTCTTAAACCAGAGAAAGTGATGAGAAAATATCTTTGACAAGAAAAGCAAGATACCGAAATACACAGTAAAAATGAATGGTAAACTAGTACTCAAAGAACATAATAAACTGTAAAGAATTACTGACAAGCACCTTAGTTTGAAAAACTTGGGTAACAATCTAAAAATATAAGTTCATTTTCCATTTACTCATTACATTAATTAAAACAGAAATACCACACCTAACAAAGCCACTTTTGCCTGAATAATCCACACTAGAACTGTTTGTTTACCTCACCTGAGGAAGCAGCAGCCAACACTACAATAGTGTATGGTGCTTCTAGCCCAGAGACTATTTTTATTTAGTGTTACAAAAGTAGCACTATTTCAGTAGAGATACTTGTTGAAATACAACACTGCACTGTCAGAATTTCATGGGTCATTTCCCTAGGCAGCATCAGGTTGCTACAAAGCTGCTGCCACTGGTTCATCAGAGGAGATCACAAAAAAGATCCTCTAAAGTTCTCTTCAAGAGCAACTCTTGTGAGGACACCAAAGATTTCCTACAATAAAACAGAGGTAAACAGGGATGGGATGAGGGCAGTGACCACATGGACGTGAACATCTGTCCCATGTTTCAAATAGTACCAGGCAGTTACTAATGCCTGCCTTTGTCCATCACTAAAAAGTGTACAGAGACTATTCACACGTGTACAGAAAGACTGCAGCAACCATTAGAGGGTGAGTGAGGGAGTGAGGCGCTCAGCCTAACGAGGCCAGGGGCCACCACACTCCAGTAGGTGGCACCGGGGGAGAGGAGGGGTACAATCGGATCACCAGTGAATACACAGGGCAGTAGCGGAGACCGCCGGTGGCATCGGGAGTCTGGCTCAGAGGAAATCCCGATCACGGGCCATCGGAATGGTAGAGGCGGCTGGTCCCTGCGCTCCTCCGGCAGTGACACGGCCCGCCTCTCACACAGGCGGAGCCATTAACTGCCCGCCAAAGAAAGCGCAACCAAACCAGCGCTGACACGTCGGGATCCCCCCCCGCCCCAAGGGCAGACACAGCACCGCCTCCAGCGCCCAGGCTCCGGGTAAAGAAGCTCCAGGAGCGGGATCCCGTAGTCCGCGGGGGGCGGGCGAGCTGGACTCGGAGCCCAGGAAGGGGAGAAGGGCTCCGGCAAAACGCAGGACGCGCTCCCCAGGGCTGCCGGTGAGAGGAAGGGACCCCAGGCAGGCTCAAAGGGAGGTGGGCAGGTAGCACGGCTCATCGCCCGCATCAAGAAATGAAGGGCGGGACCGGCAGGGCAGGGCGCCCCATAGCTAACGGTGGGGTGCAAGACAGGGCGGAAGGGCAGCGGGGCGCGGCCCAACGCAACGCCCGCCGCGGGCGGGAGGCTCCGATGGCTCAGCGCCGCCGAGGGGAGCCATCTTAGGGAGAAGCTGCTGCGCCTCCCAGCCCGTCGGAAAAGAGCGCCTCTCCCCTCCCCCACTCCCTGGAGGACCGGGCCGGCCTCCCCCAGCACGGCCCGGGCGGGCTCGCCACTCACCCTCCCCTCGAAGTTATTCTCCTCTACGTCGCTCATGGCGGTGGAGTGCTGGTTGCTGCGCTCAGCGATCGGGGACGCGAGTCCCGGGCAGCGGCCTCCTTCCTGCCTCCCTCCCCGCAGAGCCTCCGGACCCGTCCTGTAGACAGCGGCGGCAGCGCAAAATGGCGCCTCTGCCTCCTCTGCGCCCGACACCGCGCAGGGGGGCGGGGCCGCCCCGCCAATCACAAAGGAGGCGCCCGCTGCGGGCGGGAATGGGGAGGTGATTGAGGTGAGGCCCCGCCCCCGGCCTTCCGCCGGCCCGCACTGAGGCGTCGGAAACTGGAGCGAGGAGAGACGCTGTCCTCATTTATCCTCTCGTGCACGCACCCGCGGTGTGCACCGGCCCCCTGCAACACACAGGGGACTTGTACGATTCCCTCGCACAGTCAACACGCACCGCTGCGTGCATGCCGCTCCCCCCACCGCAGTTTGTACAAGCTACCCCCTAAACACACAACATAGACCACCATGCATGAGGCGCCCTACACCCAACACACAGCAGCGTGTATGAGCTCCCCGCTCCCCCTCCTCCCCGCAGCCACAACACAGCGTGTGGGGACTCCTGCATCTCACAGTGTGTGTATAAGAGAGTGAGATGAGAGCCTGAGCAGGCCACTACGTGTGCGGGGGCCTCTGGGCATGTGTATGCGCTGTGCTTTTTTTTGGAGGGCGGGGGGGGGGGGTTGTGCATGCTAGCGTGTGTGTGCGGTTGTGGGGGCTTTGCATATGGCAGCATGTGGGCGCATTGAGGAGAGCATTGTGTGCAGGTAGATGTGTGTGTGTGTGTGAAGAGGAGACGCGGCGCACACTGGTGTAGGGGGTTGGGTATGCCAGTGTGTGTGTGCCTTCTGTATGCCAGTGTATGTTGGAGGAGAGTGTTGTACAGACCAGTGTACGTGTAAGGAAGCAGAGCCTCATAAACATTAGTGTGTGGTGAGGAGAGAGAGGTGGGACCTCATGAATGCCAGCATCTGGGTGTGTGTGGAGGGGATGGGCCCCCACACACACTGTTGTGGGGGGCTTCATGCACACTGATTAGGAAGACCACCCATCTTTTATTTCAAAGGACCATCCATATTTCATTGATTTGTTCCTTAGGGTTACCATCCATCCTTTATTTTAAGATGAATTGAAATGTATTTAAACTGATAAGTACCATTTTAAACATTAAATTGAAGCTTAAGATAATTGCATTGTATACTTGAGGGCAGTAGAAATATACACTTGAGAGGAAAATACATGATATGCTAAGGAAAAAAGTGTTTCCTTAAAACATCTCTTAAAATAAAGCGTTGACCCTTATTTTTCATGTGGTTTTCCCTTATTTCTATCCAATAAAGGTGGTCACCCTAACACTGATGAATATGTTGAGGGAAACTCTGGACATTTCTGTGAGGGAGAAGAGGACTGTGCACATCAGCATGTGTCTCTGTGACAGTAGTGAACTCCTACACATTGATGTGTGTATAATGGGGGGTTTTACACACCGCAGTATGTGATGTGGGCGCTCGCCAGTGTGTGTTGTATGTGTACGTGGTAGGAGGCTTGTACACACTGATTGTGTGTCGGGGCAAAGGGGCTTGTACGCACACCAATGTGTGTGGTGAAGGTATAGGTGGTAGAGAACTCATACACATTGATGTGTGTGATGGGTGACGGGGTTTGTACACACTCGTGTGTGTGTAGGGGGCTTGTACACAGTGATGTGTGTGGCAAACGGGTGTGTACTGGAATGTATAACACTCTCCCCCAACGTACAGTGGCATACATAAGGCACACACACACACTGGCATACACAACACTCTACACCAGTGTGTCCCTGTCCTCTTCACACACACACACACACACACAGACATCTGCCTGCACACAGTGCTCTCCTCAATGCGCCCACATGCTGCCATATGCAAAGCCCTCAACTGCACACACACGCTAGCATGCACAACCCCCCCCCCAAACTGCATGGACATACACATGCACAGAGCCCCCCACAACTGCACAGACATAATATCCTGCTCAAGCTCTCATCTCACTCTCTTTTCATACACATATAGGGTTGACAACCCTCCAGGATTGGCCTGGAGTCTCCTGGAATCAGCATCGATCTCCTGATGACTATTGAAAGCAATCCAGGAGATTTTAATGGGCTATTTTAAGAAAATGACATCATGTCATGTTAGGGAAAAAAAATCTCCCGGAATAGCTTCAGTCAGAGTTGGCAACCCTATACACACACTGTGAGATGCAGGAGGCCCAATATGGCATGCAGGAGGCCCCCTTATGCCGTCTTACTGCAACCCCCAACATACCAACACCTTCCTGCACAGGTGCGTACATATCCATCTTACCTCGTACACATGCTCCAGTACACACATCACCTATACTTTAATACTGTGATAGCTGTACATTCCTAATTGAAAAAAAGTAACAAGAGCATGACTATCAGCCCAAAGGAACAAATATGAACACAGTTAATAATTTATAAGACCCTATATGCAGTACAAGGATCCTGGATACAACACAGTGGTATCCTGATACAGTTTACTCTTGTAGGGTGAACAGACTATTGTAACACAGATTTCCTGACCCGTATTAGCACAGTTTCCCATATTTAGGCCTTGTCTACACTACATAGTTTTGTCAACACAACTCAGGTTTCATCGACAAAACAGTGCAGGTGTACACAAAACAATGCTCCTCCCGCCGATTTAACTCTCCTGCTATACCGACATAATAAAACCGCCTTGACGAGTGGCATAGAGCTTTTTACGACAAAGTTAAAGCGATGCAGTGTCAGTGAAGACACTGTGCTTGCTTATGTCACCCTAAGTGGCCTCCAGGAGGTGTCCCACAATGCCTATCATGACCGCTCTGGTAAGCGGTTTCTACTCTGCTGTCCTGCAGCCAGGTACACAGGCATGTACCCCTGTCCCTTTAAAGCCCCAAGAATTTTTGAAATTCCACGTCCTGTTTGCTCAGCGTGGACAGCGCACATTGCACCTTCCCAGCTGACCATGCTGGCTTTCCGCTGCAAACACAGTTCCTCCTGGAGTACATCAGAGTTGCTGGATCTGTTGGGTCTGTGGGGAGAAGAGGCTGTGCAGTCGTAGCTCTGATCCAGCTGTAGGAACTTTGACACCTACAAGCAGAGTGCTTGTGACATGGAGGAGAAGGGGCATGGAAGTGGCACACAGCAGTGCCATGCTAAGATGAAGGAGCTGAGGCAAGCGTACCAGAGGGCAAGGGAGGCTAACCATCGCTCTGGTGCAGCACTGAAAACATGCTGCTTCTACAAGGAGCTGCACACCATCCTCAGCAGCAACCCCACCTCCACCATCAAGAGCCCCATGAATACTTCAGGGGGACTGGATGCCAGTGGAGTCAACTCTGAGGATGAAGTGATGGACAAGGAGGTCGAGTTGGAGAAAGAAGTGGGACAGGCGACAGGCTTGTCTGGTGCCGTGGTGAGCCAGGACCTTTTCTGATTCCGGAGGGGTCTAGCCAGTCCCAGCAGTCCGGCTCTGGTGTGCCTGAAGCAGGAGAGGGGAGCTCCAGTGAGTACTCATTTTGCTTTGATAGTGCCCAGTTACATGAGGTAGAGGTGTCCTTTATTTTGTTACACAGTGCATGTGGGAGAAACAGAGGCGGATTAAGGTTTAGTGGAGGCCTGGGCCAGAGCAAATGGGAGGCCCATCCCCAACCATTCCACCTGCAGTCCCGCCCCTGTTCCACCACTTTCCCCCACGGCCCTGCCCGTTCCACCTACAGGTCCGCCCCATTCCACCCTCCCTGCAGCTCCACAACCTGTTTGCTCCTTTCAGTCCCCTTCTGATGCAGCCCCAAGACTGGAGAAGCTCTGTGTCCCCGCTCCTACACACACAGGCTGCAGCGGGGACTGAGAGCTCCCCGGCTCTGAGGCCACAGCAGGGAGCAGCCAGGGTCTGGGCGCGTGAGCTTCAGGAGGGTCCTGCCGAAGTGCGGGGTCAGGGCGTGGGTGTGCCCATGTTTCCAGGGACCCCCCAGTTGGCTTGTCATTGTCTTTTACCCTCCATTTTAGTGCACTGCTTCATGCTTGGTCTAGCGCCATTTTTGTGGTGTCTAATTTTTGATCTGTTAATGTTTATGTAATCCTGCCCAGAAACTGAGTGAAGGCAGGAAATTCAAACAGTAAAGGCGGAAAGGGGTCATCTGACTCCCAGTTATTCTGCCTAGTGACAGAGAGTCTATATAAGGGGGTTGCACACTCTGTCAGGTGCTGTCTGCCCAGGAAGTGCTTGGTCGTGCAACAGAGGAAGAGGAACATCATCAAAACACCTTTGCTTACCTGGTTGTCCATCGTCCAGGAAGATCTCCTGTTCCATCTCAAGCTCCTGATTCTGGTAGCTGTCCTCAAAGTCTTGACCTGAGTTACCTGAGAAACAAGTCAGATGAGAGCATCATGAGCCATCTACACCTGAATTCCTGTCACTATAGAGACTGAGTAATTTGACATTTTATTTGTGTTATGCCCATATTGGTTATGGGTTGGGTCAGGGCTTCAAACTGTACTTGTAAACCACCGAGCTGTTTTATGCTGTTTTACTCTGTTTAATGCTTTATTGCCCTTTCTCTGTCTAATCTCTTAATAAACCCTCCTTCCTGTTTTCACCTTTTAAAACAACTAAGTTTAATTTTACCTGCAACTAAGAGGTGATAGACCCTTCAGGGGAATCAATCCTTTTAGGGAGGTGGGGTCCTTAAATCAATTCCACCAGTCTCTTCTAGTAACACCCCGCCCAGTGCTCCTGCCGGGGAGCGGGGTTGGGGCATGGGTGTGCACATTTTTCCAGGGCCCCCCAGTTGACCGGGGTTCGTGGGCATGGGCTCCGTCAGCTCAGTGACTAAACCACTATGGGTAGAGAAGGGATCAAAATTTACAACACTAGGTACTGTTTGCATCTGCTTTGCATTCCGCTGTGCAGGTACGCAGTGGGGGCCCTGCGGAAAAGTTTGTTAATGTGCACCGAGATCTCCCAGAAATTCTCCATAAACTTTCTTGCTGATACTCTGCAATCCTCTGCTGAAGGTTCCTTGGCAGAGCTGCTTTGTTTTTCCCCCGTTGTAGGAAACTTTCCCACACCAATTGGCAGTTACTTCTGGAGGCACCAAAGCATCACACAGCCGAGCAGCATACGGATCTGGTCTGAAGCCACCTCCTTGTAGGAGACGTACCCTGACATCTTTGATAACCCACAGTAGTGTGATTTCAGCTTCGATCGCCCCCACCTGTGGAAAACAGTGCCAGTATTCAGAATGGCGTCCCTAGGCGCTTGGACTGATCCCCTTATGAAAACACCCAGACCTTTTGTACTGTCTTGCACCACCCCCCCGGGTCTGAACTCATCATGTTTAGTGCTCTGGCCATGCTGCGTGCTTGGCAAGGGAAAGTGAGAAAGAGATGTATGTAACTTCTATGATTCAGAACAGTGAGTGCACGCACAATATTGACTATGTGTATTCTTTCTTCTGCTTATGCAAATGTGCCCTCGAGGGCCAGCTCCTACACACTGGCTGCGATCATCAGATCAGGCCAATAGCGAGCACAGAACATGGAGAGAGACAATAAACGAAAAACTAGAAGTGGATTGCCAGGAAAGGAGACAGGCCCAGGAGCGGATCATAGAGGGTCAGAAGCAGAAAACAAAGCTCATGAAGGACCAAACAGAGATGCTGAGCTCCCTGGTTGTGCTTTTGGTGGAACACATGCATGCTCGACTCCCCCTGCAACTCATACGGGACTGCCTTCCTTGGCCTCCCCAAACTCCCCCCACCCCAACATTTCTCTCATGTTCCCAACCCATCACAGTAACCCTTGCACTCCACCCCGAGACATTTTCCATAATGACAGCTGGACTTGCACACCGCTGTGAGATCCTCAATTCAGTGAATGCTGTTTACTATCGTGTCCCTTGTAACAAATGTTAATCTGTGTATTGCTGTTTAATAAAAATTTAGTCTTACAAAGACAGTGATTCTGTATTTGTGACCGACACAGAGTGGCTGCAACAGAAATTCATGCACAGTGGTAACTGGCACATTTGCAGACCACAATTAACCCTCAGGCAGGAATAATTACGGGGTCATTCGGTGTGGCAAGTAAACAGTGTGGCTCAATTCAGAAGCCCTTGGAATTACTGGATGGATAAAACTGCATCATGGGGTTGGTGATCCCACCCCCAGGATGCACTGCGATCCATTCCCAGAACTCCTCGCGGGAGAAGGTGGCGATTTGCACAGTGGGATAACTACCCATGGTGCACTGCTCTCTCTGTCAGTGCTAGAGCACCAACCGTGGATGAGCTCCACCGACACAAGGAGTGTTGTCTGAACATGCACAAGCAATGTAATTACAGTGGTTTATGAGAGTTGACATAATTTAAGTCGACAACTCTGTAGTGTAGACATGGCCTTAGATTTACTCAAACTGTTTTACCCACTCTCTTAAATAAACTGGAAATTGCACGTAAATAATAATTGTGATTTGTCTAAGTTGGGGGGATGTTATCAGCTGCTGACTATGCTTGTCCATGGGAATAAAGGATTAATCACTAGTTTTGGAGAGGAAGAGGAATCAGATAGGAATAACATTGCCACAGACAAAGTCAGAGCTTGTAATCTCTATCCATAAAGGTGTCACAGCCAGGGACAGTGATCCAGGCTGCCATAAAGTGAATCTTGTGACCTTAGGTAGGCTGGAGTGTAGTTACCCACTGCAATAGATGGCCTGGGTTTTCAGAGATACTAAGCAAGGAGACCTGTTGGCACTCAGCATCTTTGAAAATCAGGCTAAGAAAGACTCTCTCGCCCCAGTAATCTCTGTCAGACAGAGTTTGCAGTTCTTCTGTCCTCTTCTTGATATCACAAGGGGGAACCTTCAGTGGTTGTGCTAAAAATCTAGAAGATGACTACTGAATATAGTGAGGGAATCGTATTTTTTAATTTTTAGCAACAATTTTAATGGCACTGTACAAGACAAAGACAATGTCTGCATTGAAAAGCTTTTACTTACTAAATATTTTAATTTATAATTTTTAACATGTTCCTCCCCTCCCCCAATTTAGCAAAGCCACCATACCCCATTTAGGAATATTTAAATTAAAAGTTCAGTCTTTTAAAATTCAGCTACTTCTGAGTTCTCTATAGGGGTAAATGTTGCCACACATATTATTAGGGGTTTGCACTAATGTAATTAGATTGATTTAAAGATGATTTAGTTACACCAGTGCAAATTCTCTAAGTCTAGGCTTCCATAATCATCCCCTCCCACTGCCCCAAGCTTGTTGGCTGGGCCGAAAGCATCATTTCAGCAAGTGTAATTGCTCAGATAATAGATAAAAAACGGAATTTAGGGGACCCTGGTATGAGAGGAGAGGGAAATAGGGGCACACAGAACTGGCAGAAGGGAGACTGGGGGACCTGGCAAGTGGCTGAGGTGGAAATGAGGGTCACACAGAGCCCCTGCACCACAGAGGACAGAGAGGAATGGGGGACACAAAGAGGCCCAGGCATGAAGCAGGGGTCAGGGAAGTTCCAAGGAGTCCCTGATATGGAAGGGAATGGGAGGGTGGCACACAGGGAGCTCGTGGGGGGGAAAGGAGGAATGCAAGGAGCCCTGGTGTGTGCAACAAGCTCGGCCTACTGAGACTATGAAGTATATGATCCCATAGTTAAAGTGCAATTAACATCTGCATGGAGATTCTCATTCTGAAGTGGCCTTAGGCCTGGTCTACACTACAAAGTTAGGTCAACCTTAGTCAACTTGTTTTGATCTAGTTGTGCACATGCCTACCCCTAAATTGTCTCCTGCTGACATAAGCACCCTCTTCCAGCACTACAATAACACCACCTCCCTAAACGACAGAGAGGTATCGTCGACGTACTTAGGGTGACACAGTGCAAGTGTAGACATTGCATTACCTATGTCAACCCTAACAGTCCTCCAGCAGCTGTCCCACAATGTCCTTTGCCCTATGACAGTGGCTGTTCCAGTCACAATTCTGAACTCCACTGCCCAGGAGTCACAGAGACTGGAAGCCTGTGCCCCCTTTTAACACTCCGACCCCCGGGTGTTTTTGAAATCCCTTTTCCTGGTTGCCCACCTTGGCAAGCGCACCTACTAGCCCACCTCTGCGAACATTCAACCAGACCAGCTCACACACATGCAGAGCTACTAGACATGCTCCTGCCAGGAACAGGAAAGAGGTCATGGATCTCCTTGGCCTGTGGTGAGTAGACACTATGCAAACACAGCTAAGGAACAGTCAAAGCAATGTAGACATCTACACGCAGAGTCCACTGGGGATGATGAAACTGGGGCATGACTGACGAGTAGCAATGTCATGTGAAAGCAAAGGAACTTTGGCACACATACTAGAAGATGAGGGAGACTAAGAACAAATCTTGTGCTGCCCTGCAGACCTGCTGCTTCTACAATGAACTGCATATCATACTTGGTGTGGGCACACCAGTAACCCATATACAACAGTGGACATTTTGCATGAGCCTCAGGTGGAGACTCCTACAGTGCACAGCAGCGAGGAGAAGAAAGTAGGGAGAGATGTGGAGGGGAATGCAAACGATGCAGCGAGCCAGGAGCTGTATGAAACTCTGCTGGAGGCAAGCCAGTTCTGCCAGTCAAATGCCAAATGAGACTGCTGATGAAGGGAAAAGGAGCTTGGGTAAGTGTGCACAGGCATTATGCCTTATAAGCATTTTTTTACCTTTTAATTGTCTGAAACCTCATCTTCCTTCCTCCCACCCCCCTCCACCCATTTTGCCCATTTAAAAATGGCACCCACCCCATCCACAAGTTTAGAGAACAAAGGCATTGACTTTTGATTGCTTATTTTGCTTGTAAAATGTTAGAAAATAAAACGTTAGAGAATATAGTAAAAAAAATGTGTATGGCATCTGAATTTCACAATCCACATTAGACAGAGGTAGAAGAAAGAGGTAGAGGAAGCATTCACTTTTCCATTCTTTAGCTTGTTGGACAAGGCAAGGTGGACCATGCAGAGTACTTTATTTATCTGAATAGCATTATCCCTTTTATCCTCTTGAGTGATCTCAACAAAAACTTTCATGGAGATACTCTGAAATCCTCTCTTGAACATTTTTAGGGATATGAAATTACTGGCGCCATTCACCACACTTTCCCTATATATGAGAAAGCTAAATTGCCAAGTCTAATCATTGTTCTCAAACACAGACAACACCATTGTCTTGCTCATCTGCACCAGATGGACATATTCCAAAGGATCTCCTGTATGGAGAAATTCCAGATGCTCCAGGGCCCCGGGCCAACCTAGGTTCAAAACGTTTGCAAAGGGGAATTGAAAACTTGCAGCATTGACACTACAAGGTGGGAAGATGCAGCTAGCAAGAGGACACGCTGGAGGGCTGGTCTGCACCAAGGAGTCAAAGAGGCTAAAGGGAGGTGGTTGAGAAAGAGGAAAGTACAGCAGGCCTCAAGTGCTAGCAGTGTATTAGTTCACCTTCTGGCTCAGTGCCTTATACCTGCATTATCTGTGGCAAGGACTGTTGCTTGAGAATTGGACTTATTAGTCACTCATGATACTGAAGCATAACACACAGTAACTGAATTGCTTCAACACTTACACCATTGTCTTTTGAGATGAACACCTGCCATTCATTCCCCACATTCATACACAGGGATGCCCAGTGTGACAGTCTGTATCCCTATATTCACCCTTTTTACAAAACTATAATGGATTTTGTACAAAGTATGCCTTGTGACTTATCATTTGAAAACTCATAATGTGCTCATTGTTATTGTCCTGGTAAAATATGTGTGGCAACATTGTATGTAAAGTTATAAGATTCCACTGTATAACATTACTGAGACATATTCCAAGTTTAGAAAAGCAGGCACAAACCAGTTCCTAAAAGGCAAACTGATGCCTCAGATAGCTGTCAACAAAATCAGACGGACTATTACCTGGTTAAGCAGCCATGCTTTGTCAGGAAAAGGGTGTACATAAGAAATTTACATCTTGGCAAAGAAACAGCTGGAAGTTCCCGTTCCACAGACTTTCTGTCTCCTGAACCCCAGCTGGAGATGATTCTCAAAGAGGAGGAAAAGATATAAAAATGGGGAACAGATGCCTCAAATGACTCCTCCTTTTTTCTATGCCCATGGCATCAACAACTACTGAAGAACAAGGAAATTAACACTGAACTGGGGCAGGGGTCCTGGCTGACAGGATTCCAGCCATAAGACTGCTAAAGCATATGGTGAGATAAACATTTTGCTTTGAATTCAGTTAACTTGTTAAGTTAGGTGTTAGTTGCATGTCACCTTTTATTTCTTTGTAATCAATTCTGATTTTTATGCCTCATTACTTGTAATTACTTAAAATGTATCTTTCTGTAGTCAATAAAGTTGTATTATTGTTTTAACTAAACCAGTGTGTGTTTGGACTGAAGTGTTTGGGAAATTTCATTTGGGATAACAAGATTTGTGCAAACAAGATTTGTGCATATCATTATCATTTTCTATTAATGAAATGACAGACTTTATATGAGCTTGTATTGTCGAGGAGAAGCTGGGCAGTACAAGACACACATAACTGGGGGAAAGTCTGGGCCTGGGAGTTTGCTGGTGTTGCTCTGTAGTGTAATTCAGAGTGACTGGCTATAGCACTCATACAATATAGCTGGGAGTGATTTCCATGCTGGAGGCTGTGTCTGAACTGAGCAGGAGTAGTTGCTCTCACATTGAAGCACCCCAGGTTGGAGAATTGAGAAGACACACACAGCTGTCCATCAGTCCACATTGTACCCTGGGTAATGTCACATCCAGTGTCTAAACTTTCCATGCAACACCACCCTCCCTGGCCTTCTCCCTGCTAGGCTGTACTCATGATGGCTTGAGCTGCAAAATGGTGCTGTAATGAGCACTCCAAAGCTAAAGTGACAATTAGCATTTCTTATTAAAGAAATTTATGGCGATAATGTAAGGGAGCTTTAAGACTTATCTTTCCCTTTCCACTGTGACTGTAAATCTAACGGTGTGTTTGTCTGTTTTAATCAGTAGCCTCTGGCATGGTGACTTTGATGGTCCCTCCATGCCTGCTGAACACTGGACCTTGATCAGGCACCTTGATCAGGGAGGATATGTCATCTTGCTTCCTTCAGAGGGGATAAAACTAAAGTGAACTAAGGACATGTCTACACTATGGGGACTATAGTGGCATAACTATGGTGCTGTGGCAATGCCGGCATAAACCCATACTGTAGACACATCTTACGATGATGGAAAGGTTTTTCCATCATGGTAGGAACATCACCTGACACTAAAACATTACCTGGGACTTCTTGTAACTTTCCACTGTAAGGGAAGGGGGGAGGCAAGTTTGGGAAACAAAGGATTCCCACCTCATGTAAATCCTATGTAAGGGTGGGGAGGAAGGTAAACAAGACTAATCCTCTCCATGGCCTGTCTGCCCAAGAAGAAAGACTGCAAAAGGAAAGGCAAGGGGGAAGTCCAGAATGAGATGGGGTACAGTCTGAAAAGGAATATAACTGGAACTCTGAACCACAGAAACTTTGCAAACTGCCTGCAACAATATCTAGGGTGAGAAATACTATTTGTAACCAATTTCTTTAATGAAACTAGCTTAGTTTGCATGTTTGATTCCATTTGCTTAGTAATCTGCTTTGTTCTGTTTGTTACCCCTTTTACCACTTAAAATCTGCCTTTTATAGTTAATTAAATTTGTTTATTAGTAAACCCTGTTTCTGGAATTTCCAACATGGGGGAGGGTAGGTGGAAGAAGTGTGTACACCCCTCTCCACATTGAGGGAGGGGGTGAATTTCATAATATATCTTTGGGTCTGCACTCCAAGGGAGGTAGACATCTGAGTGCTGGAGCAAGTCCCTTAAGCTGAGTCTTCCCAAAGCTGATCTGCAGCTGGGTGTGGCCCTGCCTGTGTGTGTGTGTGTTAGGGGAGGTTTTAAGAGCCTGGCTCAGCAAGACAAGTTAAAGGGGGCCCATGCTGGCAGAACAGGGAGACTCAGTGGCATCTCAACACATCAGGTGGCTTCCCAAAGGGTCCAACCCATCACTTACCTTGTATAGTAACTGGAATTCTTTGTGATGTGTGTCCGTATGGGTCCTCCACTTGAAGTGCACCTGTGCCTTGTGCACCTTCAATTGGAGATTTTCGGTAATCTCAAACAAACAGCAGTGCATGTGCCCTAGCTATTCGTGTGCCCCATACTGAGGGACATCACAGACGAACTCCCACACAGTCCCATGGAGACAAAACTACAAAGCAGAGGGGAAGGAAGGTAGGTAGTGGAGCATCCAAAGGGACGCACATCTCGAAGAACTCGTTACTGCAGAAGGTGAGTAATCTTTCCTTCTTCTTAAAGTAGTGTTCCTCTGGATGCTCCCAAGCAGTACTCTTCAAAGGAGGTGGCAGCTTCAGAACTTGGTCAGAACTGTTTGCAGAACTGGGCGTCAATGGGAGATGGATGGCTTTGAGAGTGGTTCTTCCGCTGTAGAGGTAAGAGGGAGGACTTTGCAGTATTGAGCTGAAGGCCAAGCATATACAAGAAAGATGTAGCCTTCTTTACCACTGTTTGAACTTCAATGTAGGAATGCCCTTTTAGAAGCCAATTGTCAAGACAAGAAGATGATTACTCACATTGGTGAAGCATCTACTGCCATAAATTTTGTAAAAACTTTCGGGGGGTGGTAGAGAGTGCGAAAGGGAGGACTTGATACTGACAGTGGGTCCTGACTATGGCAAAGCATAGAAAACTCTTGTGAGAGGGATGTAGTGCAACATGAAAGTATGTGTCTTGAAGGTTGAGAGTCACAAAATAATTTCCTGGATTCAGAGATGGGATAATAGCTGTGAGTTTTACCATCTTGTATATCTGTACTTTGACAAAGGTATTCAGAATACTGAGATCTATTTTGCAAACCAGAAAGTACTTGGATTAAAATCTGCTTCCTTTGTACTGAGTGGGAACTGGTTCCACGGCTCCTAAGCAGAGGAGGGAGAGAATCTCTTGTCTCATGAGACACTCGTGAGACGGGTCACTGAAAAGGGATGGGGGGGGGAATAGGAGGGAGATATGGAGTGAAAATAGATGGAGTAGCCTGATGTTATAACCTTCAAGACCCATATGTTGGAGGTAATCTGCTCCCAGGAGCTGCAGAAATGGTAGAGATGATCTCCAAAAAGTGGGAGCATGAAGGGGGGCAGGGCGCTACAGCCTCTGCTACAGATCATAGGGGTGTTCATGGCCCTCCACTGAGGCATCAAAGCCAATGCTTTGGAAATGGTGACTGCTGCATCGATCCGGGTGCAGTGGTTGAGAACTTTCCCCTCTGCATTCTGGGTTTCTGTTTAGGTGTGGAGGCCTGCAGTATCAAGGAATGTGCAGGAGGCACTGACAAGGATGGGCAGAAGAGGGAGGGCAAGCAGGAGCATGGTTCCCCCTCAATAATCGGTGGGGGCACAGAACTCCTCTGGCCCCAGGGCTGGGGTTGGGAGACCGTGCTCCTCCGGCCCTGGGATCGCAGTGGGAGAGTGAGCTATATGGAAATTCTCCTTCAGGTTCATGGGCAGCGGGTATCATAGGCAGGGGGAGGCTGTGCCTCCTGAAACAGCCTGGCGTGGCTCCGCCCATGCTTCACCCCCAGGTCCCCTCCTGCCTGCTGTTCCCTTCTGTGGCAAAGAGGCTGGGGCAGGCAGGCTGGGGACCGTGGTGTGCACAAGACCCCCGGGCTGGGGCTATGCCATGCTGTGCCGCCTGTCTTCCTGGTGCTGGGACGATGCTGTCTGCCCACCCGCCCGCCCGCCCAGCGCTGGGGACACTCCAGCAATGCTGCCTGCCTGCCCACCCAATGCTGGAGGTGCTCTGCCTGCCCGATGTGTTGGGGCTGGGGGCATGCAGGGGGGCCAGCAGCCAGAGGGAGCAGGGATGTGCTCTGGTGGGGGGTAGGGCAGAAGGAGCAGGGCCTCAGGCACTCACCCACTGCCTGTGTTCATGTTTAATTGCTATCAAAAGCTGTCAGAAACAGAACAGATATTCCTGTACCCATTATGCCCCCACTGCTACACTTGCCAAATAAAGCACATTTATATGATAACAAAAATATATCAAGAAATGCTATATCTTTGCCTCTAAATCAGCGATATCATATTTATACTGTGGAGATGGCCAAATTCTATTTAAGCTCTCAGAGGCAGAGATTGTTTCTTTTCTATTTTTCTACAGTTCCCAGCACAACGGGGTCTCAATGTTGATTTGTGGCTGTTGGGCACTTCCATAATATAAATATTTACGAATAAGTTTTACTAATAACCCATGGACTGGGGTATGCAGGACTGCATACTACCCTCACTTCAGCATAGAACTCCCATTTGGAAAGTGTCGCTAAATGTCAACTGGAAAAGTAACTAAACTTGCAGTCATAATTTATTAATTTCCCATTGACTATTGCTTTTGTATTCAGCATCACTAACTGGAAAAATATGCTTACCTTTAGGACACCTACTTTTTCTACCCCTTGGGTTTGTCTGCACATGGAACAGCTGTTCCTGAATAACTCCAATAGTGGACACACTTATTGTGGAATGAGTCCACATCTACAACAGGGGCTTTTGCCAGCATAGTTATTTTGGTCGGGGTGTGAAGAGGTGTGACTTGTAACGGACATAGCTATGCCAGCAAAACCTTCTAGAGTAGATGCAGTTATTGTAGCAAATCTATGGCGTCACCAGTTTAGTTTGTTTCGCTCAGGGTGATGGTGAAATAAGCTGTATTGGTTAGCTTTGCTGGTAGAACTATTTCCACACTAGAAGCACTCCGCTGGTATACCTATAGCAAAAGGTGATCCTAGTCTTGACATGGCCTAATAACGCCTGATCTATATTTAAAAGCTGTTGGCATACCTATGTCAGTTAGGAGTTTGATTCTTGTATGGTTAGGCCTGGTCTACAGTACTAAGTTAGGCTAATGTAAGTTGCCTTGCGTCGACTTATTTGCATATGTGTCTACAATGAAATTTGTCTCTAGCCAACATCGTGGCACATTACAGCAATGCAGTAAAACCACCTCCCTGAAATGATGTGGAGCCATGGTCGACTTACTGAAGTCGATGCAGTGCGACTGTTGACAATGTGTGACCTGTATCAATCCTAACAGTCCTGTAGCAGTTGTCTCACAATTCCCTGCAACAGTGACTACGTCTCAATTTTACACTCCATTGCCCGGGGTCACAGAAATCAGAACTCCGCCTCACACACACACTCCAAGCCTCCCCATGTGTTTTCGAAGTGCCTTTTCCTATTTGCCCACCTTGCTTATATCTAGCAGTTCACTTTTGTTGTGCGCAGCTGCCCAACTGATCATGGTGGCGCCCTGCACTTGTCACGCTCCTGCCTGGAGCAGACAGGAGGTATTGGCTCTCCTGGGCTTGCGAGGGTCAGAGAAGAGCTGTAGTAACAGGGACATCTACCAAGATTGCACAAGGGATGCAGGCAAAGGAGTACAACAGGGATCGGCAGCAGTGCCAGGTGAAAGCAAAGCAACTGCAGCAGGAGTGCAAGACTAGGGAGGCCAACACTAGCCCTGGTGCTGCCCCACAGATGTACTGCTTTCACAATGAAACATGCTGCACTTGGCTGGGCCCCGCCAGCACCCCACAGCCCGCTGCTAAGTTCGGCCAGCACCAACATCAGAGCCACGTATGCCCACACCCAAGGGATACACAGCTTCGGTGGTAACGACGTGCGTTGACCAGTTTGTGGGGTACACATGGCCTGAGACTAATAGGGCATGGGGGAGTTTAACTCTCGCTGAGCCAATGTTTCAGGTTAACCCCCGCTCAGGAACCAGTGGGAAAGTGCTCGACACGCCGCTGAAGGTCAGACACGTTGTTTTCAATATGAAAGCTAAGACCCCGCGCTGCGCGAGGCTGCTACCTAGACACCCGTCCGAGGCGGGCCATCTGCCCGGCACCTCCTGAGCGGCACAGAACAAAGGCCCGTGCACACACCCACCCACAGATGGCCGAAGCGCAAGGAGACCCCAGCAAGCGCTGCGGCGGCGGCTCCCGTGCTGCGGCGAGGACTTAGCACTAGGCGGCGACAGTAGCGGCCCGGGAACCCACCCACGCGCGCGCCCTCAGCAAGACACGGGGACTTTAGCCCGCAGCCCGCGCGAAGAGGAGAAGCGGCACCGCGCCTGCGCCTGGCTCGGCGAAGGCTGCGGAATCCGTTCCCGGCATGCGTCGGGCGGAAGGGCTCGGGGGGCGGGGCTGGGGGATGAGCGGAAGCGGGGCGGGGAGCTGGTGTTGTGCCTGTCAGCCAGGTAGGGAAGGGGTGAGAGCGCCGCCGCCGCCGCGGGAGTCCGAGCCGTTGTTGGTAGGGGCGGCCCCGTGCCCCGGGGGGACAGGGCCTGCCCCGTGCCCAAGGGGGGTGTTTGAGATGGGGCGTAGCAGGGCCGGCCCCGTTCCCCGGGGCGGGGGGTGTTTGAGAGGGGGCAGGGATGGGGCTGCAGGGCGGCCCGTCCCCGGGGCGGGGGGTGTTTGAGAGGGGGCAGGGATGGGGCGTAGCAGGGCCGGCCCCGTTCCCCGGGGCGGGGGGTGTTTGAGAGGGGGCAGGGATGGGGCGTAGCAGGGCCGGCCCCGTTCCCCGGGGCGGGGGGTGTTTGAGAGGGGGCAGGGATGGGGAGTAGCAGGGCCGGCCCCGCCCCCGGGGCGGGGGGTGTTTGAGAGGGGGCAGGGATGGGGCGTAGCAGGGCCGGCCCCGTCCCCCGGGGCGGGGGGGTGTTTGAGAGGGGGCAGGGATGGGGAGTGGCAGGGCCGGCCTCGGGGCGGGGGGTGTTTGAGAGGGGGCAGGGATGGGGAGTGGCAGGGCCGGCCTCGGGGCGGGGGGGTGTTTGAGAGGGGGCAGGGATGGGGAGTAGCAGGGCCGGCCCCGGGGGGGGGGTGTTTGAGAGGGGGCAGGGATGGGGAGTAGCAGGGCCGGCCCCGGGGCGAGGGGGGTGTTTGAGAGGGGGCAGGGATGGGGAGTGGCAGGGCCGGCCCCGGGGCGAGGGGGGTGTTTGAGAGGGGGAGGGATGGGGAGTGGAGGGGGGGGGGGGGGGGGGAGGGGGGGGTGTTTGAGAGGGGGCAGGGATGGGGAGTAGCAGGGCCGGCCCCGGGGCGGGGGGGTGTTTGAGAGGGGGCAGGGATGGGGAGTAGCAGGGCCGGCCCCGGGGCGGGGGGGGGTTTGAGAGGGGGCAGGGATGGGGAGTGGCAGGGCCGGCCCCGGGGCGAGGGGGTGTTTGAGAGGGGGCAGGGATGGGGAGTGGCAGGGCCGGCCCCGGGGCGGGGGGGTGTTTGAGAGGGGGCAGGGATGGGGAGTGGCAGGGCCGGCCCCGGGGCGAGGGGGTGTTTGAGAGGGGGCAGGGATGGGGAGTGGCAGGGCCGGCCCCGGGGCGAGGGGGTGTTTGAGAGGGGGCAGGGATGGGGAGTAGCAGGGCCGGCCCCGGGGCGGGGGGGTGTTTGAGAGGGGGCAGGGATGGGGAGTGGCAGGGCCGGCCCCGGGGCGAGGGGGTGTTTGAGAGGGGGCAGGGATGGGGAGTGGCAGGGCCGGCCCCGGGGCGAGGGGGTGTTTGAGAGGGGGCAGGGATGGGGAGTAGCAGGGCCGGCCCCGGGGCGAGGGGGTGTTTGAGAGGGGGCAGGGATGGGGAGTAGCAGGGCCGGCCCCGTTCCCCGGGGCGGGGGTGTTTGAGAGGGGGCAGGGATGGGGAGTGGCAGGGCCGGCCCCGGGGCGGGGGGGTGTTTGAGAGGGGGCAGGGATGGGGAGTAGCAGGGCCGGCCCCGTTTCCCGGGGCGGGGGGGTGTTTGAGAGGGGGCAGGGATGGGGAGTGGCAGGGCCGGCCCCGTTCCCCCGGGGTGTCTGTGAGTGCTAGAGTGGGACAGGGATCGAGGGATGAGAGCTGGACTGCCCTGTGCCGGGATATGAGGCGATATAGGGGCTTCGGTAATTGCAGGTCGGTCTGAGATAGGGATTAGGTCATTGTGTGTGTTCTGTGAACTGGGACAGATATAAGTGTGAGTTTGAGAATGCGTATGGGATGGAGTTTGTTATACTAGGTGTTGGGGGTGGTGGCCGTTGTTGGGCAAAGTGAGGTTATTACCTCATTATCATCAGCATTTTATTTGGATTCTTCTTTATAGATGTCTCCTTGGTCCAGGTCATGCTCTTTTCTCTTCTCCTTCCTCCCCTCCCTGCTCCTGCCCACCCAATCTGTACATGCAATGATTTGCTTTTGCTCTGGTTTGTCCTGTTGCAGCAGTTCCTGGTGCTGGACTGTATGAGCACTTGGATTCTGATGGCAGGAGCAATCCCTTTTTACCCTCTCAAATCCCTGTTGTTAATACCAATGTAATGTTCCCTGTGTGCTTGTAAGGGAGTTGTTGCTGACCTCTCTTACCAGTGCCTCTGCAGTGTTCTATGGGAGCTAGCTTCCGTGACTCAGCCTTATTCTAGCATGGATCACCCAACTGCACATCTGTGCTGCAATGACCCTGAGTTGTCTTGGAGTGAGTCGGGGTTTTACTATGTGTTGTGCACTGTTAATAATGTATACTTTCCTAAATTGTCCTCTTAGGGGTCACAAGATCTGAGGATTATCAATTTTAGGTATATATACAATTTTAGGTATATATAGAGCTCTTGTTCTCATAGAACCTGAGAATGTCACAATCTTTAAATGTATTTATCCTCACAACACCTCTGTGAGGTAAGGAAGTGCTATCACTCTTCTGTGGCTAAGTCCAAATATAACAAGTTATATGAATTATTGTTTGTTTTGGGGAGAACAAGGGATATATTGAGGGAATGAAGCATCAAATAGTCAAGTCTTCTCTTACTACCCAAATGTAGAATTTACTCAGGGCGCTAGATTGGTGCTTCCTTAAAAGTAGTTTTGTGTTTCCTTCTGCATCTGCTATAGAATCACAATTTTACCCCATATAATTCCTAAACTTTAAGAACTGTACTATGGCTGCTGTGACTCTGAAAAACTAATGTGTTTGCTGTACTGTAAGGACCCAATCTAACTTTCATAGGGTCCAAGCATGTCACTTGCCAGAAAATCAAAGCAATGAGTCTTCTGTTACTGCTTAGTATGCTATTCCACAGCCTACCATACCACACTGTCATCTGTCTGTCTTTATTGTATGTAAACTTTCATGTATAAAATATGATTCAGTTACTTCTAGTGACAATCTCTTATACCTCCTTTAAATAACATTTTTCTTTCCTTGGAGTTTAACCTTTCAGATATTTATAGATTATTATCATGTCTCCTGTTTAAACAAGCTATATATATTTACCTTTTATTAAACTTTCTCTATAAATCATTCACTCCAACTTTAAACTCCTTTTTTGTACCTCATTATTGGAAAGATACAGATAACTAGAATGGAATGTACTTTTCCAGGTGTGATATAAAGAAGGATTTTCTCTCTTTTCTGTGATAATGACCTGGGGCCTACTTAGGCTAGTTTGCAGCAATTTAGTAATCTGATGCTTTTTCTTGGTGGCTCCAATCTTTGCTCCATAATCCAGGTTACCGTTTGAAAAATAAGCCCCTTAGGTGTTATATTTGCCAACACAACCTTCCGAATGTGAACAGATTGTAAACTGATGAAGTTTTAGTGCACAGTTCTGAGAGGCGAGTTGTTCCAGTTAATCTCAATGTAGTATTACCTCTGGATCTAAAATATGATTTAAATATCACTTTTGTTGCTACTAGAGCTGTCAAGCAATTAAAAAAATGAATTGCGATTAATTGTGCTATTAAACAATAATAGAATACCATTTATTTAAATATTTTTGGATGTTTTCTACATTTTCAAATATATTGATTTCAATTACAAGACAGAATACAAAGTGTACAGTTCTCACTTTATATTTATTTTTATTACAAATATTTGCACTATAAAAAACAAAAGAAATAGTATTTTTCAATTCACCTAATACAAGTACTGTAGTGCAATCTCTTTATCATGAAAGTTCAACTTACAAATATAGAATTATGTACAAAAAAATAACTGCATTTAAAAAAAATAAAACAATGTAAAACTTTAGAGCCTACATGTCCACTCAGTCCTGCTTCAGCCAATCACTCAGGCAGACACGTTTGGTTACATATACGGGAGATACTGCTGCCTGCTTTTTATTTACAATGTCACCTGAAAGTGAGAACAGGCATTCGCATGGCACTTTTGTAGCTGGTGTTGCAAGATATTTATGTGCCAGAAATGCTAAACATTCGTATGCCCCTTCATGCTTCGGCCGCCATTCCACAGGACATGCTTCCAGATTGATGATGCTCATTAAAAAAAAAAAGTGTTAATTAAATTTGTGACTGAACTCCTTGGGGGAGAACTGTATGTCTCCTGTTCTGTTTTACCCGCATTCTTCCATATATTTCATGTTATAGCAGTCTCGGATGATGACCCAGCACATGTTCATTTTAATAACACTTTCAAAGCAGATTTGACAAAACTCAAAGAAGGTACCAATGTGAGATTTCTAAAAATAGCTACAGCACTCAACTCAAGGTTTAAGAATCTGAAGTGCTGTCCAAAATCTGAGAGGGACGAGGTGTGGAGCATACTTTCAGAAGTCTTAAAAGAGCAACACTCAGATGTGGAAACTACAGAACCTGAACCACCAAAAAATAAAATCAGCCTTCTGCTGGTGGCACCTGACTCAGATGATGAAAACGAACATGCGTCGGTCTGCTCTGCTTTGGATCGTTATCGAGCAGAACCCGTCATCAGCATGGACACATGTCCTCTGGAATGGTGATTGAAGCAGGAAGGGACATATGAATATTTAGCGCATCTGCCATGTAAATATATTGCAATGCCGGCTACAACAGTGCCATGAGAATGCCTGTTCTCATTTTCAGGTGACATTGTAAACAAGAAGCAGGCAGCATTATCTCCTGAAAATTGTAACCAAACTTGTTTGTCTGAGTGATTGGCTGAAATAGGACTGAGTGGATGTGTAGGCTCTAAAGTTTTACATTTTGTTTTTGAGTACAGTTATGTAACACAAAAATCTACATTTGTAAGTTATACTTTCACGATAAAGAGATTGGACTACAATACTTGTATGAGGTGAACTGAAAAATACTATTTCTTTTATCACTTTTACAGTGCAAATATTTGTAATAAAAATAATATAAAGTGAGCACTGTACACTTTGTATTCTGTGTAAAAAAACATCCAAAATATTTAATACATTTCAGTTGGTATTCTATTAACAGTGTGATTAATCGCAATTAATTTTTTTTTGAGTTAAGTGCGTTTAATCGACAGTCCTAGTTTCTACTTCATTTCTGAGTAAAGTATAGAAGAAACAAGAGGAACAATATGAAGATAAGCACAATCCACTTGGAGTGGTATCTCCTCTTGGTGTCATGAGCCTGTGGGTTTTGGTTTGTAGGTAGAACGTGGAAAATTACCACTACTCTTGTCCCATTTTGACCCTCAGGATGTGATCCCCCTGTGTACACAGCGCATTGGCCTCGTGCCTTCTTATTTCTTGTATTGTGTATTCATGTCTAATTTGTTAATTTATTTACAGTTATTTTACAGCTCCTGGGAATTATGCAATGGTTTCTGAGTTCTCTAATCTAGTAAACAGGGATATTCCCCAAAACCTTAGTAGATAAGTGCATTTAAACTGCACTCTTATTGTTAGGCCCTTGTGTTCCCTTTCCTCAAAGAAAACTCTTCTTATCTTCTAACTGGTTGGTGATTCAATGAGAGGCTGTGGTATTCCTTCTGAGCTAATTCTGATCAAATGGTTCAGTAAGGTATTGAAGGTCACTCTGCAGCAAAAGATGTCACTTCTAGTAGAAGAGAGATACTGAGGTCATGATCACACGTATTAAAAATCCCATAACACTTTTCACAAGATTTAGGGGTGTTAATCCTTGTATCCTGTCTAAGTTATAACTTGAGTCATTATATGTTGTCTACTGTAATTTCTATAGGCCTGGTCTACAATATCTGAAGACTAATGGGTACTGGAGATAGTCAGCAAAGAGTTTACAATAGAATTTATCAGGGCTTCTTGGGGTTTAATACTTAGCTGGTGATGCTGAACAAAATTAGCCCTGGTCTAAACTGACTGCTAAAATGTATTCAGCATTGTATAAGTTAGCATGGACAACCCTGTTCAGATGTGGGTGAAATCTAATAGTGTGGTGTAGGCCGTATCTTTTCATTTGGATGTGAAGAGGAGTCTTCACTTCCTCTTCTAAACTTTCTCGTTAGGGCTGTTCACTGTTAAACAGCTGCTATATTCCTTCCAAGTGTAGAGGAAGTGATTCTCATACGTAATATTTTTGAAGGACTTTGGGATCCTTTGAGATTAATACTGCTTTGTAAATGTAAGATGTGGTTATTAATTTGTCTAAAATAGTGCCAAATCATCTATTTAAGTTTTCAAACGTTTTGTCATTGAAACAATCTGTTTTGTCCTTATGGTAGGGGGAAAGAGGCAGGCTTTATCTTGATTATATTCCTGAGCCTTGCATGTGTTACGAACAACAAAATACTTTGTCACTCAAACCACTATGGTCCCCATATTTAGCTCCTTTTTAATGTGATCACGGCTTTACTAAGATACATTGACTACTTCACCTAGTCAAGCTAGCAAGGATAATCCCAGAGGAACCGAAAGCACTGTCTTTGCCTACTGTGTGATTTTTTTATATTATTTTTTTAAAATCTTCTGTTGGGTCAGTACGCTGTGTCAGAAGTAAAACACATTGGAAAGAGAAATTTTAACTACTTGTACACTTTAGGGGATTCTAAATTAACTTTGTTAACTCAAGAAAGGTACCTAGACATTGCTGTGGGCAGCCCAATGAAGACCTTGACTTAATGTGCAGCTATGGTCCAGAAAGCCAATATGTTAGGATGCCAAAGGAACATGATAGAGAAGAATATGGAAAATACAATGCCATTATATGAATCAATGCTGAAGCCTCACCTAGAATATTATGTGCAGTACTGTTTACCTAATCTCAAATGGGATATTGCAGAATTGGAAGAGGTCCAGAGAAGGATAACACCTGATTAGAGGCATGAGGAAAAACTCATTTAAAGAGAGACTGAAAAAATTGGGTTTGTTTACCTTAGAAAGGAGACAAATAAGAGGGGATATGATAAAAAATATGTCACAGGTTGATCCAGAGTTTCTGTTCTCCCTGACATGACACAAAACAAGGGGATGTTTTAATAAAATTAAAAGATGGAAGATGCAAAACTTATAGAAGGAAATATTTTTTTCACACATTATTAAGCAGTAGAAGTCATTGCCACAGGATACTGTAGAGGCCAAATGCTGAGTAAGATTGTAAACAAGGATTTTAAAAGGCAAAGTAGCTGCTTAAAAGAAGAAATCTTTGCCTGCCTTTCAAACAGAAGAAGTGACTTTATGTATGTGAAATTTGTGTTTGTATGTATGCTAAGCCACAGTATCCAGTTCCAATCGTTATTTTAGTAATTTTGGGCTTTCAGACATAGTTGCTTACGATTAGGCACTGCTCAACGTGAGGCTCCTCCTTGAAAATGTTGGTCTTAACATAATATGCAGAACTTTATTTGAATAAACTTTGCTTGACATGCAGAGCTCTCTTTGAAGATGTATGGCCGATACTACTCCATACCCTCAGAAGCTGGATATTTGGTTTATAAGTACTGATATGTTCCTGCTGATCACATCCCACCTGAAGTCATAATCTGTAGTGGCATCAAAATTGGTTGCTACGGTAAGGATTATATAACTAATGGATGATTATTAGCCAAAGTGCTATAAGGAGGTGTAACTTCATTATGTTTTATTAAGACACTGACTGTGTTTGATCCTGTACAAAAGCAAATGAGGACCTTACCAAAGAAACTTAGTCTAAATAAATTTTATGTTTAAGTTTCACCATAGCCTTGTGACTTTCAGTGGGGAATAAGCAACAGCTGCAGATGAATTTGCAAGGACTTTTTTTGTGAAAATATGGCATTATAAACAACCCAAAAATATTGCTTACAAACTGAATAGTTTCTAAAGGGAAGAGTTTTTTACAGGTTTCTATAAGATTGAACGCAAATGCACTTTAAAAAGTTAATTACAATTACAGTAATTTAAAACTGAAGCAATGATGGTGGCATTGAAGTTTTGACTTGATGCAGAAAAGCTAAAAGACAAAGCTGTAGAAATAAGTGAGGTGGACAGGTATGTTCCTGCACAGATATGAATCCACAAAGAATTTCTAGAATATCTAATAACTTGAAAACTTTTTTGTTCTTTTTCCTGGTGAATGAGCATTTTGACTAATCTTGTAATACTTCAAATTTAGGAATCAGTTGACATGGAGAAAATGTGTTTAAGATGGTCCACCCAGAAGATTTGTTACTTTGTGAAGATCTTGCTTTTGACGAATATGTAAATACCATGACAACTTCAAATTGAATTATTTTTCGTGAAATCAAGACTCATCTGTTGCCTTCATCAGAAATGTTTTTACCATTTTCAAGAAAAAACATGTCCCAGAAACTGAGTTTGTTGTTGCTGGTGTTTGGATTCATTTGGGGCTTGATGTTGCTGCGCTATACTTTTCAGCATCCAAGGCACCAAACCAGTGCTGAATTGCGTGAACAGATACTAGACTTAAGTAAAAGATATGTGAAAGCACTGGCAGAAGAAAATAAGAACATAATGAATGGTGGTAATGGAGCCTCAATGGCAGGATATGGTAAGATTAAATAAACCTGGCTACACAAACCGTTTTGTTCTAAACTACCTTTGGTACAGCTTTTAAATCTTATTTTAAATGGTACATGGAACTCTTCAAAGTAATTTTGTATGTGCTGACTGTGTGTTTGCTCATTGATAGGGCTTAATTTTAAGGCATAACGTCTTTTAACACTTGTTCTTTAAACATAGTTGTATGTATTACAGTAATTTGACTGTCAGAATCAATACTAGGTTGTCTTGTTTCTCCACCAATTGGAAATAGAGCTCTGGGGGGTTTTCTCCACAGTAACATGAAGGACTACATTCATAATGTAGGAATTAAATGTAAAATTAAAACACTTCACTACCCAAACACTGTCACTTTGTGTGTTATTTCTACCTCTTTATTGCTTTTATCTTCCCCCCCTTAATTTTCTTCTCTTCTACTATTAACAAACAATGAGAAGCAATCATGATGGTAGAATAGGAGAGATGGGGGAATGATTATGTATTTAGCAGAATCTGACCCTTATTTTACAGATGGCAGTAGAGTGCTCCAAATCTTGAGCCTCCATTGTGTTTGCATCAGCATATTCCCCTCTGACTTGACACCACTGTGCCCTGTTACCTGTGCACCCGCTATATGTCTATAGCCTATGCTCATCTAAAATGCAAGAGAGATCTGTGTGTGGTTTACTTATTGAGATCTGTTTAATGTAAACATTGAAAATTTCTCATTTCAAAAACATAATACTTTAAACTCTGCAACCCCAGTCTTATGATTTGTCTAGGTGTCCTAACCTGCAATTTGACAAATACAATCTACTTAAATTTCCTACACTATACTCCAGTGTTTCTTTCAGACTTAAATTTCTGAGAACTAGATAAAAGAAACTAATTGCCTGCCTATATTCTGTCATGCAAAACAAAAACTTCTGTGATAACACATGTAATATAGACTTAAACAGGAATTAGTTTTCAGAGAAAGAGATAAATTAGGATTTTACACACACAGAGACTCATTACTATACTTACTGCCCCTTCTTAGAAGGAATGCTAGTTGAGGGTAAACCTCTCTTTCCGTGTTTAGGTCAGGTTCAATATTTTAGGGTGTCAAAATCTTTAACCAGACAAGACCCTTAAAGGAGCTAGGGGTTGTACATCTATAACTGGATCTATATTCCTTGGTTTTGTGCAAAGGAGTTTATTTGAAACCTATTTAGAACAATAAAATTAATTAGCTTGTTCACTGATGCAGACTCACTGTCTAAGGTTTGGTTTGAGAGAATAAGAAAAATCCAAATAATGAAGAATTTTGCAAAACTAAGTGTCAAAGAATTTGGTCAGGCCAGATGGCTCTCAAATTGTGAGGAAATGACCTAATTAGTTCTGAAAGAATACGTACAGCAAAGTGAATTTTTTTGTTGAATTATGTTGATTACTGCATTGTTTGCTTAGTAGTCTTGCCTATTTGTGTTCTTCCTTCCCACACCGTGATTAACTGTCCTCTTCCACCCTGCTTCTTTTTCTCGATATATAGATAAGTTGATCTAAAAAGAACCTAAGTCTAAATCTTTACATCCAAGAATTTTAAAATAAGAAAGAAACTGTATTCCTTTTTTCTGCTTTAAGAATTACATTGTGTATTACAATAGTGCTTTACCTTGTCCTGTGGCAGACAGCACGTTCTGAACTTGGAGAATAATTGGAAAGGAACTACAGAAGGAAATAATTAAGATCCATCTTATCTAGGGTGGAAAAACTAAGTGCTTTCTAATGCTGCCAAGTGCCAGAAGCTGTTATACAGGTTGAATTTATTTCGCCTCTACTGCTGTTGTGGGTTAAAGTCCAAAATATTACCCTTAAATAGTCACTTATCTTTAAAAAAAAAAAAATGGGGGGAGGACAAGGGGAGACTAATGTTATTTTATATTCTATGATTCAATGGGCCAATTCTCAGTTTGCCATTGTGGTAGTATCTTCAAGTATGCAAAAAATAAGAAATAGTACTTTTTAAACATATGGACAGCTAGAATCCATATGTAGGAGAATTAAAGCACACTCTACCTTTTCTCTATCTTCTCCAAACACATCCAGGAAAAAAGAAAAGCAACCTTTGGAGACATAAGTTAGATGTCCAAATCTGCAAATTTCTCACACACTGCTGATAATATAAATGAACAGTATTCAATGCTACTTTCTTTGTTTTGTCTTCTTCAGCTGATCTCAAAAGAACGATTGCTGTTCTTCTGGATGACATCTTACAACGTCTGGTGAAACTGGAAAACAAAGTTGACTACATTGTTGTGAATGGCTCAGCAACAAATACCACCAATGGAACTAGTGGTAATCTGGTGCCAGTAACTACAAGTAAACGTGTAAATGCAGCAAGCAATATTAGATAACATACAAGATCACCTTATATTGCTTTATCTATCATCGATTTGATTGGATTCAAGAAAAGCTTTTTACCTCTGGCTAGGCAAAGCAATAGTTGACACTAACATATCGTACACTGTTCTGCTATAGAATGTGCTGAGTACATGCAGTCCCAACTTCTGTACATAAGGTTCTCAGAGGATTAATTTGTTGCTTTCAGAAAGTTCTGTTAAAGCAGTGCTGTACAATATCGTATTTAAAGATATTCTGGTAACTTGGTTGATGTAGTATGCCAAATGGGTGATACTTTATAATGTTTGAAGTTAAACTAAAATGGAAAAATATATATTCACTTGTAAAATATATTTATTTAAATAAAAATGTAACCTATCTTTTGGATAGATTGATTATATAGCTTAATCATTGTTTGTGTGATTGGTTTTAAACAGGTAACTAAGGATAATGTAATGTTAGAAGATGTGTCTTTACAGTACAGTATTTTGTTACTTATTAATTTGCTAGTGATATGTTGAAGATAACATTGAGATGTTTTAAAAATTGCAACCCAAAGAATGTCTTTATTTGCACTACCTGCTAGAATAGCTAGAGAGAATTTATTGTATATTTAAAAAAATCAATTATAATGAAAATCTTAGGTAGCAACACTGTCCAGATATCTTTGCTCCAGAAATAGGTCAGTTAAATTATCAAAGGCAAAACAATCTCTGATATCTTTCTATGAAATAGCTATGTATGATATTTGTGTGTGTATTTTGTAACTTCAGATAAGTTATTTAAGAGATGGAAGTCAGTTTTCAGATATGTGAATATTTGTATTCATTGCTGTTTCTTTTTAATATTTTAGTATCTTGCAGTGTGTGACAAATATAGCACATCATCTTCTTAAGTTACTTTTTTAAACAGGAGGGAGTAGGTAAATGAAGTTGAAGGGAAGCAGAGCATCTTGGCATATACTAAAGAGATGCATGTGCTAATGGTGTTTTATGAGGGACATAGGTGGGAGCTGAGGTTACGTTGCCTTATATCCACGTTAGCCTTACAGAAATGAAAATTGTAGTGAGGGTGCACTATATTTAAAAATGTGCTTTCTGCATCATGAATGCTAAAATGAAAGTGCCATTCAGTCCTATGTTTTTTAAAACTATATTGAGTGGTTGGGGTTTTTTTTTTTTTAGAATTATGTTCAGGAATTTTTGCTTGAAATATGCTGTGTAATAGCTTTTCAATATTTTATTAAAAAACAAAAACTGAATAAGACCAGAAGTGCTGGATGACATATGGTCTCACGGTTTTCTGCTTTTCTCCCCGATGATAGTCTGGACTGGTCTAGAGGAAAGTAGAATATATAAATAAAACTTGAGTTAGTGTCCAACTGTTTCTTATTTTGTGTTTGAGATACTGAGTGTAAACTTTTTTTTCCAGGAAGAAAGAAAATAAAATTGTATTTGTGAAAGTTTTTTGTTTTGTTTTTTAATTAAGTGATTCACTTTTTCCTGTTTTCTACATGTACTCTCTCTATGTACCTTGAGACTTTAAACTATTGATCTTTGTAGTTTATCACTAATTCTAAAGTCTGCTATTTATCTCATAGGCTATATAAGTAGAAGAATGGGTATAATTCATTTGGTTTTGAAACCCCAATATTTCTCAAAAACTTTTGCCTAGGTTGGAGGGGAGAGAAGAAAATATGACTGTGCAATAGTTTGGGGGGGGGAGGGGGAGTTTTCAAAGGCACAGAAGACAGCTAGACACATAACTCCTGTTGATGCATTTGAAAAATCTCCGACTAATCTGAAGGCAAGCTGTTTTTCTGGATACTGGTTGATTTCACCAGGCAAGTTTTAGTAATATTTAGTAATGCATATATAAACTGGTCGTTGATTACTCCCCTTGAGGAGCATAAAGTCCAAAAGAAAATTGTCAAGGACTACTAGACATGAGTGGTAAAAGTTTCAAAAGTAGGCAGATGTAAGAACGGCCATACTGGGTCAGACCAAAGGTCCATCTAGCCCAGTATCCTGTCTTCTGACAGTGGCCAATGCCAGGTGCCCCAGAGGGAATGAAAAGAACAGGTAATCATCAAGTGATCCTCCCCTGTCACCCAGTCCCAGCTTCTGGCAAACAGAGGCTGGGGACACCATCCCTGCCCATCCTGGCTAATAGCCATTGATGGACCTATCCTTCATGAATTTATTTAGTTCTTTTTTGAAACCTGTTATAGTCTTGGCCTTCACAACATCCTCTGGCAAGGAGTTCCACAGGTTGACTGTGTTGTGTGGAATAAATACTTCCTTTTGTTAGTTTTTAACCTGCTACCTATTAATTTCATTTGGTGGCCCCTAGTTCTTGTGTTATGAAAAGGAGTAAATAACACTTCCTAATTTACTTTCTCCACACCAGTCATGATTTTATAGACCTCTATCATATCCCCCCTTAGTCGTCTCTATTCCAACCTGAAAAGTCCCAATATTATTAATCTCTCCTAATACGGCAGCTGTTCCATACCCCTAATAATTTTTGTTGCCCTTTTGTGAACCTTTTCCAAGTCCAATATATCTTTTTTGAGATGGGGCAACCACGTCTGTACGCAGTATTCAAGATGTGGGCATACCATGGATTTATATAGAGGCAATGTGATATTTTCTGTCTTATTATCTATCCCTTAATGATTCCAAACATTCTGTTCCCTTTTTTGACTGCCGCTGCACATTGAGTGGATGTTTTCAGAGAACTATCCACAATGACTCCAAGGTCTGTTTCTTGAACGGTAACAGCTAATTTAGACCCCATCATTTTATATGTATAGTTGGGATTATGTTTTCCAATGTGCATTACTTTTCATTTATCAACATGGAATTTCATGTGCCATTTTGTTGCCCAGTCACCCAGTTTTGAGAGATCCTTTGTAGTTCTTTGCAGTCTGTCTGGGGCTGAACTATCTTGAGTAGTTTTGTATCCTCTGCAAATTTTGCCACCTCACTATTTACCCCTTTTTCCAGATCATTTATGAATATGTTAAATAGGACTGGGACCAGTATAGACCCCTGGGGACACTACTATTTACCTCACTCCATTCTGAAAACTGACCATTTATTCCTAGTCTTTGTTTCCTATCTCTTAACCAGTTACCAATCTATGAGAGAACCTTCCCTCTTATCCCATGACTGCTTACTTTGCTTAAGAGCCTTTGGCGAGGGACCTTGTCAAAGGCTTTCTAAAAATCTAAATATGCTATATCCACTGGATCCCCTTTGTCTACGTGCTTGTTGAGCCCCTCAAAGAATTCTATTAGATTGGTGAGACATGATTTCTTTATACAAAAACCATGTTGACTATTCCCCAACAAATTATGTTCATCTAGTGTCTGACAATTTTGTTCTTTACTATAGTTTCAACCAGTTTGCCCGGTACTGGAGTCAGGCTTAGTGTCCTGTAATTGCCGAGGTTTCCTCTGGAGCCCTTTTTAAAGATTGGCATCTCATTAGCTATCCTCCAGTCATTTGGTACAGATGACAGTTAGTAGTCCTCCAATTTCACATTTGAGTTATTTCAGAACTCTTGGGTGAATACCATCTGGTCCTGGTAACTTATTACTGTTTTTAGTTTATCAGTTTGTTCCAAAACCACCTCTAATGACAGCTTGATCTGGGACAGTTCCTCAGATTTGTCACCTAAAAAGAATGGTTCAGGTTTGGGAATCTCCCTCACATCCTCAGCCATGAAGACTGATGCAAAGAATTCATTTAGTTTCTCTGCAATGGCCTTATCCTCCTTGAGTGCTCCTTTATCATCTTGATTGTTCAGTGGCCCCACTGGTTGTTTAGCCGGCTTCCTGCTTCTGATGTACTTAAAATTTTTTTTGCTATTACTTTTTGAGACTTTGGCAAGAAGCAGTCATTTAAAGTGCCAAGAAACTTTATCTCTGCATCTCTTCATAAGGTGATAAATACGCAGTCAATATGGGGATAGTTGAAATCCCACATTATTATTGAGTTTTTTACTGTAATAGCCTCTCTAATGTTCCTGAGCATTTCAGTCACGATCACCATCCTGGTCACGTGGTCTGTAATATATCCCTACAGTTATATTCTTATTATTCAAGCATGGAATTACTATCCATAGAGATTCTATGGTGCTGTGTGGTTCATTTAAGGTTTTTACTTCATTTGATTCTCCGCTTTCTTTCACATACAGTGCCACTTCCCCACCAGCATGACCTGTTCTGTCCTTCTGATATATTTTGTACCCTGGTATTACTGTCCCATTGATTATCCTCATTCCACCAAGTTTCTGTGATGCCTATTATATCAATATCCTCATTTAATACGAGGCACTCTAGTTCACCCATCTTATTATTTAGACTTCTAGCACTGGTATATAAGCACTTTAAAAACTTGTCACTGTTTAGCTGCCTGCCATTACATGATGTAACTGAATGGGACTTTTTTTCAGTTGACTGTTTCTCCTCAGATTCCACCTGTATTTTATCATCTTCCATCCTCTCCTCCTTATTAGGACATAGAGAATCTCAATCTGTAGATCCTCCCCTAAGGGATTTCTGAACCACGTGCTCCTCTGCACCTGTCAGCTTTCCCCCCAGCCCTTAGTTTAAAAACTGCTCTATGACCTTTTTAATTATAAGTGCCAGCAATCTGGTTCCATTTTGGTTTAGGTGGAGTCCATCCTTCCTGTATAGGCTCCCCCTTTCCAAAAATTTCCCTAGTTCCTAATAAATCTAAACCCCTCCTCCCTACACCATCGTCTCATCCATGCATTGAGACCCTGCAGTTCTGCTTGTCTAACTGGGCCCTCAGTGTGGAACTGGAAGCATTTCAGAGAGTGCTACCATGAGCTCCTGGACTTAAATCTCTTACCTAGCAGCCTAAATTTGGCTTCCAGGACCTCTCCCCTATGTTTCGCTATGTCATTGGCACCTCCATGTACCATGACCACTGGCTCCTCCCCCGCACTACACATAAGCCTATCTAGATGTCCCGAGAAATCCGCAACCTTCGCACAGCGCAGGCAAGTCACCATGCAGTTCTCCCGGTCATCGCAAACCCATCTATTTATGTTTCTAATGATCAAATCGCCCATAACTAATACTTGTCTCTTTCTAACAACTGGAGTTCCCTCCCCTGGAGAGGTATCCTCAGTTCAACAGGATACCACAACATCAGCTGGAAGTAGGGTCTCAACTATGGGATCACTTCCCTCTGCTCCAGTTGGATATTCTCCTTCCCTGAGACTTTTATCCTCCTCAACAGCACAGGTTGTCAGACCGGGGGTGGGACCATTCCAGTGTCCTGGAAAGTCTTATCTGTGTATCTCTCTGTCTCCCTTAACTCCTCCAGCTCAGTCACCCTGCTTACAAAGCCCGTACACCGTCTCTGGGGGCTAGGAGTTCCTTGCACTAAATGCATATGTCACAGCATCACTGGGCGATGCTCTGGAACTACTCCATACGAAGCCACTCAGGACTCTGGGGGCACCTCCTCTCTGTGAGCATACTGTCTCCAGGGCAAGAAGCTTACACAACTTTGGACTTCCTGGGGCTGACCTCAGAGCATTCAGCATCCCCTTTTCACACCGTGCGCTTCCCACATCAGGTCCGCACTGGCAGGGCTTCTGGGGAAGCCAGAGGGCCCTGCACCCCAGCTCCGCAGTCAGACGTGACTCTCAGCCAACCAGTAAAACAGAAGGTTTATTAGACGACAGGAACATGGTCTAAAACAGAGCTTGTAGGTACAGAGAACAGGACCCCTCAGTCAGGTCCGTCTTGGGGGGCAGGGAGCCCAGAGCCCCCTCTGGGCATCCCTCCATTTCCCCAGCCAGCTCCAAACTGAAACTCTCCTGCCCCTCCTCTGGCCTTTGTCTCTTTCCCAGGCCAGGAGGCCACCTGATCTCTTTGTTCTCCAGCACCTTCAGTTGGCACCTTTGCAGAGGAGGGGCCCAGGCCATCAGTTGCCAGGAGACAGGGTGTCGGCCATTCTCTGTGCAGACAGCATCACACTGACACTCTAGGGCTCTGCAACAATCACACACACCCTAGATACTTAAGAAATGCCAAGGGGAAACGGAGGCACCCACACAGTATTCAGAGAAAACATTAAAAATATTCCCACTTCATCACAGCACACATACGCCACCTGCCCATAGGGCAGGTAATCATACATGCTGCATTGGGTGCAATAAACTGGGTAGCCCCCACTTTGTTGCTGGACTTCTGCCTGCATTCTCTTTTTACTCCTGTAGCTGGTTCCTTTGTTGTTGTTTTGTTTTTATCACGGGATGTTTTTTAGCTTAAGTTTAAAGAAGTTTAGGGAATGTGAAGTGTATGTAGCCACCCAACCCACATTCCCCCTGTAAACTCCCTTGCAAAACTCCCCTGTTAACCACTCCTGTTCACTGGATCCTTGGGGCCAGGGGTGGCCAACCTGTGCCTGAGAAGGAGCTAGAATTTGCCAATGTATATTGCCAAAGAGCCACAGTATTATCTCATCAGCCTCCATCAGCTCCCCTGCCAGCTGCCCTGCCAATCAGCGCCTCCCCTCCCTCCCTGTGCCTCACGCAGGATGCAGGAGGATCTGGGAGGCGAGGAGAAGAGCGAGGGTGCAGCAAGCTTCGGGGACAGGGCCTTGGGGAAAGGGGTGAAGTGGGGGCAGGGCCAGTGACAGAGGCAGGGGTTGAGCAGTGAGCATTGGAAAGTTGGTACCTGTAGCTCCAGCCCTGGAGCCCGTGTCTATGCAAGGAGCCGCATATTAACTTCTGAAGAGCCATATGCAGCTCCGGAGCCACAGGTTGGCCACCCCTGCTCTGGTCGCTTTTTAAAGCCCTGGTCTTCCTGAGTAGCCCCGCCCCCTGGTTAAGGGTTGATGGGTGCTAAAGGGACCAAAGCCTTGTTAAGAAGCTCTCAGCCTTGCCTAGCAGGCTGCTAGGCTCAGCACCCATACGGTCAGCACACAGTCCAGACCACACGGTATGTTTCAGTCCAGCAGCAAGCACACCACACCACAACAAACAAACACACACACAACAGACAACAAACTTACCCCAAGGGTCATGTAAGCACTCCTCCTTTACCCGGAGAAGTCCCTCGCAAAACTTCCCTGTTCACTAGCTCTTTGCCCAGGCACTGTCGATTAGGGATTTTGATGACTGATGAGCTTGTGTAGATTTGTGTGCAATCATACAACTATTACAAAGCAGTTCTGTACTTTTGTAGTAAACAGTTGCACTATCTTTCAGCTTTATGTAATACACGTACTCACTGGATATAGCTTGTAAAAATACTAAATATTTAAGGAGAACTTGTAGATAATATATATAACAAATATTAAATTACTTTTGTGGATGGAACAGATGTCTCACTACTGTTTTAACAATACAGTGTTATACTTCTAATTTCAGGCTATGTCAGAAACCACAAAAGAATTGGGCTGTTTCAAACTGGTACAACACAGAATTTATTGATAAATAATTTTTTTAGCTGGTAACTACTCTGAAACCAACTGACTTTTTTTTTTTTAATTTTACTGTGGTTTTCTAATGGACCTGAATTTTCTCAATCACAATCTGTTTCATGCCCCTTTTGGGCATAAAGTAATTCACGTATTCCTGCACTTCAATGATTGGCTAACTTGGGCAAGGAAAGCTAGTGAATTCAACACCCAAAATAAAGGTCATAACTTGCTAGGTAGGAATAGATGAAGGAGGAAAAAGTAGTCTTGGCAACTGCTACCTGGAGAGCCAGAAGCACCTGGGAATCCAACACAATCCCCAATATGTTCCAGACCTGATTACTATAGCAAGCACACATGTCCAATCAAGGCAACTGAAATAATCTCTCATTTTCCTCAGTTGCCTTCTCCAATCTGTGAATTACTTCAGTTTTATCCTGTTTGAGTCCGAGCCTGCTAGCCCTCATCTAAGATCCAATCTCAGCAAGCCCATGGGTCATTTGCTCAGTTGTGCTGTCCGTCATCTGAAATGGAGACTTTAACAAACTGCAGCCGCAATGCAACCACCTCTAACAGCTTTATGTAGGTGTGCATAGCACAATGGAGCCCTGAACAAAAGTTGGGGCCTCCAGCTGTTGTTGTAATCCAAATAATATATGTTGAACAGGAGCAGTGGCAGAGCCTTGTGAAGCCCCATATTAGAGAATCATTGGAGCATACAAAATGTCCCCCTGCCCCCCACCAAAAAAAAGCCCCTCTGGGACCTGTCATGAAGAATCCCACCCACTGCTACTAGGTCACAGATGCGTGCGGATCTATTTTTATTTTTTTTAATAAAGACAAGGATGTAGACCTAAAAGTAAATGTAGCAGAACATCAGTCTCCTGGGCATCCAGTCATGTGCTTTAGCACTACTTTCTCCCTCTTTAATTGGCTCATTTTTTCTTGGGTACAATCCTCTTGTTTCTACAGCTGTTGTTTGCCAGAATCTTTAACAGGGAAAAATATATTAGTTCACCCTGAAAGTACTTGCTAATGGAGAAAACTATGATTTTTTTTAAATAAATGAGAGGCTTAAATTCTATTGCATAACCCAAAAAACCCCCCAAAATCAGAATACTCCATTCTACAAGATGGAGATGAACTGAATAAATGAGGTCATTAATACATGAAGTCATTTCAACTGTTCTTTAAATAAGCAGATATGACCTTAGTACAGTTTTCAGTCTGCATCTTTAGGTGCCTAAATACCTTCGAAAAATCTGGCCCTGTGTCCTTCATCAGTCTCATCCTTTTCCTCCTGGTTTGTATTCATAAGCTTTTCTGCTTTATCAGCTTCCAGTTGGTTTCTCAACTTTGAACTAGTTCAAATTAAGAAAATATTGTTTCTGAACCTAGGAGAAATATTGTTTCTGAACCAAGGAGAAAGTCTGGGATACACACTAAAGCTATACACTATAGCTTAATTGAAACTAAAAGCTTTGGGCAAGAGCTTTTCTACACAACAGAACTAAGAAAGTATTTACATTTGCAAAAATGTAAATACCATAATTTGCTCCATTGTACAGATTGAAAATATAGATACTTAATGTAGTACATGATATTGTGACCTTTATAAAACTTGAGTTGACCTCAAAAGTTAAACATGTTTTCTCCCTGACCTATGCAGAAAGGCTAAAAGAAATCGGGTTTGTTTAATTCTGAGAAAAGAGTGGGTGGGACCTGAAACTAGTCTTCAAATATATTAAGGGCTGTTAGTAAGAGGATGTTCTCTATGTCCACTGAAGGGAGGACAAGAAGTAATCTGCTTACTCTGCAACAAGGGAGATATAGGTTTATATATTAGGAAAAACTTTCTAACTATCACAATAGCAAAGTACTGGAATAGGCTTCCAGAGTTCCAAGGGAGGTTGTGAAATTCCTGATGCTGGAAGGTTTAAGAACATGTTGGGGTCTCAGAACATTTTTGCATTTTTTGTGTCAAAATGCAGCCACCAACCCTTGCTGGTGGCAGCTCTGAAAATTTTTCCAAGCCCAAACCTTGCTGGCCTGTGCTGAAGCTCGAAGCCCATTGATCACACACATTGGCCCCATGTGTCTGGTATGGCACTGCCCAGAGCCCCCATGAGGGTGCACTGTGCAGTGTACTGATCCTCTGCTGGCGGTGCCAGCAAACAAGGCAGCCAGGAGCAACAGCTGGGTACTGCAGGGAGGGACTGCTGCTTTGCCCCTCCCCCCCATTTCTGCCCAGGAGGCTGATGTGGCCACAGAAAAATCTGGTGGCCACATTTGAGAAACGCTGGGATAGACAAACACCTGTCAGCCATAGTCTAGGTATACTTGGTTCTGCCTCAGCCCTGGGGGATGGACTTGATCTCTTGATGTCCTTTCCTGCCCTACATTTTTATGATTCTGTGAAGCAGGGCATGCTGACTATTGAAAAGACTACACACAAAGCAAGCACACCGTAAAAAGTATTTTTCCCATTGAAACTTGATTATAGTAATCTTAGGGTTATCTGTAAGTGCACTCAAAAATAAAATAACTTCACAAAGAACTATGCAGTTTTGTACCCATGGTGGTCCCAGGATATTAGAGAGACAACAACCATAGGTATTAGGATGACTCCTCAGTATGCCAACCTCTTCATGGGCCACCTTGAAAAAGAATTTCTGGACAAATGCACCATGAAACTAATGGAATACTTGAGATACATCAATGATATTTTCATCCTCTAGTCTGGACAGATGACCTAAACTCCCTCATAGATTTCCACTACAACTTCAACCACCACTACCACCCATCTATTAAACTCTCTCTAGAACATTCCGACAACAGCATCAACTTCCTGGACACCATGATCAGCTTCAATAATGGAACCCTACAGACAATTTTATATACAAGAAATCCATGTATCACCACACCTACCTTCTTAGATCCAGTAATCACCCCAAACACAACAAGAAATCTGTTCTCTACAGCCAGGGACACACGATACCATAGAATATACTCCAAGGAGAAGGTCTGGGATATACAGCTTAACACACTCAAAACCACCTTCACCAAACAAGGCTACTCCACCAGAGAAGTAAATCGCACCATGGAATGGGCCACCCAAATACCCCCAAAGAATCTTCTTCGGCACAGAAATAAAACCAGCTCCGACCATACGCCCCTAGTCGTCATCTACCACTCCACACTGGAATCCATATGGGGCATTATCAGACTACAACCCATGCTCACTTGGGACACCATCCTGAAATAAATCTTTCATAAGCCCCCACTTTTGGCCTTCAGACAACCCCCCCAGCTTCTCATCACATCACATCATCATCACAAGCAAGCTGCCCACTGACCAGGATGCACCAACTCAAAGTAGCACCAGACCCAGCCAGAAAAACAGATGCAAAACCTGCAGATGTATCTCCACTGCTACAATGGTCAACATCCCCCACAACACATCTTTCAAAATCCATGGGTCCTACACTTGCCTATCATAACATGTGGTGTACCTCATCCAGTGCACTAAATGCCCCAGTAGCAACTATGTGGGTGAAACAAGACAATCACTACACTCTCGAATGAACTCACACAGAATAATGATAAAAGACAAAACCACCACATCATCTTTATATCTGACCTATTACTCCTCATCCTCAAAGAAAATCTGCACAATACTTTCAACAGACAAGTCTGGGAGCTTAAATTCATAACTTTGCTAGACACTAAAAATCATGGACTGAAAAATGACCCTGGATTTATGGTTTATTACAATAATCTGCAACCCACTCTCCTGCTGGTAATAGCTTATCTAAAGTGATCACTCTCCTTATGATATCATACTCTCCTAGGATATCACACACATTGTAAGGAGAGTGATCACTTTACATAAGCTATTACCAGCAGGAGAGTGGGGTGGAGGGAGGTATTTTTTCATGCTTTGTGTGTATAAAAAGATCTTCTACACTTTCCACAGGATGCATCCAATGAAGTGAGCTGTAGCTCACGAAAGCTTATGCTCAAATAAATTGGTTAGTCTCTAAGGTGCCACAAGTACTCCTTTTCTTTTTGCGAATACAGACTAACACGGCTGTTACTCTGAAACCTATTATTATTTACGTTAGTCTTTCTATCTACTCAATTGGACTCAGTGCTCAGTCTAGAACAGTCATCTCCAAAGTAGGGGGTGCGCAAGACCAACCCTGGGGGTGCGTGGCAGGAGGAGCGCCACTGAAGGAGCGCTGCCGGCATGGTTTGATTTGATTCTTTGGTGGCACGCTGGCGGCAGCTCGGCTCTCCCTGCTCCGTCTTCGGCGGCACGCCAGCGGCAGCTCTTCTTCTTCTTTCTTTCTTTTTTTTTTTTTGCTTCCCTAGAGCTGGCCCTGGGGGTGCCCGATCCAAAAAGTTTGGAGACCACTGGTCTAGAAGATACCATCAGAGATGCTTAGTTTTGCAGTTCTCAAACTGTGGATTTGTGTCTCCAGAGGTAACATGCTTGTTAACAAAGGCCACATCTGCAGAAGCACAAGAAACAACAAGCAGAAGCATGATTGTTAGTGCACTACCTGCATCAAATCATTATAGTAAAATACATCTCTTTCTGGGACAGGAATGGGCTCAAGATGAGGCAAAGGGTCTAGGTGATTTTTTTAATGGGATCACTGCAAGCAACTAGGGACAAAATTGTAAATTCTGCCACCGTTTTCCACAGGCAGGGGTCATTGAAGCCAATATCTCACTCCTGAGCGTAACCAAGGTTGCAACGGTGCATCTCCTGCATCCAGGCAGTTTCAGACTCAGTCCCTATGCTGCTTGCTTATGTGCTGTTTTGGTCCCTGCACAAGTGATTGCCGATTGGCACAGGAAAGTTTCCTACAACGGGGAAGGAAAAAAGTAGCTCTGCAAAGGAACCTTTGGCAGAGGATTGGCAAGTACCTTCAGGAAAGTTTTCTGGAGATCTCTCTGGAGGAGTCCCATGAAATCTCAGTGTGTATTAACACACTATTCCACCCCACTGCATAGTTGCACAGGGGAATGACAAGCTCATGCAAACACAACAAGTCTTGTACATTTCTATCTCTTAACCCACTTCTAGCATATAACAAAGCAAAGGACAGCTCTATTTCATAGAGCCCAGCAGGATCAATTCAAAAAGATCACTTACTTCCTCTCTGCAACATACACGTCAGAGACAGAGTGCTGGGACTGGCTTGAACCCTCCTTGGTTGAGAAGAGGTCCTGGCTTGCCATGGTACTAGATGAGACTGTTGCTTGTCCGATCTTGTCCTCCAACTCAACCTCCTTGTCCACCACTTTGTCCTTGGGGTTGAGTCTGCTCTCTCCCCTCCCCTCCCGAAGTATCCACAGGGCTCTTCGCGGTGGAGGTGGGATCGCTGCCGAGGATGGCGTCCAGCTCCTTATAGAAGCAGCAGGTCTTCAGCACAGCACCAGAGCAACAGTTTGACTCCCTTGCCTTCTGGTACGCCTACCTCTGCTCCTTGATCTTCTCATGGCACTGATGCATGTCCCGTTTGTAGCCCTTATCCAAGCGGCCATAAGAAATCTGCCCATAAGTATCGAAGTTCCTACTGGAGTGGAGCTGGGACTGCACAGCCTCCTCTCCCCACAGAGCCAGCAGATCCAACAATTCAGGTGTGCTCCAAGCGGGAGAGCATTTGCTGTATGGCTGGCTGGGAAGATGCGATGTGAGCTGTCCACAGGGAGCAAACAGAAAGTGGAATTTCAAAAATTCGTGGGCCTTTAAAGGAGGGAGGGGCAGAAGCCTGTGTTCCTGGGAGCGGGGCAGCGGAGTTCAGAGGGGTTAGGATGGACACCTCCTAGAGACCATTTACAGGGACATAACTAAGTGCAGTGTCTACCACTGACACTCTGTCAATATAACTTTGCTGCAAAAGCTCTACCCCTCTGACGAAGGTGGTTCTGTTATGTCGGCATAGCCGGGGAGTTCCATGGGCGGGAGGAGCCTTCCAGTGTGTACACCTCCACCCTTTTGTCCACGGAAGCTGATGGTTGTCCATACAACTCTGTAAGGTAGCTAAGCCCCTCGTGCGGCCCTGGCCTTATACCAGTATAAAGGCAATGAAAGCCTTGTCTGCACTAGAAACCTCTCGCTGGCAAAGCTACACACCCCTGTGGCTATATCACCAGCCCTTCTACCCCGCTGATTCCTCTCCCGCCGCAGAAAGACCAGGGGGATAAAACTGCCCCGGGGGGCGGGCTGGACTGAGGCACCGGCCGCGCTGGGGGGATACTGCGGAGACTGGGCGGGCGCAGTCGGCCAGTCCCCGCTGGAGACCCGTTGAACCGGCGCCAGCCGAGCAACGGCCCAGCCGCGCGAAGGGCGGGGGCAAGCGCTCGTCTCCCGCCGGAGCCGCCTTCCCCCTCGGCTGGGAGGGCGGCGCTTCCGAGCGGGCAGCCGGCGCTGCGCGGCGCTCCCCCCGTCCCGCCCCGGGCCTGGGAGACCGGCGCGGATGGAGCGGCTGCGGGTGCAGGCCGGGGGCGCGGCGGCGGTGGACGAGTACCTGGAGTACCGGAGGTGAGGGGCCGCCTGCACCGGGACGGGACCGCACTGAGTTTCAGAGGGCTGCGGATAATGTTAAGGCCCTTCCTGGTGTGTCACGGTCTCACCTGGCCCCGGGGTCGGTCCCCGTCCCTGCTCGGCTGGGGCTGGGGCGTGGGTCGCCGCCACGCTCCTGGGGATGGGGGCGCAGGTGCCTGGGGGGTAGTTCGCAGGCTCTTTCTCCTGCCCCGCTTGGGGGTGGGCTGCGGGGGTCAGGCTCCCTATCCCCTGGGCTGGAGATGGCGGGTGCTGGTTGAAGAAGCAGGAGTGACTCTCCTCGGGGAACACTTTAATAAAGCTGAAATACCGTTTTACGAGAGAATAAACGTGAATCCCTGGCGGGGGTGGTTTGGAGCATCCAGGTAGGGGAATCCTCTAAATTAGAAGGGTTGGACACTGGGTAATTTCTCAGCCAAGTCAGCCTCTGCTGTTAGACTCGCGGAGGCGCTCTGCCAGAGTATAGAGAGAGGTTCCCCCGAAGGCAGGGTAGATAAAAATCAATGATTTAAAAAAAAAAATCAGATATTTTTATTTAAATGGGATTTTTTTAATAAAATGCTTTTTTTGAGGAAAAGACCTATCTAAAGATAGTTTTAATTAAGATACATTATAGCTCAAAGATATCTCGTCATGGAATAGGGATTATAAATTCTAATTCTATAGTATGAGATGATATATTCATGTAATGTTTAAGAAAAGTTTTGTAAATGAGTTCCAATAATTCATGGATTAGGGACCTAATTTTATGGGGTTCCACAGGCTTCTGGAGAGATTATTATTTAGGTTAATCTTTCTATCTACCCAATGGGACTCAGTGCTCAGTCTAGAACAGTGGTCTCCAAAGTGGAGTGCGCACCCCACTGGGTACGCAAGACCATCCCTGGGGTTGCGCGGCAGGAGGAGCGCCAGTGAAGGAGCGCCGCCGGCATGGCGGCAGCAGCACTCCTGGACCTTTGATTCTTCGGAGGCATGCCGGCGGCAGCTCGGTTCTTCCCGCTCCGTCTTCGGTGACACGCTGGCAGCAGCTCTTTTTTTTTTTTTTTTTTTTTCCGCTTCCCTAGAGCTGGCCCTGGGGGTGCGCGATCCAAAAAGTTTGGAGACCACTGGTCTAGAAGATACCATCAGGGATGCTTAGTTTTGCAGTTTTCAAACTGTGGATTTGTGTCTCCAGAGGTAACATGCTTGTTAACAAAGGCCACATCTGCAGAACCTGATGTCACATGGCAAAATTATACCAGTATATTTTATCTGACAAGGTTCTCTTCTCACGCAAATCTGTCCCCATCCAAATATCTTTAGGAACCTGGAATCTTTTTTGTTTTGTTTTGTTTTTTGAGACACGGGAAGAACGCTTTTTTCCTCCATGGAAACACCAAAGCAACAAAGCTTCTTGCTTAGCAACGGGAAGCAGTGTTTTGTAAATAAAAATGTTATTTAATACTCCACCTGAGGTTATAATCCTGGTGTTATCTACGTTTTGGTGTTAGACTTCTTTCTTTTCTTGCTGTGCGATATGCTACGGCTGATTTTTAAGTTATCATTGATTGAAATTCTGGATAGGAGACCTCAGCAAAATTTAGGATTCACCAGGACTCTAGAATGTTTTAATGAGTTCTGTGGATACATCAGAACACTTCAGAACTTTAAAAAAATGTTTCGTTTTCAAAGGCAGGGAAAGGGAAATCTTCCAACTACCCCATGCAATGCCTTTATCTCTGGTATTATGGCTCTATTAATATTTGTCTCGTTGAGCTTTGTCTGTGAATATTTTGACATGCAAGTACCTTTTCTGTTGACATATATAAACTCATCTTTTAGATATATCTCAGTTGAAATATGAGAATGGAAATTATGTTTATGTTCCCCGTGCCCAGGCGTGCTTGTATGCCTGCCATCTGCCCATGAGTAAACTTTTGTGAAATAGTTTGGGAGGACAGTAAGCCAGTTCAACTATTTTTTTCAGGAAATACAAATTGACACACATTTTATTTTGACAATTATAAAAATGTCCCCATTTGTAAGAATCTCTAGGTGCATCTTATTAAAATAATAACTTTTAAAAAACCGCAAAAGTGAATTAGCTCCTGTTTTACTTACCCTATGTGATGCAATACCTTGCACACTATTTTTAGCTTAAGAAAACATTCAGTAAAATATGAAAGATGCAGGTAATCATACTTTTTATCCATATATGTTCAAAATGCTTTAAAAAGGAGGGTAAATTTCAATAAATTGTTATATCAGGTGTTGATGAAATATATTAGCGCACATTATGTGATATTGTACGTTACTGATATATTGTGAATTTGCATATGTATATCCACACTGTAGCTTACTGAAAAACAGGCCCATGTTATATCTATTTGTAGAAAGTCTTAACACATGCAACTTATAATAATACTATAAATTTTTATAGCATTTTATAAACATGAATGAATGAAGTTTAACAACTCCATGAGGCAGGTAAGTATTATTTCTGTTTTACAAATGAGGAAACCGAAGGCCTTTTAGGGCTTGTCCTCATTGCAGAGTTAACTAGAATTATAACTTGAGTGTTGCCCCTTGAGTCCTGTCCACATACACAAATCTTGAGCATAGTTAATTCAAGTTGGCTGGCCTGTTGGGATGTAGGTTATTGCTCTGGTTAGCATGGCTCATCAGCTGCTTATAGCAGTGGTTCTCAACTGGGTTTCGTGTACCTTTGGGGGTACGCAGAGGTATTCCAAGGGGTACATCAACTCATCTTGATATTTGCCTAGTTTTAAAACAGGCTGCATAAAAAGCACTGTCGAAGTCAGTACAAACTAAAATTTAATATAGTCAAAATGAGAAAATAAGCAATTTTTCAGTCGTATGCTGAGACACTTTTGTATTTTTATGTCTGATTTTGTACGCAAGTAGTTTTTAAGTGAGGTGAAACTTGGGGTACGCAAGGCAAATCAAGACTTCTGAAAGGGGTACAGTAGTTTGGAAAGGTTGAAACCTACTGGCTTACACAATCACTTTGCGCTGCTAATATACCATTCAATACATCTTGAGTGTTATTTCATGGTGTAGCGGCTGTGATTCAAGCTGGGTTAACTTCAGAAGAGTTAACTCAAGAATAGATAACTGGAGCGAAGACATAACCATACAGCAGTGTCCCCTGAACATTTTAGGGTCATGCCCCCTGCCCCTGAGCCAAGGATGGGAGTGGGGTCACAGCTCCTGGGGCAGGTGGGGAGACGTGGATAGGGGTAAGGGAGCAAGACTTAGAGTGGGGCTGGGGCTGGGAGCAGAGCCAGGGCCGGGGCCAGGAACAAAGTCGCGGCCAGGGGCCCAGGCTGGGGTGGAGCCACAGCTGGGCTGCAGTGGGTGCAGAGCTGCAGTGAGGCTGAGGCTAGGGCCAGGGCCAGAACAGAGTTGGGAGGGGGGGCTGGGTGGCACTTCCTCTCCACCCCCTGTGGGGGCTGGCCTGGTCACCACCACACCCCACCAAACATTCCTCCATACTCCCCTAGGGGGTCGTGCCCCACAGTTTGCGGACCTCTGCAATAGAGAGATGACGTGGCTTGTTAGTGGTCATGCAGGAAGTCTGAGTTAGAGCTAGGAAGACCTCAGAACTCCTGACTTGCAGTCCGTTTTCTTTAACGTAAAAAGGAACTTGGTAGCTTGCCGCTCCACTCCATCCTTCCCTAGCCCTTCTTTACACACTTTTCATACCATCTTAATTAATTAGCCTCTTACAGTTGGTATGGCTACTTCCACTTTTTCATGTTCTCTGTATGTATATATATATATATCTTCTTACTATATGTTACAGTTATATATCTTCTTACTATATGCATATTCTATGCATCCGATGCAGGGGGCTGTAGCCCACAAAAGCTTATGCTCAAATAAATTTGTTAGTCTCTAAAGTGCCACAAGTACTCCTGTTCTTTTTTCCATACCGTTAAAGCCAGTTTATAAGCATTTGTTTAAAAACTTGAGTACAGTTCCTTACAAAGGCTATCTCTAGGGTACTATTATGGAAGATAAAATAATATTCAGTGTTGTTTACTGGTGTATCATTATATATTTTCAGAATTGCAATCTACCTTTGCCTCCCTCAATTTTACTGAAAGTTAAATGTAATTAAAATATTATGAAACACAATTATATGTTGCAGAATTGTAGGTGATGACGATAGAGGGAAACTCTTTACCCCTGAGCAATATGAAGAATACAAAAGAAAAATGTTACCAATACGATTACAGAACAGATTGTACGTGAGCTGGAGATCACCAACTGGGATGGACTGTAAACTTGTGGGCCCGGAGACACTCTGTTTTTGTACCCATAGGTGAGTTTTGTTTTTTTTTCTTCTTGCTGCTGAACTTTGTTTTTACTTAGAAAATGTAAAATGTTTATAAAACGCAGTGTCATAGCAGTAGTTAACTTGAGAATCTGGGGTGAAAAGAGTGATGTAATTTAAGGAAGCATTTTTGAGACGAAAGAAATCATTCTATAGTGATCTATAAATGCAGTTTATGCTTGGAACTGTGAGTCTACCAGAGATTGAAGTAGTCAGAGATAAATTCAAGAGTTTAGAGCTTTGAATTTACTGATATATTCTGATTATATATTATATATTTACTGATTATATATATATAATCCTGAGTGTCTCTGGATTAAGTTTAGAAGTGTGTGCAACAAGAGTGATGTAGCGGTGGGAGTCTGCTATAGACCACCGGACCAGGGGGATGAGGTAGATGAGGCTTTCTTCCGGCAGCTCACGGAAGCTACTAGATCGCATGCCCTGATTCTCATGGGTGACTTTAATTTTCCTGATATCTGCTGGGAGAGCAATACAGCGGTGCATAGACAATCCAGGAAGTTTTTGGAAAGCGTAGGGGACAATTTCCTGGCGCAAGTGCTAGAGGAGCCAACTAGGGGGGGCACTTTTCTTGACCTGCTGCTCACAAACCGGGTAGAATTAGTGGGGGAAGCAAAAGTGGATGGGAATCTGGGAGGCAGTGACCATGAGTTGGTTGAGTTCAGGATCCTGATGCAGGGAAGAAAGGTAAGCAGCAGGATACGGACCCTGGACTTCAGGAAAGCAGACTTCGACTCCCTCAGGGAACGGATGGCCAGGATCCCCTGGGGGACTAACTTGAAGGGGAAAGGAGTCCAGGAGAGCTGGCTGTATTTCAAGGAATCCCTGTTGAGGTTACAGGGACAAACCATCCCGATGAGTCGAAAGAATAGTAAATATGGCAGGCGACCAGCTTGGCTTAATGGTGAAATCCTAGCGGATCTTAAACATAAAAAAGAAGCTTACAAGAAGTGGAAGGTTGGACATATGACCAGGGAAGAGTATAAAAATATTGCTCGGGCATGTAGGAATGATATCAGGAGGGCCAAATCGCACCTGGAGGTGCAGCTAGCCAGAGATGTCAAGAGTAACAAGAAGGGTTTCTTCAGGTATGTTGGCAACAAGAAGAAAGCCAAGGAAAGTGTGGGCCCCTTACTGAATGAGGGAGGCAACCTAGTGACAGAGGATGTGGAAAAAGCTAATGTACTCAATGCTTTTTTTGCCTCTGTTTTCACTAACAAGGTCAGCTCCCAGACTGCTGCGCTGGGCATCGCAAAATGGGGAAGAGATGGCCAGCCCTCTGTGGAGATAGAGGTGGTTAGGGACTATTTAGAAAAGCTGGACGTGCACAAGTCCATGGGGCCGGACGAGTTGCATCCGAGAGTGCTGAAGGAATTGGCGGCTGTGATTGCAGAGCCATTGGCCATTATCTTTGAAAAGTCGTGGCGAACCGGGGAAGTCCCGGATGACTGGAAAAAGGCTAATGTAGTGCCAATCTTTAAAAAAGGGAAGAAGGAGGATCCAGGGAACTACAGGCCAGTCAGCCTCACCTCAGTCCCTGGAAAAATCATGGAGCAGGTCCTCAAAGAATCAATCCTGAAGCACTTGCATGAGAGGAAAGTGATCAGGAACAGCCAGCATGGATTCACCAAGGGAAGGTCATGCCTGACTAATCTAATCGCCTTTTATGATGAGATTACTGGTTCTGTGGATGAAGGGAAAGCAGTGGATGTATTGTTTCTTGACTTTAGCAAAGCTTTTGACACGGTCTCCCACAGTATTCTTGTCAGCAAGTTAAGGAAGTATGGGCTGGATGAATGCACTATAAGGTGGGTAGAAAGCTGGCTAGATTGTCGGGCTCAACGGGTAGTGATCAATGGCTCCATGTCTAGTTGGCAGCCGGTATCAAGTGGAGTGCCCCAAGGGTCGGTTTTGTTCAATATCTTCATAAATGATCTGGAGGATGGTGTGGATTGCACTCTCAGCAAATTTGCGGATGATACTAAACTGGGAGGAGTGGTAGATACGCTGGAGGGGAGGGATAGGATACAGAAGGACCTAGACAAATTGGAGGATTGGGCCAAAAGAAATCTGATGAGGTTCAATAAGGATAAGTGCAGGGTCCTGCACTTAGGACGGAAGAACCCAATGCACAGCTACAGACTAGGGACCGAATGGCTAGGCAGCAGTTCTGCGGAAAAGGACCTAGGGGTGACAGTGGACGAGAAGCTGGATATGAGTCAGCAGTGTGCCCTTGTTGCCAAGAAGGCCAATGGCATTTTGGGATGTATAAGTAGGGGCACAGCGAGCAGATCGAGGGACGTGATCGTTCCCCTCTATTCGACATTGGTGAGGCCTCATCTGGAGTACTGTGTCCAGCTTTGGGCCCCACACTTCAAGAAGGATGTGGATAAATTGGAGAGAGTCCAGCGAAGGGCAACAAAAATGATTAGGGGTCTGGAACACATGAGTTATGAGGAGAGGCTGAGGGAGCTGGGATTGTTTAGCCTGCAGAAGAGAAGAATGAGGGGGGATTTGATAGCTGCTTTCAACTACCTGAAAGGGGGTTCCAAAGACTCTAGACTGTTCTCAATGGTAGCAGATGACAGAACGAGGAGTAATGGTCTCAAGTTGCAGTGGGGGAGGTTTAGATTGGATATTAGGAAAAACTTTTTCACTAAGAGGGTGGTGAAACACTGGAATGCGTTACCTAGGGAGGTGGTAGAATCTCCTTCCTTAGAGGTTTTTGAGGTCAGGCTTGACAAAGCCCTGGCTGGGATGATTTAACTGGGAATTGGTCCTGCTTCGAGCAGGGGGTTGGACTAGATGACCTTCTGGGGTCCCCTCCAACCCTGATATTCTATGATGCTATGATTTACACTTATTGTGTGGATCTATGACCATTTGATTCCATCACCACATACTGCTTTGAAAATATATACTTGAAATGGTGCCAAAGGCAAATTTAAAGGTTTGCCATATTTTTTCACTAGAGTATAACTTAAAAAGCACTTGAAACCCCACACAGCAACGAAACCTACCTTTTGTGAGAATGAGCACATTTTTTGTTTGTAGAAGAACTAAATGTATCTCTGCATTAAACTTGAAATCTAAATTATAAATTCCTTAAAGAAATTTTTAATGGTAAATGCTGAATGACTTTGAGCTATAATTGTTTGCAGTGTTGTTGCAGCCATGTTGGTACCTCAGTGACTTGGTCTCTTTGAACTATAAGGGTATTGTTATAGCCCATATGCATATGTACTAATTTATTTTTTTTCTGTTTTTAGGTATAAACAACACAAAACAGATTATGAAGAGATTCCAAAAAACCGTCCTATTTGTGTACCCTGTCGAGTGAGCCGTTGCCAGTGCAAATCCTATCACTATGTCCCTCTAAATGGCACTCAGCCCATTCGTTGTAGATGCAAGCATTTTGCTGATCAGCACAGTGCAGCACCTGGATTTTCCTGTAACTCCTGTAAGTTAGTTTCTTATAAATACACATGCAGTATTCGTTACTACTAACTTAAGAAGCATAGGCTTTAAATATAGGTATATTTTCTAAACTTAGCAGGAAATAGCACTTAATGCCCATGCAAGATTATTGGTAACACTAATTTAATATACTAATGGTTAAATTCAGGTATCACTCAGTTCAGTTGAAGTTTTGCTATTGACTTTAGTGGGACTAGGATTTGGCCCTAAAACAGGAATTATTATCAGCAGTTAAACTATGTACTCAAGTATCAGAGGGGTAGCTGTGTTAGTCTCTATCCACAAAAACAACAAGGAATCCGGTGGCACCTTAAAGACTAACAGATTTATTAAGGCATAAGCTTTCATGGGTAAAAAACCCACTTCTTCAGATGATTTTCTGTCTTTTAGAGCTCTTCAAATGATATATTGATGGATATTTTTAGCTAGATTTCTAGATTGCTAGTAAATTACTTGCATGAAGTATGAGAAATAATTTATAGAGGAAGGATCTCATAAACCAGTTTTGCTTGCAGCATGGGGAATAATATCTAACAGAATAATATACAACATTGATATAACAGCCTTTCAAGAATTAACTCTAAATCGTATGTAGCAAATTAGTTTAAGTGTAACTGGATTGTTTCATACTGAATCTTTAAACTACAAACGAATATAATATTTTTGAATGACAGGTCATATTATGCTTAATAAATTTTCTAATGCTTCAAGTATATATGATAGTTAAGAGGCCTGGCTGTGTTTGAAAATTCTGTAGAAGATGTCAGGAATTGACCCCTCTCTTGAAAATTGTACATTTTTATTATACTGGAGTTAGTTTACACAATCTTGGCTCTCAGTCTCCTTTGCCTTGTGACTAGAATATTTGGAACCCTGGCTTTTGTTTTTATACAAATCAGGGTACTTCCTTTTCTTTAAACAAATAAATAAAACCATCCTGGTTGCAAGCAATGGCTGTGATCGGTGAGGAACAGGATCAATACCGGAATAGTGTTGATGGATTTTTTGTTTTCTGTAGGAGTATATATCCACTGGGTTTATCCTATATACTCTTATAAGCTGTAGTATATATGTGTATAGAAATATAGAGTGAAGTGATTTCTTTGCTCCCAAAGATGGGACTAAGTCATCAGAGTGCTCTTGATTCAATCATAAAGAAGTAACCGTGGTAGTAGTTTTGCAGATATTTCATTCTGTGGTCTACTTTGTAATAGAGACTCTTCGTAGCCTCTCTCCTGTTCCCAGCTTTACAGTCCCCCATTTCTTGTATCGCAAGTGTTCCATTTTGTAGAGCACCAAGAAGAATTTTGGGAGTCTTGAATCACAGTTTGAGAACCACTGTGAAGGTCCAAAACATGGCAGTGTTCTAATAAAATTTGTGGATGACAAAGTTGGGAGGTACTGCCAAAACAGGGGAGGACTGGAATATCACACAAGAAAATCTGGAGAACCTTAAAAATTGGAATAGAAATGGGATGAAATTTAATAGTTCAAGGTCATGCACTTAAGGACTAATAAGAATTTTTGCTATAAGCTGTGGATGAACCTGTGGAAAGGAACAGAGGAGGAGAAAGACCTAGGTGTGTTAATGACAGGATGACTATGAGCTGCTAATGTGATACAGCGGTGAAAAAGGCTAAATGCAATCCTAGGATGCATCAGGTGAGGTATTTCCAGTAGAGATAGGGAAGTGTTATTACCATTATACAAGGCACTGGTGAGACCTCATCTGGAATACTGTGTGCAGTTCTGGTCTCCCATGTATAGGAAAGATGAATTCAGACTGGAACAGGTGCAGAGAAGGGTTACTATAATGATCAAAGGAATGGAAAACCTCCCTTATGAGAGGAGACTCAAGGGGTTTGGCTGGTTTACCCTAACCCAATGAAGCCTGAAGAGAGGTGTATGTTCTCTCTCTCTCTCTCACTCACTCACACACCCCAGAGATGAAATGGAGTTATTTAAGTTAAGCACCAATGTTGAAACAAGAACAAATTGATATAAACTAGCCATAAATAGGTTTAGGTTTGAAATTAGTTGAAGGTTTCTAACCATTAGAGGAGGCAAGGTCTGAGACAGCCTTCCAAGGGCAGCAGTGGGGGCAAAAAACTTAACTGGTTTTAGTTTATGGAGGGGATGGTATAATGAGACTGCCTAAAATGGTGTATGACCCATCAGTCACTGCTAGTACAAATATTCCCAGTGGCTGTAGTGGGGACATCAGAGTGGGAGGCTGAGTTGCTACAGAGAATTTTTTCTCAGGTGTCTGGCTGGTGGGTCTTGCTGACATGTTCAGAGTCCAACTGATTGCCAATTTGGGGGTTAGGAAAAAGTTTCACCCTAGGGGGTTTTCCACTTTCCTCTGCAGTATGGGCGCAGGTCACTTGCAGGTTTAAAGTGGAGTAAGTGGTGGATTCTCTGTAACTGGAAGCCTTTATATCATGATTTGAAGACTTCAGTAACTCAGCCAGAGGTTATGGGTCTACTACAGGAGTGGGTGAATGAGGTTCTGTGGCCTGCAGTGTGCAGGAGGTCAGACTAGGTGATCACAATGGTCCCTTCTGGCTTAAAAGTCTATGCCTGTAAATAACTTTCCCAAGGTCACACAGGGAGTCCATGGCAGATCTGGGAAGTGAACTCAGGTTGCTAGAATCCCAGACTTGTGGCTGATCAGTTGGACCATTCCGTGCCCTGATTTAGGTCCATGAATCCTTCTTGGCTGGGCATATGTTGGGCTACATGCTGCTGCTGGGTGTGACTGTGCCCATTCTACAGAACAGCTAGAGCCAATTGGCAAGGGAGGTGAAGAAGTCAGAGAACTATTGCTGCTATCCAGTGGCGTAGCCAGGTGGAGAAAACCAGAGGAGCGGAGATAAAAAAAGGCGCCACCCGCAGCGGCGCTTGAGGTCTTCGGCATCGGGTCCTTCGCTCGCTCTGGGTCTTCTGCAGCATTTTGGTGGTGGTGGTGGTGTTGGGGTCCTTCAGTGCCGCCGAAGACCCGGAGCGAGAGAAGGACCCGATGCTGAAAGACACGGAGCGCCGCCAGGTGAGTAAAAATTAAAGGCGCCAAAAAATTAAAAAGGTGCCACTTCTGCTCAGTGGGAGAGCGGCCGTTGCCCCGCTCCTCCACTAGCTATGCTACTGATGCCATCTGGGGGAGCATAACAACAGTGGATCTCACTCACTAGTTGTTACCTTAGCTCAGGAGTGGGCAAACTTTTTGACTTGAGGGCCACATCTGGGTATGGAAATTGAGTGGTGGGCTATGAATGCTCATGAAATTGCAGGTTGGGGTGCAGGCTCCAGCTGTGGGCTCTGGGGTGGGGCCAGAAATGAGTTCAGGGTGCAGGAGGGGGCTCTGGGCTGAGGTAGGGGTTGGGGTGGGTGTGGGAGGGGGTACAGGTTCCAGGGTGAGGGCTGAGGTAGGGGCCCAGGAGGAGGTCAGGGGTGCAGGCTCTGGGCAGCGCTTACCTCAAGCAGCTCCCGGAAGCCGCAACATGTCCCCCCTCTGAGTCCGGCTCCTATGCGGCGGCGCGGCCAGGTGGATCTGCGAGCTGCCCCATCTGCAAGTGCTGCCTCTGCAGCTCTCAGAAGCAGTAGTAGCAGCAGCATGTCCCCCCCCCTGGCTTTTACACAGAGGCACAGCCCTGGCCAGGCAGCTCTGCGTTCTGCCCTGTCTGCAGGCACCCATTCCAGCCAATGGGAGCTGCAGAGCCAGTGCTTGGGGCAGGCGTAGTGTGTGGAGCCCCCTGGCTGCTCCTACATGTAGGAGCTGGAGGTGGGGGACATGCCACTGCTTTCGGGAGCCACATGGAGCTATGGCACAAGCAGGGCAAGCCCCTGATCCTGCTTCCTGGTAAGAGATAGAGGGCTGGATTAAAAGGTTTGATGGTCTGGATGCAGCCTGCAGGCTGTAGTTTGCCCACCCCTGCCTTAGCTGAAGCAGCCTCCACCTCGTTTAAATTGTTGGACAAATTGTAGGAGCACGTGCACAATCAATCCTTCGATTTGCCTGGGACTGATTCCAGGAATAGAACTCAGATTCCCATGATTTAAGCACATGTTCATCCTTTTTCTTATAGAGCATCCAAATGGAAAGTGTGGTTGGGTACTTATGCATGGAAGGAAACCAGCAGTGCTTGGGAAAGCAACAATTTAGGGAAACTGTAGTGTGTGAGAGATAATAAATGAATAGACTCCATTATCTCACTCTGAATACTTTTTATTTAGGTTCTAAATGTTCAGGATTTCACAGCTGCTTTACCTGTGGGTGTGGTCAGCCAACATATGCCCATGAAACGGTTGTGGAAACTAAACAAGAGCGCTTAGCCCAGGGAAAACCTGTGGGGCAGGATGTTCCTTATGCTGCAATGGGAGGATTAACTGGCTTTAGTTCACTGGCCGAAGGCTACATGAGACTTGATGACAGCGGAGTCGGTAAGTGCAGGAGACTTGAGATAATATTTTGATCCTTTGTCTATTTAATTTTCTTATATGAAAGTCTCTTGAAATATGAAGTTTCAGACTTTCCCATAGGATGGGGACTCCCAATTCCTGATTTTTTTTTTTAATAGATTTAAAGGCAAGAGATGATCATCTTCTGACTTCTTGTAGAAAAGAAGCTATAGAAATTAGAAGATATGACATAGTTGGCATCATGGAGACTTGGTGGAATAATATGCATGACTGGAATATTGGTATAAAAGGATACAGCTTGCTCAGGAAGGATGGCAGGGAAAAAAGGGAGGAGGTATTGCCTTAAACAGGGCCGGCTCCAGCTTTCCAAACAGGTGCCTGGGGCAGCAATCTTAAAGGGGCGGCAGTCCATGCATCATTAGGGCTGCATGGGTTTTTTCACCGCCATGACAATTTGGCATCAGCTTGTATCTTCACAGTTCCACGGTAGCAATTCGGCGGCAGCTCCCTTTTTCAGGTGGCAATTCGGCATGCTGCTTGGGGCAGCAAAAACAGTAGAGCCAGCCCTGGCCTTATGTATTAAAAATGTATACACTTGGACTGAGGTTGAGATAGAAATAAGAAACAGACTTGTTGAAAGTCTCTGGGTAAGAACAAAAAGGGATAAAAACAAAAAGGTGATGTAGTGGTAGGGGTCTACTGCAGACCACCAAACCAGGAAAAGGTGGAGGAGGCTTCTTTTAAACTAACAAAATCATCCAAAGCACAGGACTTGGTGGTGATGGGCGACTTCAAGTACCCAGACATCTGTTGGGAAAACACAGGAGGGCATAGATTATCCAACAAGTTCTTGGAATGTATTGGAGACAATTTTTTATTTCAGAAAGTGGAGAAAACTACTACGGGGAAGGCTGTTCTACATTTGATTTTGACAAACAGGGAGGAACTGGTTGAGAATTTGAAAGTGGAAGGCAACTTGGGTAAAAGTGATCATGAAATGGTAGAGTTCATGATTCTAAGGAATGGTAGGAGGGAGAACAGCACAATAAAGACAATGGATTTCAAGAAGGCAGACTTTAGCAAACTCAGGAAGCTGGTCGGTAAAATCCCATGGGAAGCAAATCTAAGGGGAAAAACAATTGATGACTGTTGGCAGTTTTTCCAAAGAGACATTATTAAGGGCACAAGAACAAACTATTCCACTGTTTAGGAAAGAGTCACTATGGCAAGAGACCACTCTGGCTTAACCAGGAGATCTTCAATGATCAAAAAAAAAAGTCCTGCAAAAAGTGGAAACTTGGTCAAATTACAAAGGATGAATATAAACATATGTATGTAGGGACAAAATTGGAAAAGCCAAGGCACAAAACAAGATCAAACTAGCTAGGGACATAAAAGGAAACAAGAAAACATGCTACGAATACATTAGAAGCAAGAGGAAGACCAAGGGCAGAATAGGCCCATTACTCAATGTGGGGGGAGGGAGGGAGGGAGAGAGAGACTAACAGAAAATGTGGAAACGGCAGAGGTGCTTAATGACTTGGTTTCGGTTTTCACCAAGAAGGTTGGTGGCAATTGGACATCTAACAGTGAATGCCAGTGAAAATGAGGTAGGATCAGAGTCTAAAATAGGGAAAGAACAAGTCAAAAATTACTTAGACAAATTAGAGGTCTTCAAATCACCATGGCCTGATAAATTGCATCCTAGAATACTCAAGGAGTTGACTGAGGAGATATCTGACCCATTAGCAATTATCTTTGAGAAGTCATGGAATAGATTCCAGAAGACTGGAAAAGGGCAAATACAGTGCCCATCTATAAAAAAGGGAAATAAGGATAACCTGGGGAATTACAGAACAGTCAGCTTAACTTCTGTACCTGGAAAGATAATGGAGCAAATAATTAAGCAATCAATTTAAAAACACCTAGAAGAGAATAAGGTGATAAACAACAGTCAGCATGGATTTGTCAAGAACAAATCATGTGAAACAAACCTGATAGCCTTCTTTGACAGGGTAACAAGCCTTGTGGATAAGGGGGAAGTGGTAGATGTCTATCTAGATGTTAGTAAGGCTTTTGATACTGTCTTGCATGACCTTCTCATTAACAAGCAAGGGAACTACAACCTAGATGGAGCTACTGTAAGGTGAATGTATAACTGGTTGGAAAATCATTCCCAGAGAGTAGTTATCAGTGGTTCAGTCATGCTGGAAGAGCATAACGAGTGGGGTCCTGCAGAGGTTGGTTCTGGGTCTGGTTTTGTTCAATATCTTCATCAATGATTTAGGATCAGGGATCAGCAACCTTTGGCATGTGTCTCGTCAGGGAAATCTGCTGGCGGGCTGGGACGGTTTCTTTATCTGCAGCATCCGTAGGTTCTGCTGATTGCAGCTCACACTGACTGCGGTTTGCTATTCCAGGCCAATGGGGGCTGTGGGAAGCTGTGCGGGCTGAGGGATGTGCTGGCTGCCACTTCCAGGTCAACAGGGGCTGTGGGAACAGCGAACCACGGCCAGTAGGAGCTGCAATCGGCCGAACCTGCAGATGCTACAGGGAAAGAAACCGTCCCAGCCTGCCAGCGGTTTTCCCTGACTGGCTGCATGCCAAGGGTTGCTGATCCCTGATTTAGATAATAGCAGAGAGTACAGTAAAAGTTTGCAGACAATACCAAGCTGGGAGGGGTTGCAAGTGCTTTGGAGGATAGGATTAAAATTCAAAATGATCTGGACAAACTAGAGAAATGGTCTGAAGTAAATAGGATGAAATTCAATAAAGACAAATGCAAAGTGCTCCACTTAGGAAGGGGACAATGTTGCACACATACAAAATGGGAAATGACTGCTTAGGAAGGAGTACTGTGGAAAGGGATCTGGGGGTCATAGTGGATCACAAGCTAACTTTGAGTCAACAATATAACGCTGTTGCAAAAAAGGTAAACATAAGCAAGAGTATTGTAATCAAGACATGAGAAGTAATTCTTCTGCTCTACTCTGCACTGATTAGGCCTCAACTGGAGTATTGTGTCCAGTTCTGGATGCCACATTTCAGGAAAGATGTGGACAAATTGAAGAAGTCCAGAGAAGAGCAACGAAAATGATTAAAGATTCATGATTAATGATTCATGGAGCAGGTCCTCAAAGAATCAATCCTGAAGCACTTGCATGAGAGGAAAGTGATCAGGAACAGCCAGCATGGATTCACCAAGGGAAGGTCATGCCTGACTAATCTAATCGCCTTTTATGATGAGATTACTGGTTCTGTGGATGAAGGGAAAGCAGTGGATGTATTGTTTCTTGACTTTAGCAAAGCTTTTGACACGGTCTCCCACAGTATTCTTGTCAGCAAGTTAAGGAAGTATGGGCTGGATGAATGCACTATAAGGTGGGTAGAAAGCTGGCTAGATTGTCGGGCTCAACGGGTAGCGATCAATGGCTCCATGTCTAGTTGGCAGCCGGTATCAAGTGGAGTGCCCCAAGGGTCGGTCCTGGGGCCGGTTTTGTTCAATATCTTCATAAATGATCTGGAGGATGGTGTGGATTGCACTCTCAGCAAATTTGCGGATGATACTAAACTGGGAGGAGTGGTAGATACGCTGGAGGGGAGGGATAGGATACAGAAGGACCTAGACAAATTGGAGGATTGGGCCAAAAGAAATCTGATGAGGTTCAATAAGGATAAGTGCAGGGTCCTGCACTTAGGACGGAAGAACCCAATGCACAGCTACAGACTAGGGACCGAATGGCTAGGCAGCAGTTCTGCGGAAAAGGACCTAGGGGTGACAGTGGACGAGAAGCTGGATATGAGTCAGCAGTGTGCCCTTGTTGCCAAGAAGGCCAATGGCATTTTGGGATGTATAAGTAGGGGCATAGCGAGCAGATCGAGGGACGTGATCGTTCCCCTCTATTCGACATTGGTGAGGCCTCATCTGGAGTACTGTGTCCAGTTTTGGGCCCCACACTTCAAGAAGGATGTGGATAAATTGGAGAGAGTCCAGCGAAGGGCAACAAAAATGATTAGGGGACTGGAACACATGAGTTATGAGGAGAGGCTGAGGGAGCTGGGATTGTTTAGCCTGCAGAAGAGAAGAATGAGGGGGGATTTGATAGCTGCTTTCAACTACCTGAAAGGGGGTTCCAAAGAGGATGGCTCTAGACTGTTCTCAATGGTAGCAGATGACAGAACGAGGAGTAATGGTCTCAAGTTGCAGTGGGGGAGGTTTAGATTGGATATTAGGAAAAACTTTTTCACTAAGAGGGTGGTGAAACACTGGAATGCGTTACCTAGGGAGGTGGTATAATCTCCTTCCTTAGAGGTTTTTAAGGTCAGGCTTGACAAAGCCCTGGCTGGGATGATTTAACTGGGAATTGGTCCTGCTTTGAGCAGGGGGTTGGACTAGATGACCTTCTGGGGTCCCTTCCAACCCTGATATTCTATGATTAAAGGTTTAGAAAACATGGCCTATGAGGGAAGATTGAAAAAAGTGGGTTTGTTTAGTCTGGAGAAGAGAAGACCGAGGGGACATAATAGTTTTCAAGTACATAAAAGGTTGTTACAAGGAAGAGGGAGAAAAATTGTTCTTAACCCCTGAGGATCGGACAAGAAGCAATGGGCTTAAATTGCACCAAGGGCGGTTTAGATTGGACATTAGGAAAAACTTCTTAACTGTCAGGGTGGTTAAGCACTGAAATAAATTGCCTCGGGACATTATGGAATCTCCATCACTGGGGATTTTGGAAGCAGGTTGGACAGACACCTGTCAGGTATGGTCTAGATAATACTTAGTCCTGCCTTGAGTGTCAGGGACTGGACTCGATGACCTCTTGAGGTCCCTTCCAGTTCTATGAAATTCATTCATTTCTGTATCCAGAAGATTACATTCTGGTTGAAGGATATTGACATTCAATGAAGACATTGAAAACGCCTACTTGATATTCCCCTGTTTATATATTAAAGAACTGAATTGGCCCTCTTATCCCAATATAGCTCTGTGGCTCTCATGTGCCACTTGGTCACCTAACCCATAAGGGTAAGTCCTCGTTAGAAGCACTTCTTCCCAAGATACAGTCCCCATCCCGCATGTGTGATCTAATTCTTTGTTCTTTAGATGTATGATTTTGCATTTGGCCATACTGAAATGCATATTATTTGAATGAGCCCAGTTTACCAAATGATTCAGATCACTTTGCATAACTGACTTATACTTATCACTGTTTACCATTCCACCAATTTTTGTGTCATCTGCAAACTTTACTAGCCATGATTTTATATTTTTTTCCAGGTCACCCGTACAGATGTTGAATGACATTGGGCTAAGAACAGATGCCTGTTAGAAACACTCCCATTCATTGATGATTCCCCATTAACAGTTACATGTTGGGGTATCTTTGTTTTCTCTTATTATTCATTTTAAGTTTTCAGCCTGACACATGCAGATAAATGATTTTTTTCCCCAGTGTAAGGCACAATTCATAGTGGGATTTCAAGCTGATTTGTATACTGAGTATTAATTGTAATCTTGTAACAAAATTGGGCATATGTAGAACTGGGTTATCATCTTACACCCCTGGCTCTTAGAGAACTTCTACATTCAAAACTACATTACAGGGGAGTAAAGAGAATCAGGAGTCTTTATTTTGAAACACTGTTGGTATTTAATTATATTTTAAAATCTGGGTCTGGTCTCCACGATCTTTCTGCAATGTAGTTCCCGTATAGTACAGTCACAGCAACAGGAGGAGAAGAGCTCAGCCATTTAATTTCTTTTCAAGCCATACTTTGGTTCTTTTACCACACCTACTTTGTTCTAGTGTTCTGGATGACACACAATGCATAATTTTTTCATGCTGTTTACTAAGTATCAGCATTATTTATTTTAACTGGTAGGTATGTTTGGTTTCCATCATGTATGATTAACTCTTCTTGTGAAGCTAATTTTTCCCCCCAATATGTTTTCTATTAGGGGCACCCTCTGCTGAATTTCTAGAGTCACCTAGTAGTGGCATGGACCATCCATTTCTAAAAGCATTCCAAGGCCCATCCAGTTCTGCACAAGCCAGCTCACAATTAACAAGTGGTAATGAAATGAACTACCATGGTTTTTTTTTTTTTTTTTAAATTGTTGTGTATTAATGTCAGATTGCCTTGATACTGAGTACACTGTATAATGTTGACTTTTTGATGTTAGGGAAAGCTTAAAGGTGTACATTAGAGTTCAAAACTAAAGCAAATATTTAAGACATTTCCTCTAAGAGGGGTGTATGTAATTAATATACAAACTTTTCTGTAATCAAGATTTTCAAAACAAGGGTTTTTTCATTGTTTTAGAGAATCTCTCTCATTAGTTTAATGTTTTAGAGAAACTAAATGATTAGTTTAAGAACTAGATTTTCTTGCTTTTGATGCCCTCCCCCTGCACCTGTTTCCTTTAATAATGGAATCCTCTATTCACTGGAGTACTGTCTCTCCATTTTTGTTTCCAGTAAGAGAACACACTGTATGTATTTACTCAGTGTAATACTGGGCTATGACTTTCTGCCTATATCGACATAGCTGTAACGTCACTTCTGTCCCATGGCTAGTAAGATGGTAGTTACAATGTAGCTACTCTGAGGCCTCTCATAGAGACTACTGGTCTTTTCATTCCAGACCTAGTTAACAGTGCTGCTTACTTGGCTGAAGGTATTGCTTTTAAGTAAAATAGGGCACTTCTCCCTTGTGCAGACTGAAATTTTCGTTTGAAAATCTTTTTCCAAATATAAAGCATATTGAAATAAAAACAAGTATTTTTAATAGACATTTGTTTTGTGTTTCTTCAGGTGGCTCTAGTGCAGCAAAGCAAGTTTCTAATTTAAGGAGTTCTGAAGAAGAGGACATGGCTTACTTTGAAAAACAGTACCAGGAACGGGCAAGTCATTGTATTTAGGTTTAATACAAACATGTTCCTTAAAAATAAAGAGGCTCAATTTAAGGTGGATAAACTTAAAATTGAACTTGCCTACAATGGTGCACATTGCTTTAACTGGTATTCTGATCCTGAAAAATGTATTAGCATTTCAAAATGAGGGTTACAACATAAAGAACGAGGAATATTAGTGGCACCTTAGAGACTAACAAATTTATTTGGGCATAAGCTTTTATGGGCTAAAACTCACTTCATCAGATGCATGGAGTGGAAAATACAGTAGGAAGATATATATATATATATATACACACACATCCCCAACATGAAAAAATGGGGGTTGCCATACCAACTCTAACGAGACAAAATCAATCAATGCCCCTCTGCCATGTACATTGGCCAAACCGGACAGTCTCTACGCAGAAGCATCAATGGACACAAATCAGACGTCAAGAATTATAACACTTCAACCTCTCTGGACACTCAATTACAGACCTAAAAGTTGCAATTCAACAAAAAAACCCTACAAAAACAGACTCCAACGAGAAACTGCAGAACTGGAATTAATTTGCAAACTGGACACCATTAAATTAGGCTTGAATAAAGACTAATGACCCATCCACTCCCAAACTAAAAACTATTTCCCCAGGCTAATTTTCCCCCCTACTGTTACTCACACCTTCTTGTCAACTCTTTGAAATGGGCCATCCTGATTATCACTACAAAAGTTTTTTCTTCCTCCTACTGATAATAGCCCACCTTAATTGATCTCTCTCATATAGATATATCTACTGTATTTTCCACTCCATGCATGTGATGAAGTGGGGTTTACTCCACAAAAGCTTATGCCCAAATACATTTGTTAGTCTGAAGTGCCACTAGTACCCTCGTTCTTTTTCCTGATACAGAGTAAACATGGCTACCATTCTGAAACTGGTTACGACATAGTGACCTAATAGTGTAGGTCCATAGGCCAATCATATCTGGAATAGTTCAGTGACCTTCCCACCGAGATCAGGCATATTTAATTTAAAAACTTAACTTGCTTTGGCCAGAGGAAAGCCAAAGCATAACTGCACCAAAATACCAAACAATCACAGAAACAAAAATATCAGTAATTGTTTTGGACAACTAGGAGAAACTGTAAAAACAAAATAAACCCACAAACCTCCTTCGGATACCCAGAAAAACATGGACTGCCATTCTCAGGCACAAAACTGCTTAATTTAATTTATATTTAATTTAATATGTTGTCATTCAGATTCTGGTTTAACTCAGTATTACTTAACTCCACCATCTTAGCCGGAAGTGAATTCTACCCATTCCTCTATAAAGTAATATTTCACTTAACTAGTTTTGATAAAGCCTAATGTTATGCTTGTTTCCCGCATCAGGTAGCGTTTGTTTCTGTGAGAACTGGTCTTTGAAATTGAATCTTTTCTTGAGAAACATTACAAAAAAAGAAAAGTGCTACAGATTTTGCAAATGTAACAGTTTATAGATATAGCATTACTACTAAGTCTCAAGACATTTTCAAGTATTTTCTTTTCCTTGGTGAAGAGGTAAGAATTTCAGATATTTGATTCAATTCTGCAAAGACTGAGGCATTTTCTTTTTCTTGAGCGAATGAGTAGTCCCACAGCAGGACTTAGCCGTGTGCATAACTTTAGGCATGTATGTCAAAAAAGTGAGTAAGACCCTGACCCTGCAAAGAATCTTCCCAATGGGGACCTAGCACCAGTGGCAGCAGCAGGGTCCATCTCTCGCTGGCCCCACACAACCAGCACCAGCTCTGCTCACTTACTATTTTTCAGAAAATTTCCTTTAATTTTCAAAAGATTAAAGTGGGGCTGTGATTCCTCTCCCAGTCACTCCCTCAGCTCAGGAACCATCCACAACCATCCTAAGGGCTGTGTTCTTTTAAAAGGAAGGTTTCAGAGTAACAGCCGTGTTAGTCTGTATTCGCAAAAAGAAAAGGAGTACTTGTGGCACCTTAGAGATTAACCAATTTATTTGAGCATAAGCTTTCGTGAGCTACAGTTCACTTCATCAGATCTGTAGCTCATGAAAGCTTATGCTCAAATAAATTGGTTAGTCTCTAAGGTGCCACAAGTACGCCTTTTCTTTTTTTAAAAGGAAGGAGACCCGCCCTGCTCCTCTAGATACCTCTCCACCTGCTGGCAGGCTACTTTTCAGCTCTTACTCAGACAAGACTAAAAGGTAAGTGCCATTTCTCACCCTCTACATCTCCCTCCCAAAGCAGGTAAGAGCAACAGGGGTGTCATGACAGACAGTTTATTTCAAGGAAATGGATGTCTGATGCCATTGACACTTCCTCTTGCTGGACTCAGCCCTATTATTGTCATTTATTACAGTTTCCATTCCTGTTATGCCACCTTGCTTCCAGCATACCCATCACTGCTCCAGGGAAACACTGCTCTGCCTCTTCCCAGGACTCAGCCAAGTTACAGATCCAAAATATATCCAACAGAGCTGCCTTTCCTATGGCAACTGGTAAACCAGACAACCCGTTCCTTCACTTGGAACATCCCATGGCAACATGTACTTCATTACCTATCACAGTTCAAATTGGGAGGACCGGTCCAAGAAAACAGGAAAGCAAAAAGAAGCTAGATGCCAGACATAACACACCTGTATGATGCACAGGTCCACTACATAGTCCACAGGTCAGAAACAGACAGCACAAGGCATCACAAACTAAAGCGGATGTTGATCAATGCAAGACCTACTGCTAACAAACAATACACAACCACATCAGTGATGAGGCTCCTGATATAGCCTGCATCACCAAGACCTGGCTGGATGACAGAGCAAGTTCTGTAGTAGCCAATCGCATTCTCCCAGGATACTTGGTACGCCCCAACCTAGAAATGACAAAAAGCCAGTTGGTACTCCATTCATTTTCTTTGAAAACAGACCACCACAGAAAAGGATTCATGAAGGAGCTCACTGGCATGCGGTTGGCAATGGTGGTAAAATACCCCAGTTGTCCTGGGAGATTTCTATATTGATACTAACAAGATCACAGATACAACCCCCACAAAACCCATCTCCTCACTTGTCTCCCTAGGACTTTCACAGATCATGTCTGGCCTTTTTATTTTCATTTTTAACCAAAAAATTCCTAGGTTTTATAAAAGCAATTATTTTTCCCCACCCAAATATTGGAAGGGCCAGAACTTCCCACCTCCCCTCTCTCGAAGGTGAGATGGTGGCTCAGTAACCTGGGTGGCCCTAGTTTCTGATCCACCATCTCTTTTTCCAGAGTGGGGATGGGGATGGATCAGAAGTACTGGAATGACTTGAGCGCTGATGTGTTCTGCTGTCAATCCCACGCCCATCCCATACTTATTACCTGTTCTACCGATAGAATGGATGTTTATAGCATTCAAAGCAAATAAGTTAGTGAACTACTTTTCATGCCAAAAGTAGTCAAAAAATGAAAAATTAGGGCTGTTTTGGAAGTTAAAAAAACAAAAACAGGAAAGAGGAGAGTGAAATTTATACAGAAAACTGCAAAGTTCATTTTTTGCACTGATTTTTCACCCCTTTTTATTTTTTGTAACAAACGTGGATAAATTTCCAGGAAATTTAAACAAAATCAGAAAATGCAGGGCCTTACCCACATAGCTGACTCGTACTCCAACAAATTCCAAAGCCTGCTGAAGGAGAACAGCACCCCGCCCACGGGGTGAGGAATCAAGGACCTGGTAAATCATTCTACACTGGCCTCTGCCATTGACGTGTTTGCCCCCAAATGACCCCTTCTCCCCATTGGCCACACAGATTATCTTGATTTTCTGACGCCCTGTGCTGGATGAAGAGAGAGGGTGGAAATACAAAGACTGATTCCGACAGGATGAAACAAATTCCTCAAAGCCTATACTGAGGCTGTATTTCAAGCCAAGAGCTTTCCTATCAGCCTTCTTTGAGGCTGCCAAATCCCACCCCAAGGAACTAGCCAGAGTGGTAAATTCCTTCAATCCTGAATGCCTACAACCTGTAGCAGAGCCAAGAACACCAAGCACCACAAAAAACTATCCTACTTCACTAATCACACACATTCAGGAAGTCTTCTCAAACAGCATGGATCTGCTTTGCCTGCACTCACTAACTAAGAACCAACTGCATTCTCAGAATTCAGTACATTGACTCATCGAGAAGTTTTGGACACCCTAAAGGAGTCCTGATCCAAGACTTGTTCATGACTTTCACAAGCCAGGAAGGGCATAGGTCAGATTCACAACTAGTGCCACTCCTGAGTGAAATAGCCAATGCTTTGGTCATGCTGTCTAGAGTGGTTCACAACTGAGTGCCAGTCTCAGAGCAGACAAACTGATAAAGGCAGGGCAGATATCCCAAACTAGTGGTATGTATCATAATTAGATTTTACCAACCCAGTAACAAATGTGAACTTCTGGATCACTGTAACAGTCTTACTATGTAGTCACAGACCATCCCCTTGGGCTCACCAATCTATATTGCCACCCAGGCAAGCTGGATTTAGTGATAAATGGTCACTTACACCAGAAATCATAAAACATTTAGGTTGTGACCAGTCACTTACCTCAGATCAATTTGTACCTTAGATCTCAAAGACAATGCTGGTAGCCAATCCCATAGTAAATTAACAGAGGATTTATTAACTAGGAAAAAGAAATGAGATAATTTACAGGTTAAATGAGTTCAGCCTATGGTTCCATGTCAACTATCTTTATTTCCCTCTTGCAGCATTCCAACTCACGGGATGAGACCTTCTACATGTACTTCTCCATGGGTGGATGGGGCAATTAAAGCTTTTGTCCTACAATGGCTCACAACTTTGATAGCCCTCCTGGATGAGCCACTCTTCCCTTCCCAGTTCACAAGTTTGGAGCAGGCATTTTTAAACTTATAGTTTACCGTGTAACATGGTATACAGACATTACAATTGTAATGTTAATGCATGCAGCAACTTAGTCTTTTTATAGCACCTAAACACATCCTTACAAGTCTAACACTTATCTAGAACAATATTAACATATAGGTGAGCTGGTTTGGTTTCCAGCTATGAATTTCACAGTATTCAGCAGACATCTACAGACTCTGCAAGAGCTGGCACTTGGTTTTCCATCATCACAGCCTCATTCAGAGAAGGAATCTTCCCTTCCTCCTTCAAACACAGAATAGTCGGACTAAACATTGAAGAAACCCATGCTGGCTAACCCAATACTAGCCAACTATCACAGAGTGTCAAACCTCCCATTCCTGAGCAAACTCAGGGTATGTCTACACTACAAAATTAGGTCGAATTAATAGAAGTCGGTTTTGTAGAAAGCGTTTTTATAAAGTTGATTGTGTGTCCCCCCACACAAATGCTCTAAGTGCATGTAGTCGGCGGAGTGTGTCCACAGTACCGAGGCAACCGTCGACTTCCGGAGCGTTGCACTGTGGGTGGCTATCCCACAGTCTCCGCCGCCCATTTGAATTCTGGGTAGAAATCCCAGTGCCTGATGAGGCTAAAACATTGTCGCGGGTGGTTCTGGGTACATATCATCAGGCCCCCGTTCCCTCCCTCCCTCTGTGAAATCGTTTTGCGCCTTTTTTCTTGAGTTACCTGTGCAGACACCATACCACGGCAAGCATGGAGCCCGCTCAGCTAACCATCACCGTATGTCTCCTGGGTGCTGGCAGACATGGTACTGAATTGCTACACAGCAGCAATTTATTGCCTTTTGGCAGCAGACAGTGCAGTATGACTGGTAGCCGTCATCGACGTAGTCCTGGGTGCTCTTTTAACCGGGTGCCTGGGCAAACATGGGAGTGACTCAGCCAGGTCATTTCCCTTGTTTCATCTTGTGGCGATTGAGTCCTACCGGCAGTGCACTGTCTTTTAACCTCCAGCTACCAGAAGATGATGGCTAGTCGTCATACTGCACCGTCTTCTGCCGAGCACCCAGGAGATGATGATGGCTAGCTGTTGTACTGCACAGTCTGCTGACAGCAAGATGTATAAAGATAGATGAAGTGGCTCAAAACAAGAAATAGACCGGATTTGTTTTGTATTCATTTTCTCCTCCCTCCCTACCTCTGTGAAATCAACAGCCTGCTAAACCCAGTTTTGAGTTCTATCCCTGAGGTTTTGAGTTCTATCCTTGAGGGGGCCATTCAGTTTCTTGCAAAGCCACCCCCTTTGTTGATTTTAATTCCCAGTAAGCCAACCCTGTAAGCCATGTCGTCAGTCGCCCCTCCCTCCATCAGGGCAACGGCAGACAATCGTTCCGCGCCTTTTTTCTGTGCAGACGCCATACTACGGCAAGCATGGAGCCCGCTCAGATCACTTTGGCAATTAGGAGCACATTAAACACCACGCGCATTATCCAGCAGTATATGCAGCACCAGAACCTGGCAAAGCGATACCAGGCGAATAGGCGATGTCAGCTCGGTGACGTGAGTGATGAGGACATGGACACAGACTTCTCTCAACACACGGGCCCTGGCAATGTGGGCATCATGGTGCTAATGGGGCAGGTTCATGCAGTGGAACTGATTCTGGGCTCGGGAAACAAGCACCAGACTGGTGGGACCGCATAGTGTTGCAGGTCTGGGACAATTCCCAGTGGTTGCAAAACTTTCGCATGCGTAAGGGCACTTTCATGGAACTTTGTGACTTGCTTTCCCCTGCCCTGAAGTACAATAATACTAAGATGAGAGCAGCCCTCACAGTTGAGAAGCGAGTGGCAATAGCCCTGTGGAAGCTTGCAATGCCAGACAGCTATCAGTCAGTCGGGAATCAATTTGGAGTGGGCAAATCTACTGTGGGGACTGCTGTGATGCAAGTAGCCAACGCAATCAAAGATCTGCGGATATCAAGGGTAATGACCGTGGGAAATGTGCAGGTCATAGTGGATGGCTTTGCTGCAACGGGATTCCCTAACTGTGGTGGGGCCATAGACGGAACCCATATCCCTGTCTTGGCACCGGAGCACCAAGTCAGCGAATACATAAACCGCAAGGGGTATTTCTCAATAGTGCTGCAAGCATTGGTGGATCACAAGGGACATTTCACCAACATCAACGTGGGATGGCCGGGAAAGGTACATGACGCTCGCCTCTTCAGGAACTCTGGTCTGTTTCACAAGCTGCAGGAAGGGACTTTTTTCCCAGACCAGAAAATAACTGTTGGGATGTTGAAATGCCTATAGTTATCCTTGGGGACCCAGCCTACCCCTTAATGCCATGGCTCATGAAGCCATACACTGGCAGCCTGGACAGTAGTCAGGAGCTGTTCAACTATAGACTGAGCAAGTGCAGAATGGTGATAGAATGTGCATTTGGACGTTTAAAAGCGCGCTGGCTTTTATGGCGTAAAACATTTTACTATGCCATGTCCTTTGGCTGAAAGTTCATAGCCACAATTAGTCAATTCAGTCTATAGTCTAGGAGTACTCTTGGATTCTTTGCCAACACTGAGCCCTCATCACAACAGTCACCACAGGTAACACTTTCAGCTGTGTCTGGTTGTGTCATGGGGTCCACTCACTGCATGTGGCACCTCCTGCTGGCAGCTCCAGGGATTGGTTCGTGCCAGGCACTGCTCTTCTCTGTTAGTGTCTCTTTCACTGTGTGGCCTATCTTGCTGTCAGAGCTGCAGCTTCCTGTTCATGGCTGGGCCCTCCAGCCAGGTCACTGAGGTCCTCTCCATCCAGAGAAATCAAAGACCTTCCAGACCAGCTGTCTGGCTGGTGTCCCCAGTGCCCTCTGCCACTTCCCAGTGGCTGGAAGGAGAACCCAAGCCCACTCTCTACTCTGGATTCCAGCCCAGGGACCCTAGAACAGTGGCTCTCAACCTTTCCAGACTACTGTACCCCTTTCAAGTGTCTTTTTTGTCTTGCATACCCCTGCATTTCACCTCACTTAAAAACTACTTGCTTACAAAAATCAGACCTAAAAATACAAATGTGTCCCAGCACACTATTACTGAAAAATTGCTTATTTTCTTATTTATACATAAATTAATTGGAATATAAACATCATACTTACATTTCAGTGTATAATATATACAGCAGTATAAACAAGATATTGTCTGTATGAAATTTTAGTTTGTATCAACTTCACTAGTGCTTTTTTTTGTAGACTGCTGTAAAACTAGGCAAATATCTAGAGGAGTTTCCGCCCCCAGCAGGAAGACCTCTGCATACCTCCCCCCTAGCTGAGAACCATTGCCCTATAACAAGCAGCCAAGGTCTGTATGGTCCAACTCCTTGCTGCTATTTCTGTGGACTTCTTCCTACTTATTTAGCTTCCCCCTTTTTCTTGGTTTACCAGCACACACACCCTCCTCCCAGAGAATAACTATAGACTACTTCCTTGAAGCCTCTTGTTGCTTACAAGCTTCTGGGCTTTATATAGGCTTCTCCTGTTCCTGCCCAGCTGAGACCATTTCCAGTTAGTGACCTGCTCCCTGTCTCCTTCTCCAGGTGCAGCCTGGGCAGTTAATTGGTCTGCTTAGCCACTTTAACCCCTCCAGGTCTTGTGTGGGTTGGATCCCCAACACAGCTTGGTTAGGAGACTCTTTTCCATCCCAGTGGAGGAAGACTTGGCTGGACTACAGTAATGTAATGTAACATACCTGAACATGAAACCTTTGCACTTAGAAAACTCCACCTAGTACAAAATGCTGCAGCTAGTCTCCCCAGCAACACAGGCTACTGTGAGCATATCACACTTGTCTTATTGGAAAAACCTGGGAAGTGGGTGGGCGCCACACTTGTCCTCTACTCTCTACACTGGCTTCCCATAGAATTTTGAGTTGAGTTCAAGGTCTCAGTTCTTATCTTCAAAGCTCTCCATGACCTCAGCCCAGGATACCTAAAAGACTGTGAGATGTTCTGGGATGAAGACAATGGTGGACAATTTCACTTCTCTGGCACAATGGAACTCTCAACAATAAGAGTAAAGCTCATCTGTGCGGGAGACATAACTTTCTTCAGGAGTGGTCTGAGTCTGGAATGAACTCCCCCAGGGACTAAAAACCATCACAAATCTCATCACTTTCCATTCCAATTGCAAGGTGTATTTCTTTGACCTTGTCTTGCCTAATGTAAACACATAGTAACAGGTGTATTTATTTAACAAATATTAAAAGAACCCTACCAAAACAAGATACTCCACTTCAAGAATACAATAAAATTACAAAAGGGACACAGGTTAAATATGTTGCTTTAAATCTCCCCAACCCCTCTTTGATATCTTCCCCCGTCTCTCAAGGCAGTGCAGTGAACACTTATACACCAAAGATCCACACACCTTCTCAATACAGTTATTCAAAATAATGTTTAATGTACCCATGCATCACACTCCAGTGAGTGCTGTAGACCAATTATTGGCTTCCAAAGCTATGGTATATACATGCAAAATTGAAGGAGTTGCTATATTGAAATTGCAGTGGGATGAATATAAATCCACAGTAAAAAATGGTAGTCAGGTACATATTTTGGCAAATCAAAGCATGCAATAGGAAACTAGTGAAGGGAAAATCAATTGGGAGGAAGAATGATCTTGTGGTTAAAGCAACAACCAACAACTCAGGAGAGCTGCCGAGACTTCCTTTGTGACCTTGAGTATGCTAGTTAGTCTTTTGGTCTGTGTTCCACATCTGTAAAATGGTGTAAATAGAATTTCTCTTCATCTAATGAGTGTGAGGATAAACTCATATTTGTGAGGTATTGTGGTGTTGGGGGCCAGGTAAGTAGCTAGATTTCTATTATAAAGTAGTAGCTTAATTAGTACTGCATGGTTGATTTGTTGACACACTAGTGCTTGGACCATTGCTGTTTTTCTTTTATTGCAGCTGAAAAATGAGAAGGCTGCTAAACAGAAAGTTAAAGGTCCACTGCCATCAAAGAATCCATGAAGATTAATGAAACAAAGGAGTTTTTGTAATACAGAATCGTTTATCATTATATTTAAGTGTATTTTCATGGTGTTTATTGCACACACATATTTTCTAGTTTCTCAATATTAACACTGCTATATTAAAGTATTGATTAAATTCATTTAAAAATACTTGGTGATTCTGGTTCTTTCAAATAAAATTGTTACTTTTTATCAAAGTAGCTTGACATACTATCTAAGCTCTCAAATATTGCTGCATGAGTCATATGTAGTAGAAAATGATGGTTTTTAGAGACTTCTAGAATTTTTCATTTAGGCTTTGATCCAGCAAACACACGCTTAAGTGCTTTGCTGAATCAGAGCCTTAGGACAGCAAGTAAAATATACATTATACACCACATCATATCATCAGACTTCCATTACATACTTGCTTCTTTATATGTGGACTTAGAGTTATTCTTGTTCCTAACTTTCTACTCATTGGGGTTGTAGTTTTAATATTTTCTTAAAAGACACAGACACTGCTCCCTTCACTGGCTTCACATCTTCCACATCAAATTCAAATTGTTTTTTCTCACCCTCAAGCTTCTGCAAGCTCTGTCCCTGCCAACATATATTCTTCTCTCACCTCAGGCTCTGCATTCAGCTAATTCTGCTTCCCTTCATGCCTGTTTTGTATCCTTCTAATACACTCACCTCTGTAAAAAGAACAGGAGTACTTGTGGCACCTTAGAGACTAACAAATTTATTTGAGCATAAGCTTTCGTGAGCTACAGCTCACTTCATTGGATGCATGCAGTGGAAAATACAGTGGGGAGATTTTATATACAGAGAACATGAAACAATGGATGTTACCATACACACTGTAACAAGAGTGATCAGGTAAGGTGAGCTATTACCAGCAGGAGAGAAAAAAAACCTTTTGTAGTGATAATCAAGGTGGGCCATTTCCAGCAGTTGACAGGAACATGTGAGGAACAGTGTGTGTGTGGGGGGGGGAATAAACATGGGGAAATAGTTTTACTTTGTGTAATGACACATCCACTCCCAGTCTTTATTCAAGCCTAATGTAATGGTGTTCAGTTTGCAAATTAATTCCAATTCAGCAGTCTCTCTCTGGAGTCTGTTTTTGAAGTTTTTTTGTTCAAGAATTGCGACTTCTGGTCTGTAATCGAGTGACCAGAGAGGTTGAAGTGTTCTCCGACTGGTTTTTGAATGTTATAATTCTTGACGTCTGATTTGTGTCCATTTATTCTTTTACATAGAGACTGTCCGGTTTGGCCAATGTACATGGCAGAGGGGCATTGCTGGCACATGATGGCATATATCACATTGGTAGATGTGCAGGTGAACAAGCCTCTGATAGTGTGGCTGATGTGATTAGGCCCTATGATAGTGTCCCCTGAATAGATATGTGGACACAGCTGGCAATGGGCTTTGTTGCAAGGATAGGTTCCTGGGTTAGTGGTTTTGTTGTGTGGTGTGTAGTTGCTGGTGAGTATTTGCTTCAGGTTGGGGGGCTGTCTGTAAACAAGGACTGGCCTCACTTCAAGCTATCTGATCACTCTATTACAGATAAAATCTCCCTCACAGTATTTTCCACTGCATGCATCTGATGAAGTGAGCTGTAGCTCACAAAAGCTTATGCTCAGAGAAATTTGTTAGTCTCTGAGGTGCCACAAGTACTCCTTTTCTTTTTGCGGATACAGACTAACACAGCTACTACTCTGAAACTCTCCTCTGTGATTTTTCCTAACCTTCCTCTACACCACTATTATCCTCCTTGATCCTTTATGTCCTACAGCCTCCCCAAAATGACCATCATACTCCTGCCAAACTAATCAAATATAAATTAAGAAAGAAGGGACAAAATATATACTGCATGAAAACCAGCAACTATTGAATCTTGTTTTCTGGAAAACCTCCCGCTGGCTAAATAGGTTTTCCTGTTTAGATTGTGAGCTCCTTGAGGCAGGAGATGTGTATTTATTTCTCTGTACAATGCCATGCAGAGCTATGACATAAATAAATGTGTATTAAGTATGTCAATCTATTTAGCTAACACACTTATTAAATTCATTAAAATGCATAATAGGATAGCCCATATCCATTTAATGTTAAATATAAATATATATTAAAAATCTCTGCTGCTGAGAATTTTTAAAATAAAAATAGCTAACTTTTATGTGGGACTTCTGAAGATGAATTTAAGCTCCCCCTGTTGATTCTAGCACAGTGCTATCTCATGAACAAGCACTACAACGTATGCTATGCTCATGCAGAAACTTTGAAGTAAACATGAAGTTACATGTTCATTTTGAAAACAATGAGGAGTCTTTGTGGCATCTTAGAGACTAACATTTATTTGGGCATACGCTTTCGTGGGCTAAAACCCACTTCATCAGATGCATGGAATGAAAAATACAGTAAGCAATATATATATATATACTCCCAACTCCCAAATATGCCCAAATAAATTTGTTAGTCTTTAAGGTGCCACAAGCACTTCTCGTTGTTTTTGCTGATACAGACTAACACGACTACCACTCTGAAACCTATGTTCATTTTAGGCTCACTAGAAATTGGGGGAAGGAAACAATTTGTAATTAAAAAAGGAAAAATAGGGAAAGACACTAAATTTAATCTTCAAAGTGGGTATTGCAAACTAAGGGTATGTCTTCACTACCAATATTAAAGCGTGCCGCGGCAGCACTTTAATGTGGTTGTGTAGTCATGGCAACAGCGCTGGGCGAGAGCTCTCCCAGCACTGTAAAAAACCCACCCCGATGAGGGGAGTAGCTACTAGTGCTGGGTGCACAGCTCCCAGTGCTGGTGTACTGTCTACACTGCCACTTTACAGCGCTGAAACTTGCATCACTCAGGGGGTTGGTTTTTCACATCCCTGAGCAAGAAAGTTTCAGCGCTGTAAAGTGGCAGTGTAGACAAGGCCTAAGTGGGTTTTTCATTGCCATTTTAAAATGTAAAGGAGTACTTGTGGCACCTTAGAGACTAACCAATTTATTTGAGCATGAGCTTTCGTGAGCTACAGCTCACTTCATCAGATGCAACGGATGCATCCGATGAAGTGAGCTGTAGCTCATGAAACCTTATGCTCAAATAAATTGGTTAGTTTCTAAGGGGCCACAAGTACTCCTTTTCTTTTTGCGAATACAGACTAACACGGCTGTTCCTCTGAAACCTGTCATTTTAAAATGTCTTTCTTATCCTTTGTTTGCAATGTTGTAGCTGTGTGGGTCCCAGGATATTAGAGACACAAGGAGGTGAGGTAATATTGTATTGAATCAACTTCTGGTGGTAAAAGAGACAAGCTTTTGACCTTACAGAGAGCTCTTCAGGTCTGGGAAAGGTACTCAGTGTCAGAGTTAAATACAAAGTGGAATAGACTGTTCAGCAAGTTAATTAATGCATAGCATAGGCACCAACTCTGTGGGTGCTCGAGGCTGGAGCACCCATCAGCACCAGGAGAAGTTGGCCCCTATGATACATACTCTAAGAGACCATTCAAAGTGTCTTGTTAACATCCTTGCAGTCAAAGAATAAAAAAATGGGGAGTGTACCTTCAAAAGATGAGTCTGGAAGCTTAAATTCATAACTCTGCTAGACACTAAAAATAATGGATTTAATAAAAACACTGGATTTATGGCTTATTACAACACTCTGTAACCGACTAACTCCCCCAACACACCCCTTTTTGTCCTATGGCTGCAGAGGCGTTAACTGGCCACTTCACCTTGAATGGTCTCTTACAATGTGTTTCCACAGTATGCATCCGATGAAGTGAGCTCACGAAAGCTTATGCTCAAATAAATTGGTTAGTCTCTAAGGTGCCACAAGTACTCCTTTTCTTTTTACAATATGTGTTAACTACTTATGCTAAAGAATCTGTTCCACTTTGTATCTAGCTTTGACATTCTGAGTACCTTTCACAGACCTGAAGAAGAGCTCTTTGTAAGGCCCTGTCTATACCACAAACTTTGATTGACACAAGTTACGTTGGGTATGGGCTCTGGGCTGGGGCAGGGAGTTGGGGTACAGGAGGCGGTGCAGGGGGGCAGGCTCAGGGAGGGAGTTTGCTGGGTCTGGGCTGGAGTAAGGGGTTGAGGTGCAGGAGAGGGTGAGGGGTGCAGTGCTTACCTCGGGCAGCTCCCAAAAGCGATCCGCACCCCCTCTGGCAGCAGCTCGTGTTGATATTGTAAACTTAGATTTTCAGAAAGCCTTTGACAAGGTCCCTCACCAAAGGCTCTTAAGCAAAGCAAGCTGTCATGGGATAAGAGGGAAGGTCCTCTCATGGATTGGTAACTGGTTAAAAGATAGGGAACAAAGGGTAGGAATAAACAGTCAGTTTTCAGAATGGAGAGAGGGAAACAGTGGTGTCCCCCAGGAGTCAATACTGGGCCCAGTCCTATTTAACATTTTCATAAATGATCTGAAAAAAGGGGTAAACAGTGAGGTGGCAAAATTTGCAGAGGATACAAAACTACTGAAGATAGTTAAGTCCCTAGCAGACTGTGGATAGCTATAAAAGGATCTCACAAAACTGGGTGACTGGGCAGCAAAATGGCAGATGAAATTCAAAGTTGATAAATGCAAAGTAAAGCACATTAGGAAACATAACCCCAACTATACATATAAAATGATGGGGTCTAAATTAGCTGTTACCACTCAAGAAAGAGATCTTGGAGTCATTGTGGCTAGTTCTCTGAAAACATCCACTCAGTGTGTGGGGACAGTCAAAAAAGTGAACAGAATGTTGGGAATCATTAAGAAAGAGAGAGAAAATAAAACAGAAAATATCATATTGCCTCTATACATATCCATGGTACGCCCACATCTTGATTACTGCATGCAGATGTGGTCACCCCATCTCAAAATGATATATTGGACTTGGAAAAGGTTCAGAAAAGGGCAACAAAAATTATTAGGGGTATGGAACAGCTTCCATATGAGGATAGATTAATAAGACTTTTCAGCTTGGAAAAGAGATGACTAAGGGGGGATATGATAGAGGTCTATAAAGTCATAACCGGTGTGGAGAAAGTAAATAAGCAAGTGTTATTTACTCCTTCTCATAACACAAGAATGAGGGGTCACCAATGAAATTAATAAGCAGCAGGTTAAAAACAAACAAAAGGAAATATTTTTTCACACAACGCACAGTTAACCTGTGGAACTCCTTGCCAGAGGATGTTGTGAAGGCCAAGACTATAAAAGGGTTCAAAAAATAACTAGATAAGTTAATGAAGGATAGGTCCATCAATGGCTAATATCCAGGATGGACAGGGATGATGTCCCTAGCATCTGTTTGGTAATGGACGACAGGGGATGGATCACTTGATGATTACCTGTTCCGTTAATTCCCTCTGGGGCACCTGGTATTGGCCACTGTTGGAAGACAGGATACTGGGCAAGATGGACCTTTGGTCTGAGCCAGTATGGCTGTTCTTATGTTCTTAAGTGCTGCTAATGTGGATGTTGTTCACCGACACAAGGAGCATAGTGTGGACATGCACCAGTGGTTTAATTATAGTGGTGGCTTTACATCAACATAACTTAAATTGACTTAAGTTTGTTGGGTAGACATGCCCTTAGTCTCGTTGGAACTCACCCAGCGCACTCTGAAGTTGTCAGACCAGCTACATTAGTTCTTTATAGGCACTTTAATGTACTCATCAGTGTACTATTGTGAATTCCTCTGTTATTCACCTGGACTTATTAAAAGTTTGTGGCTAATTCAAAGGAATCTGGAGTGGGAGAGGTGTCTTGCTATCCTGGAAGTGGTGCTATTCAATACATTTCACAACCCTTAATCAGCCCTGAAGAATGCTTTTCAAATAGTTTTCTTTCTAATAAAATAAAACCTTTTGCCTTTATTATGCTATAAATAGGGTAAAACCACCACTGCTTTGATGACTTTTAACCAATATATGTAACCATTCCCACTCCTAAAGCTTTTATCTCAGGGATTTTTTAAAAATGTAGGATGAGTAATTATGCAATCTCACCTCAAGTAGAGATACCTAGTCATAACTGTTTTTTTTTAATTTACACTGTCCATTTTTAAAGGCAAGTTGTGCATGTGTAATTGTCTGGGGAATTGGGGTCTATGTGTGTTTAGGGTTTCTGGAATGTCTCATCTGAAAAATAACTCTGGTTGCTTGGAAGAGATTGTTTGGTAGGATAAAATTAGAGTTCTAAATTTTACATCATTGCTAGGACATTGTTTAATACAAGACTGAATTCCAGTTGTCTAATTTAAAAGACGTATCATGTATGTATATATCTAAAGTGTGACTGAGGGACCCATTTTTAAACAAATCAGTACAGCCATGCTAACAATGGGGTCTTTTCCACTAAAAAATATCCATAGCCTGCCAAAGCACATGTGCTGGATAGCTGTATGCAGACACTGGCTGTGGAACAGGACAACCTATTCTGGAGGCATGTCTGCTTCTTGCATATAGCCAGAACTTAAAAAGAAAAAAAGCCATCTTCAGAATTCAGGAACCACAGAGCCTTCCATATTCTGCCCTAACTGGTTTCAGACTTACTAGCACCTGTCCATCCTTTTTTTAATGTTAATTATTTAAAAAAATGATAGGCGATAACAAAGCAACACAATTATAAATCAACTGAGTATATAAAATAATTATTTCACAGCTAGTAGAAGAGAAATCAGAGATCAGAGCAACACACATTCATATGTTATCTGGACAAGAGTGTACAAGAAATATTTATCTAGGAGTCTGACTGCTTCCATTAAGTTATTTTATTCATATTCCAAAAATGGAAACCAAATCATCAGCCTGTACTGGGTCCTGTTGTCTAGTCATGTGTGAGTTTTTACATGATTAGAGGTTTCCATGCTCTTCTTTTACAGTATTATCCAGGGGTTCTTTTCCTGTATGCAATCAGGATGAGACATGTTAAGATAGTGATGAGTTTCTGAGGTGTGAGTCTTAATATTTTTCTTTTAAAAGAAAAGATTAATTGTATGAGAACATACTTGTATGGGAACTTTTAACAGGGTAGTTTCAGTTAATATTTATGTTATGGTAGTGCTCTCTTGTGCTGGGTGCTGTACAAACATAGAGAAAAGAAAAAGCCTGTTGTCTCCCTGAAGAGGAGATAACATTTCTGTCTACTAGTAGGAGTTGTTCTTCTGGTCAAGTAAAAAAACTGCTGTATTTTTCACAAAAACATCCACAACATAAACATGGCAGTTACATTTGACCTCTCGTGATCATGAGCGTCAGGCAGTGTGTCTGCCACAGTGCCTTCCGTGTCACACCCAGGGTTAAGTATTCGGGTTGCCAATTTTGGTTGGAGGTATTCCTGGAGGTCTCCTCACCACATAATCTTTGACTGAAGATTTAATTATGCACACTTTAGCTCCTGGAGACGCCAGGACAATGCCAGAGGGTTAGCTACCCTACATTAAGCACGGATGTAACACCACATTAAAGCAAAGACTTTCAAACTGGAAGGAGCATCTTCTGTAAGGGACACGCCAGGGAAGGGCTCAGAAGAGAGATCCAGGCGCCTGCCGAAGGGTGGGCGGGGGAGCGGGTGCTGGGAAGTGACACTGCAGGGGAGAGACTTGTAAGGGAGGCTGCCATGCGCTGGCGAACCAGGTGGGCAGAAGCCGGGGCCATGCGGGGCAGCAGTGTCGGGCGGGGGATACCACCAGGCACGGCCTCGTGCTAGGGGTGGTGCGAAGCCCGTTGCTGGTGTGGGCGGGGAAGAGGATTTTTTAAAAAATCCAAATATTTGTTCTGTTTCTGAATTAAATCCCCGTGGTGACAGGGGCGCGAAGCCGCCCCCTGGTCTCTGCCCCTCGCCCCTGCTAGCGCAGCCCCCGCTGAGGCCAGAGGCCCGCGGCGGAGCCAGAGGCGCGGAGCCGCTGACGGCAGCGACCTTCCCGCCTCGCAGCCCCACGAGGCCTCTCAGCATCTCGCCCCCGGCGCGCGCGCCGCTTGACGCGTCTCGTGAGAGCGGGCACCGGCGTGGCGTGGGCGGGTTCCCGTGCGTATGCGCAGGGCGGGAAGGGGCGCGGTCCCTCCCTCGGTGGCGGGGTAGGCGGGTGTGTGTGAGTCTCCCGGCGCGGCTGCCTCTGCAGGCTGACGCTGCACGTGCGCGGGGGGCTGGCAGCGCGCGCTGCGGGTAACCTTCCCCCGTCCCCGCATCCGATACCTGCAGCCACGGGCTGGCTCCTCGGTGTCGGGACCGGTGCAGCGCTCCTGGGGTTAATCCTGGCCGCTGTCTCCGGGGATCGGGTGCAATATGTGCTGGGGCATGGGTGGTGTAAGACCAGGGCATGCTTCTTCCCGTTGGCCTGCGGCACTGGGGTTGGTGTGAAGGGCAGCAGCGGGGACGGCTTTTTGCAACTCCTCTTGCATGAGTTCTGGGAGCCAGGCCCCCGGCAAGAGGCCACGGGTCTCCAGGATCCACTCCTACTAAATGCTCACAGCAGCCTGGGGTTCAGCGCTTAAAAACCAGGCTGCAGGGGCCCTTTCCCTGTAAAAACCAGTTGGTTTCAAATCACGGTAAACTGCATTGCTGTAAACCATGCTAGGTCAGCTTGGAGCTTGTACTGGTGGAGCTGCCATAGTCAGATGAAGGCCCAACTGGAAAAAGTTGAAATGCAGATTAATGATCAGACACTTGAGTGTATTTTCTGGAAGTTGGCAGTTGAGTCAGTGGTTTAGGACTATTAAGATGAACAGATAATTCTTTATTGATGGGATTTCTTGACGACCATTAGACTTTTTCCACGCTACAGTTGTACCTATACTAGCAACAGTTTAGGTAAAGCAGGATTTTCTCTGGGGAAGCTGCCATTTTGCCATCTAGATCAGAAGTACAGTACAAAGTTGTTGTTTCCATAGGGCCATGCTTAAAATATGCCCTCTTTACACACAGTTGTAGATTTGATGGTAACATTTAGATGCTATTAGGCGATCCTAAACCATATTCATACAATTCTAATCAGGGAAAAATCCTCCAGGTTATTAAATACAGTTCTTAGAACAAAGCCCTCTGCTCTCTCATATATATTGGGGGAGGAGAGGAGAATGGCGCCGCTATTAGTTTTGATGTCTTTAGGAAAAATGTCCTCTCCTTCCATTGTTGGTTCTGATCGCACTATTTAGCGGACAGATTCTATTTCCAGATCTACAGTGTAATTAAATTGCATTTAAAGTCTGAAAAGAGACTGGAAAATGTCATTGTGTGGCTCCATGCATGTCTCCGTGAATTCCAGATTGATTTTACTAGTAAAGTGGTTATTTGTTCCTTAATTTCTACTATTAGGTTAAACTCTAGATGTTTTGTATTGTTTCAGGATTTGTCGTAATGGATGAAGACACAGAATACAATAAAGGTACTGAAGGAAAATAGATTGTTTCTTTGTTAACACTGAAATTCAGAATTGATTTAAAATATTTTTTTTTCCCTCCCAGTTGGAGATGTGGTTGGTTGTCACGTTGAAGACGCTGTGACATTTTGGGCGCAGGTGATGTAAAAAAACCTTCTTGAATAAGATATTCCAATAAGGTGTTTGTTTGTTCTAGTTTCACACAAAAATGGCAGGGATGTACTTACACAAAATTTGAAATGCCTGATGGATATATGAATGGGACTTGGGGTAAAAAACAGACTCCTTAGGCTCCAAAGTTGAACATCCAACAATGTGGTTAAAATATTCCATCCAGCTGTTCAGTTGCTTAATACTGACATAAACAGGAGTCACATATTGCCTTCTGAATTGGATTAGAAAACTACTGACCATCAGCCAACTTGGATTTTGCATGGACTTACTCTATTCAGTGTACAGTAGGTCCTACATAAAAGCTTGAATGTTAGAACTATCAGTGTTGGATCAGGAATAGTATGGAAAGTTGATCTTGGGGCCTTTAAACTTTTAACATGACTAACTTTAACATTCTGACAAAACAAAAATAATGGAAAAATCTATTGTGATTCTCAAGTTAGAATGGGAAACAGCACACCAGGTTGGAGGTTTCTGTAACTTTTTGTGGCTTTTAATGAGAACTTGGTCTGTGTTGCCCATCCCCAGGTACATAACTTTAAACAATGGACATGCTATCTTTTGGGGATGTAGGTGATGCATGTGTTTTGTCAGGTGTGTGGTGTTACAAGTAACACTTAAGATAACTGAAAAATTAGGAAAAATATTCAGATTGTCTTGTTTTTACTTTGTGAATTTGACAGGACTTTGTTTATAGTTAGTTTCACTTTCCTGTATATGGCCAATATCCCTAATTCTTCATGTGGGCACACAGTGGCAGGAAAAGCAACACTTAAAATAGAGTAAATGATTGTAAAACCCAAAACTGGTAGGGGGACTCAGTGGCAGATGTGCTACCTGAAACTGCTTTTAACTTTTTTTTTTAATTCACTAGATATCATGTTGATGGTGTCCTTTTTAATTACAGTATTCTTAATTACTTGGAAGTCTTTTCAAGTATTGGCTTAACTGTATGTGTACTCACAGACTCATTATGATACATGAGTTTATTTAAACTACTTATAAATTTATGCATTGACTGTTTTCTTCTAAGGAGATCATTAGAGCTATCACTAGTAATAATTTCCTTCTTTAGAATTTGAATTTATTCATTCTGCACTTAATCCAAGAATTTTTCTAGTGTTCTGTACCCTGCTATTCTTTTAGTGGATAAGCAAAAGTCATTTTTATTACACTAATTTTTTCTCTCCCTCTCCACACTCTTTATTTTCTACACTTTGAACTTAAAATAAAATAGATGTCTCATCATCTGTAGTTGATACAGGTTTTTACAACTTGATAGACCAAAATACAATTAAAAGGACTTGTTCACATCAGTCAAACCAAACAGTTATTCCTACAAGTAGGAAAACAAGATATAAAAAAGTTGTGACCTTTTCCCATAACGTTGGAAGAGGAGTGCTACATACTTCGTCCCAAAAATACATGAATGCTTACATTATATGAGTTTTAAAATCAGATTTTTGCAAGGTCTTATGACTGTCATTTTCACAAAATGTCTAAAAAAAAGTTAAGCTGTTAAAGTAAATATTTTTTTCAGACCAATTTTCTGCTAGAATGACATCTCACCACAGTATGTTCCCTAACCCCTGAAAGTCGCTTTCCAGTGTTGGAAATAAATTGCAAACAAGCTTGTATATACAGTTCAAGATTTAGAAGGTGAAACTTGTCAGGGCAGTGCAGTGGTGTCAGGATTAGTAGATGTTTTGACTTATTTATTGGCTTTTGAAACAGATGTTTAAAGGCTTTCAAATGATAGCTAACACTTTTTACTCTCCCCTCCTACTTCTTAGAACATCAGTAGAAATAATGACATCTTGAAATTAAGTCGTGCACTGGCTGAAGTTTGTCCTCAGGCCAACTCAGTTTTTGGCAATCCTGATTTTACTAAGGTAAAGGGGGGTGTGTACGTGTCGAGTGTGTGAATTTATAGTTTTTTTACACATATGTAAAAATCTTTATTCTACACAACTGATTTCTTAGATTTTTTTTTTTATTATTTTTTGTAATATAACTTTTATTCTGTCAATTAAAAGATAAATCCCAGATACTCAGGGGGGGGAAAAATGCAAAATAGAGTAATAGTGAAAATTTTCTAGGGTGTGTGTGTGTACGTATATCTTTATATACGTACATGAAAAAAGTACGCATGCCCACACTTATGCTACTTAAGTTTACCTATAACTTGCTTCATAGTAGACTACCTCATCTCCTGAACTGCATATGGTTGTGCAGGTAAATTAGATTATTCTTATGATCACCTTTTTGATTTCATTAAAAAAATAAAATCCAGAAATCTCTACGATATTGTGGTTGGCATTTACCTTCTTCATGTCTATTATTATTTTTATTTATTATTTATTTAGTATTGTCTGTAAAACTGTGTAGCATGGCACATAGCAAAAGCTCCATGAATCCAATACATAACATGTTTTGCAGCATGATAAAACGTTTCTTCAAAGTATCGTATTGTGTAACAAGATCTATTGAGGATTATATATTTTGAAGCATGCAGCATATGCTAACATAGGAGACAGGATACTGAGTTAGGTGAACTGCCACTTTGTTTCAATATTGTGCAAATATCCAGATTACAAACTTTTGAAAAATAAGTGTTGTAATGGACTGTGGTATATAATTTTGAGGTGCACTTATGCTTATAGAATGCCACTTTCTCTTCTGATCTACAGATCTACGGTGGATGTTTTTCTGAAGATAAATGCTGGTATAGATGCAAAGTACAGCAAGTGATCAGTGATGAAAAGGCAGGAAATACACTTAAGGATATTATTGTTCTTTACTGCTGAATCACTTTTAAAAGCAAATATATGGAAACAAAAAATGATATACTTCTGAGGCGTATCGTTGCCTAAAAAAAATCTAAATCTGTGGTTACTTGCCTGGGGCATACGTTAAAACAGGGGTGGGCAAACTACGGCCCGTGGACCGCATCCGGCCTGTCAGACCTTTTAATCTGGCCCTCGAGCTCCCGCCGGGGAGCAGGATCAGGGGCTTGCCGTGCTCTGCGCAGCTCCTGGAAGCCGCAGCATGTCCCACCTCCACCTCCTACATGTAGGGGCAGCCAGAGGGCTCCGCACACTGCCGCCACTCCAAGCGCCAGCTCTGCAGCTCCCATTGGCTGGGAACTATGGCCAATGGGAGCTGCAGTGGTGGCGACTGTAGATGGGGCAGCACGCAAAGTCGCCTGGCTGTACCTCCACGTAGGAGCCGGAGGGGGGACATGCCACTGCTTCCAGGAGCTGCTTGAGGTAAACAGTGCCTGGAGCCTGCACCCCTGACCCCCTCCCATGCCCGAACCTCATGCGCCAGCACTGATCCCCCTCCTGCCCTCTGAACCCCTCAGTCTCAGCCTGGAGCACCCTCCTGTACCCCAAACCTCCCAGCCCCACCCCAGAGCCCGCACCCCCAGCCGGAGCCCTCACCCCCCCTGGCCCGGACTTGATGCGCTTCCCGCCCGCCGAACCCCTCAATCCCAGCATGGAGCACCCTCCTGCACCCCAAACCCCTCATCCCCAGCCCCACCCCAGAGCACCCAAACCCCTGCCCCAGCCCAGAGCCCCCTTCCACACCCTGAATTCCTCATTTCTGGCCATACCCAAGAGCCCACACCTTCAGCCGGTGCCCTCACCCCCCCCCCCGCACTCCAACTCCCAATTTCGTGAGCATTCATGGCCCGCCATACAGTTTCCATACCCAGATGTGGCCCTCAGGCCAAAAAGTTTGCCCACCCATGTGTTAAAGTGATAAGTCCTTTTGGAAGCTTTAAGTTGATGGGAAGGTTGGCACAGTTTGTGTATACCTTTTGAAGTCATACATGCACACTTGCCAGGGTTATCAAGCAGCACCATTTCACTTCAGAACTTCCAAGAAGAGAAAATGGGAGTTGGGATCTGGCTGATAACATTCACTGAAATAATATTAGAGCTGAAACTGATGGCTTTCAGGTGCCGCCTCCCCCTGCCCCCCCCCTTTTTTTTTTTTAAAAGCTCCCAGGCTAGGGTTGTTTAGTAATTTTGATGTCCAAACACAAGAGATTTATTACCCTCACTTGAAATGGTGATGTCCACATGATTTGGGAGCTTCCTTTAATTTCACCTCTGCACTCAAAGACAGTCTGATTTCACAACTTTTCCTATGTCATTTCATAGCCAGATTTAAAACTGGAAAAATTATCAGTGAAAAGCTGTTTTGTTCTTAAAAATAAAGTTTAAATTTAGAGTGAGGTGCTACATTTGGGATTTTTTCCCTAACTCAGTGTTTTTCAAAGTTTGGGTCGCGACCCAGTACTGGGTTGCGGCATGTAAGGCACTGGGTCGCTCTGGTCAGTACCGCTGACTGGGATGTTAAAGAGTCCTGTTGGCGGTGCTGCCCAGCTAAGACAGGCTAGTGCCTACCTTTCCGACACCACGCTGCATCCTGGAAGCAGCCAGCAGCGGCTCTGGCTTCTAGGCAGGGGGCCACGGGGCTCCGTGTGCTGCTCCCACCCCGAGGCTTGCGTGCCTCTGCCTAGAAGCCGGACCTGCTGCTGGCCACTTCCAGGGCACAATGCGGTTCACGGTGCCAGGACAGGCGGAAAGCCTGCCTCTGCACCCAGGCTGCGCTGCTGACCGGGAGCCGCCGGAGGTAACCCTGTGCCCCTATCCCCTGCTCCAGCACTGAGTCCCCCCCCCCCCAAACCCGGAACCCTTTCCCGCACCCCAAACCCTCATTCTTGACCCCACCCCAGAGCCTGCACCCCCAGCCCAGAGCCCCCCAAATGCAGACCCCCTCCCCCTTCCTGCATCCCAGACTCCAAATGTAATATGAATACATATACCAATACATATACTTCCTTCCCAAAAACTCAAGCTGCTAGCAAGCCAGCACTTTAATTATTAGAAGAAAAGTAAGACTGAATGTGTTTTTTCATTTAAAAAACATTGGTACATGAGCTGTTGAATTAACATAAGCAAATTGTAAAAACACCATGGAACTTGCTTAACCTTTGAAATGTCCTGCTTTCAGACCTGCTTTTAATCATCAAATATATCTCCTTCTTGGAAATACCACAAAAACTGTAGCCTGCACTGTGAGACTTGAATGGGCTGAAGTGGACTCATGAAACAACGAATGGATATTTATAAAGATTGTTCAGAATTTTTTTAAATCGTATACTTACTTAGTAAATATTTAGCTGTTTATGCAAGATATTAGAATAAAACTGCCAAAGATTTCCTTTGATAAGCCCATTGTAATTTCAGGCACGCTTATTGCCTTTTGTATCTCTATCTTACTGTGTTGTTTTTTTAATATTTGATACCATTTTTTCTTCATATATTGAAACTGTAAGCTATTTCTTAGTTGTTTGTCAAGGTCTTTTGACACCTGTCAATTGGGAGCTTGTTGCACTGAAATTGATAGTTTTGTACTTGAGGAGAGGTGACAGTTGCTTCCTCTAAATGACATCATTGTTCACAGCTTAAGGTAAGGGGTGCTATGAACAATGATTATTCTGTATAGAGAATAGATTTACACTGGAAGAGATGAGGATAATAAATGTTCAGGTTTCAGAGTAACAGCCGTGTTAGTCTGTCTCTAAGGTGCCACAAGTACTCCTTTTCTTTTTGCGAATAAATGTTCAGGATTTTTAAACAGAAAATGGAAGAGCTTTGACCTTGAAAACACATTATGCTGACCATAAAAATGGCACAGTAACTTAGGACAACAAATTTTATATTTGTAAATTAAGATTTTATTTTAATTTTCAGTTTTGATGGGATAGTTTGAGCTGTGACTTCTCCTACCTAGTAGGTTTGCTTCTATAAGGGCGTAGCTATCTTTTCTGTATGTTGCCCTTGATCAGATGTAGAACTCCCTTTAGGACTCACACACTAGCATCACAAGTGATATATAGTCCTCTAAGTACTGTATACTTTAATACATATTACTTAGTAGACTTGTAGCAGCTATGCTTATTTATGTTTTATATTATTGCCACAGTGTCAAGTATTATACATTGATTATGGAAATTCTGAGATTCTAAATCGATCAGAAATAGTTGAGATTCCAAAGAACTTGCAGTTTCCCAGCATTGCTAAAAAGTATAGACTCTGGGGACTACAGATTCCTCCTGACCAAGATTTAAATCAATTTGACCAGGTAAGTGATAGACTTCTAAATGCATGGATGATGAACTGTGTAACACATAAAGCCAACTATCTACAAATTTTCATGCTTAGGAATCCATAAAAGATGAATGGGGAGAATGTCTTTACCCATCAAGCTGAGACTCATGGGGGATATCTGTAAGATAGTCACATCTCTCACTGTTAATGAACTTTAAAAGCCAAAATGGGCATCTTAAAAAAAATCAGTGAAGATGCTATCTAGATAGCCAGTAGTAGATGAAGGATGGTCTTGGGAGCTCTAGGTTCTGTTCCTGGCTCTGTCACAAACTCTCTGACCTTGACTAAGTGATATGGCTCTCTCTCTCTGTTTCAGTGTCCATCTTTAACAGAAAATAATACTTCCCTAAATCAACAGGGAAGTATTCCCTGTTGGAGTGGATCATGAATCCATTGATGTTTGTGAGTTGCTCAGGGATGATGATGATGAGTGCCACAGAAAATATTTAAATAAATTAAATTCAGAGGAAAGAATGCTGGGTTGATGGATGGAACTAGAAAATACCTGCCCTCTTGCCATCAGTGAGCGTGAATTTGCTTCGTCTTTGGCACTTATACATTCAACTGGTGGCTTAGAGGAGAATCTGGAGATTGTTGTTAATCTTATAGTTGGAGGTAGTAACAATGCCTCTAGTAAAGGCTGCCTAACAAATTCCATTGTAACCCACTGTTTCCAGTTACTTATAATTGTGCCAAACTTTAACTGTTAGGGCTAAATTTTTCCATATCTGCTCTCTGCCTCAGGCTGAATTTGTTCAACCCCCCTCCCCCCCAAAAAAATCAGCAAAAACAGCTTATTCCAAGAAATGGCTGAGTTAAGGGTAGTTTTTTCTCTGTTAAGTTGTTTTCAGCTTGTTTTCAGCCACTTTTTTGAAGGGCTGTACCACATCCCATTCGTCTCAGCCTTCAAAGCTGCCAGTGTCTGACACTAGCAATCAAACTATCATTTCTGGTTTGATTGACATTTCCTAACTTTTGAATGCTTGATTTTTCAGTCTTGACATTTCAATTTTGATATTCACAATGTAGATTTTTATATGTAGTAATGTAATTACATTTGCATTCCATTTCCAGTGGTGGATATGTAGCTGATCATGCATTTTTATATAATTTGCTCTGTAGTAGTAAGGACTTATTTAAATGGGAGATATTTAGTGCTGTGGTTCAGCTTTAGCCATTTCATTTAAGTGACTCTGACCAATGTGGATAAAATGTTGACAGCTAAAATGGCAGGGGGAAGGGGTTAGAGGAATGGCACAAATCACATTATTATTTATAATATCTTTTCCTGTATTACTGAATGGTTAACCTTTTTATAATGCTGTTAAATATTTGGCCTGGGATTTTCAAAGTGGCCTAATGTAGTTTGGTGCCCAACTTCCATTGAAAGTCTAACTCCTCTAGGCTCCACTGAAGTCTTCAACAGATCTGTTTGCTGATGGAAAGTTAGTTGAGTTAAGCAAAGAGAAACTATTCACTATGAGCAGTTTTATAACTTCTGTACATTTATTTTACAGGGGAGAAAGTTCTTATGCAGTTTAATTTTTGAAAAAGAAATAAAAATGCGACACAAAGCCACATACCAGGATGGTACCGTTGTTGCCCAGGCAGAGTATGGAAAAGTGGATATTGGGGAAGAGGTGGCTAAGAAGGGGTTTGCTGAAAAATGCAAATCCCCTATAAATGCTAACAACTGCAAAGAGAAAAAAATAGATGTCGTTCCGTACAAACCCTGGAATGCAAAAGTTACAGCTCCAGCATGGGAGAACAGACCCAACCCTTCAGTATCCAATCGACTGAAAGGGCGTTTTGGTGACCAGATAGGTACCAATATGAGGAATGAAAATCATACTGGGAACCATATGCCTTTTGCGAAGTAAGACAGCGTGGAGTCTGATAGTGAATGTGTCACTGTTTTGATATAGACTCATTACTGAGCAGTGTGTATGTAGGAGAGGAAAGTGGAAAAAGCAAAAAGTGAGCAACTAAAGACAATAAATTTCAGCCCTTGCTAAGTGGATGTTTTGTCTCCTAAAAGCTCCATTTACTAAAGAGAACATTTTGGAATTTTTTTGTGGATTATATGTCCAATGGTTAGTTAAGGGATAACTTTTATTATTCTATAGTGCACAAAACAATAAATCGCTGCAGAGATTAAGCCATTTATGTGCCTTGTCTTTGCTTAATCCCAAAAGCCATATGTTCTGCATATACTAGAAAGCAAGAGATGTTACTGCCATCATACAACAAACTATAATTGGTACAAAAATATTATTAGTTTTAAAAATGCTGCACTTCTTTTGGGCTTTCTAGCAACATAATGAGTTATAAAGATAGCCTGTTCTAAATGATTGATTAAATTGGAGTTCGCACTCAAAGGGCTGGCTTTTTGAAACTGGGCTGTGTTTATGTACACATGGTGTCTCTTTCTCCCACTGTATATTACTGCTGCCGTGAATTGCAAGGGAAATTTATGAATGACCTGTGGACGTGGGTACAAAACTGACCCTGCAAAAAAGGAAGCCTGGTATGAAAATCAGGCCAAAAGTCTTTACACAATTCCGAAGAGAGGTCTGTACAGAATCAGGTTGGAAAACAGAAATTTTTTGGCATCCAATAGAACCAAATATAGAAGGCATGGTAAATTGTTCTCTTCCATCTCCTAATTCACTCCTCTTTCGTGTCTTCATTTTCTTTCCTTCTTTACGTTTAGGTATTTTAAAAAAAAGAAAGATTCCATCCTTCTTGAGAAAGTGCTTAGTGTAGGAAAGTGCACCGTGTAGGAAACTCCAGCCCCTTTAAGGGCTTTCAAGTTGGTCATCCAGAATCACTGGACACATTTCAAATCTTTGCCTGATACTCTTAATTATTGTTTTTATTTTCTCTAGCTGAAACTTGTCTTTCTTATTAAAGATGGTTCTTCTCTGTGACTCATTTCATTTGAGCTTTTATTCTCTTCAGTGTTATTACTCTTATCTTTACTATTTTATTAATCTGCACACTTGTGTAGCAGAGAGAGAGAGAGAGGGGTCATGCAGTGAGAGCACAGCTAATTCTCTATGTATTAACTATCTGAAGAATGTCCGTCCCTTCTTCCCCCTTCCCCCTTGCTCTTGGAAGAGCTTGGGGCCTGGCTGTTAAGAAACATTGATGAAAGTTGGGACAGTGGTTCCAAGGTAAGGGAGAAGATGATGTGCAAAGGTTTAGTTGAGGATTGAAGTTGCAAAGCATAGGTTCCCTGCCATAGTTTTGCAAAAGAGACAACACATTTATACATTATATAAGTATGCACTCACACATGTTGTTTTCAGCTTGTGATAGAGCATATTGGTTACTTGCGCTGGAGCTTACCTGATTTAGTCAGTCCATGTTAATTTTCCTGAATATTAAAAAAATTCACTGTCTAAAAATAGAGTATAAAAGTATATCTTTTGTCTGTTGGGGAAGGGAGTACAAGAGCTATGCTCAGATGAAATAAAGCCAAGTACTATAACTGGAAGTAAGTATGTGTCTGTACCTCTTGTGCTTACAGTGACAAGAGCTGGTGATGTTGGTCATAAATCTTTAAAAAGACACTCGTGGTAACTAGAGTTTCCAGGGTTACAATTTGCTGAAGAAGGGGAATGTGGGTGGGAAAGATGCTGCTCAGCAACCGAAAATATTAGACGGCAGAATAAGTTAATGTCTTCTAAAAATATATATATTTGAATTTCACTGGCTGTTCATATTTTCCTGATCTCCTCTGTCTATTTAGGAATTTTATAGAGAGCCCATCACTGAAGCATCTAAGGGCATGACTTCCCCCATGTTATGTGTTGCAAGATCACATTCTGGAACACCAGGATGTTTGTGCACATTGATGTTTGTTGGGACCCTAATTTGGAATGCAGCTCAGTTAGCTTGATAGTAAACCGCCTCATCCCTGAATTGCTTTGAAGTAGCCAGCACTGTTTCCTGAATTTTAGAGAAGCTCAGGGTCTGGTAAACAATCCATTCTTTCTTCCTTCCTGCTGCAGCAGCATTGTCCTCCATAATGTCCAGACTGGCCTAGGGAAATGGGCACCTCTGGGTAGAAAGGAGATCCTAGCTTTTTACTTCCTCCCATTCCCAGGGCTGTTTTTAATAATACTATGCATATCCTAAACTTTATTTAATGAGGTCTTTTGTACATATATGCCCATGAAGGAAACTCAGGCACAAAGAGGTTGTGGCATACCCAAGGTCACAAGGTAGTTTATGGCTGAGGTGGGAACAGAACTGAGATCTTTGATCTCTGATAAACTGTTTCAAATCACTGTTCTTAGATATGGGGGATAATATTTCTTGCCCATCTTTGTAGAGGTTTACACATGACCACTAATTGTAAAGTGCTTGGGTCCATTTTACAGACAGAAAATCTGAGTTACAGCAGGTTTAGACTTCCCAGTGCAGCATGTGATGTACTGAGTCTTTTGTTTTTTGGGAGGGCAGGGGGAAGAGAGAGGAATTAGATTTAAAATCTTTTACTGAAAATACTTGAATGTAGAAGAAGGTTTGTCCCAAGCAAGTGAAACCAAATAAAGGGGTGTGTGTGCCTTTTTTCATTGATGTATACAAATCTGTTTGAAGACCAGCGTGGGAAGGTCACACTTCCAAAGAGATGTGGCATAATTTAATCATGTATAATTGCTTATACAATAGATTTCTATTCTTGATCTGTATGACTAAGGTGTTCTTGACAGTCATGATTAAAGAATTGTCGTACCATTCTAAAATAAGCATCTTGATTCTGTTAATATTCATTTATTTTTAATAGGGAAAAATTGATGGCTTGTGACTTTATTATGGGGTCAAACATCAGTTTGGCAAAAATAAAACAGGATCAGAAACTGATTGAAGAGAATGAAAAGCTCAAAAAGGAGAAAGAGATTCTCCAGGAGGAGAATCACATTCTCCTCCACAATTATAAAGAACTAGAATCGACGATTGCACAGCTGAACCATCAAGTGCAGGTACGTGAAAAAGCGAGGGAGATTCTCCTGGTGCCCTTTCCATCCTCACCATCAAGATTGCTTTAGATTGGAAACTTCATAATCTTGCTGTAGTAGGATACTTACCTGTCTAATAGGCTTATCTGATTAATTTCTATGGAAATCTGTCTTCCACAGTAGACTGAATCTTGCTTCTGGCATATAGACTGAAACTTCTTTCGTACAGAGGAGAGGTCACGTTGGCTTTGAAAACATCAGATTATGTTGACTCATCCACAACTTGAGTCACATAACTGGATGAAATAGATTGCTTCTCTAACTGTGGTGCCAAATAAAACACAAGTGTATGTGTGTTATACTCCACAGTAAAAGATGTTTGTTCTAATTGAGAAACATAGTACTTAGTACCAGACTTACTGATTGATTTTGAAAATGGATAAGTGGAATATGGTGTGAAAGAAGATGCTTGACCCAAATTATCAAAATGAGAGCGTGTCTCCTATGTTAAATGAATCTTGTGTTAGCTCAGGTTTGAATAACATGAGATATGTACATTTCAGAACTGTTGAAAGAGCTGGTTACCTTTGATCTGATTCCTTGAGGTTGGGCAGTTGAGGTGGGTGCGTGTCTACGTCCCATTCTTCCAGAGATGTGCATTTGTGGAGGCCAATCGTCCACTGTGAATACAGGTTTTGGGGTATTGATAGAGTAACTGGCACACAGGCGCCTGTCTCCTCTCCCGTTCCTACTGGACAGCAGATCAAACTGAAACAGACAGGGAGGAGAACTCAGGACTGGGAGTGCAAGTGAGAGGGAGCAGGAATGTTCAGACCCAGCTTTGCTGCCCAGTAGCACTGCCATATCCTGTGGTGAATTGCCTCTCTTTAGGAGGGCAGCTTTTCTTGCCTCATCTCTCCATGACTGATCAGTATGCAAAAGTCATCACCAGCGCTTCTGTCCTCTGAAGATACTATCAGATCTTTGACAGGTTTCAGAGTGGTAGCTGTGTTAGTCGGTATCAGCAAAAACAATGAGGTGTCCTTGTGGCACTTTTAGAAACTAATAAATTTATTTGGGCATAAGCTTTCATGGGCTAAAACTCAAAGTGGGTTTTAGCCCATGAAAGCTTATGCCCAAATAAATTTGTTCGTCTCTAAGGTGCCACAAGTAGTACTCGTTTTTATCAGATCTTCGTAACTCCAGATAAGTCGGAGTAACGTTGGTATGTCTACACTGCCGTTAAAAACCCACGGTACCAGTGGACTCTGGCTCGGGATAAGGGGTTGTTTAATTGTGGTGTAGATGTTTGGCCCAAGCCCAATGTCTACACCAAAATTAAACAGCCTCTTAGCCTGAGCTGTGGAAGCCTGAGTCAGCTAGCATGGGCCAGCTGGAAGTGTCTAATTGCAGTGTACGCATACCCCTTAACAAACAAGGTGGCAGCCAGTGGCCTGTAAGTGAAGTTGTTTGAATGCCTGGAGTACAGATGAGCCCTTTTAAAGGAGATAGAATCTCTGCCTTCTAAGAGTTCTGCTGGCTTTCTTCTCACTTCCTAAGATGAAAGGTTGAGTGCCTTTTTGTGTTAATCATGCATAGAATCATAGAATATTAGGGTTGGAAGGGACCTTAGGAGGTCATCTAATCCACCCCCTCCTCAAAGCAGGACCAGTCCCCAACTCCATCATCCCGTCCAGGGCTTTGTCAAGTCTGACCTTAAAAACCTCAAAGGAAGGAGATTCCACCATCTCCCTAGGTAACGCATTCCAGTGCTTCACAACCCTCCTAGTGAAGAAGTTTTTCCTAATATCCAACCTAAACCTCCCCCACTGCAACTTGAGACCATTACTCCTCTTTCTGTCATCTGGTGCCACTGAGACCAGTCTAGATCCATCCTCTTTGGAACCCCCTTTCAGGTAGTTGAAAGCAGCTATCAAATCCCCCCATATCCTTCTCTTCTGCAGACAAAATAATCCCAGTTCCCTCAGCCTCTCCTCATAAATCATGTGTTCCAGACCCCTAATCAATTTTGTTGCCCTCCGCTGGATGTTTTCCAATTTTTTCACATTTTTCTTGTAGCGTGGGGCCCAAAACTGGACACAGTACTCCAGATGAGGCCTCACCAATGTCGAATAGAGGGGAACGATCACATCCCTCGATCTGCTGGCAATGCCCCTATATATACATCCCAAAATGCCATTGGCCTTCTTGGCAACAAGGGCACACTGCTGAGTCATATCCAGCTTCTCGTCCACTGTAACCCCTAGGTTCTTTTCTGCAGAACTGCTGCCTAGCCATTCGATCCTTAGTCTGTAGTGGTGCTTGGGATTCTTCCGTCCTAAGTGCAGGACTCTGTACTTGTCCTTGTTGAACCTCATCAGATTTCTTTTGGCCCAATCCTCTAATTTGTCTAGGTCCCTCTGTATCCTATCCCTACCTTCCAGCATATCTACCTCTCTTCCCAGTTTAGTGTCATCTGCAAACTTGCTGAGAGTGCAGTCCACGCCATCCTCCAGATCATTAATGATGATATTGAACAAAACCGGCCCCAGGACCGACCCTTTGGGCACTCCACTTGATACTGGCTGCCAACTAGACACGGAGCCATTGATTGCTACCCGTTGAGCCCGACAATCTAGCTAGCTTTCTATCCACCTTATAGTCCATTCATCCAGCCCATACTTCTTTAACTTGCTGGCAAGAATACTGTGGGAGACAGTGTCAAAAGCTTTGCTAAAGTCAAGGAATAACACGTCCACTGCTTTCCCCTTTTCCACAGAGCCAGTTATCTCGTCATAGAAGGCAATTAGATTAGTCAGGCATGACTTGCTCTTTGTGAATCCATGCTGACTGTTCCTGGTCACTTTCTTCTCCTCCTCTAAGTTCTTCAGAATTGTTTCCTTGAGGACATAACCATGTTTAAATTAAAAGGTTGTGACATAGTACATAAAAGACAAGTCTTCCCTTCCCATGGCTGCATGCTGGGTGGAGCAATTTAGATAATTGATTTTAAAAAATCTTCTTGATTTATATCAGTTTGAGGCTTCCTAAAACTAATTGGAAAATGATTATTATTGCAACTTTAGATTAAAATTTAATATGAACTCAACTATATATGCTGTTTGTTCTGAATGGCACTCCTAGTAGGGTATCTTATTTAAGTTTTACAAAACTGGTACAGGCCTCCCCTCCGCGCCCCCCCCCCCCCAAAAAAAGAAAAAAAAGCTGAAAGTAAAGGACCTGATCCTGCTAATAGTTATGCAGGTATATAATTTACTTACAGATGTTCCTGTTGATGACATTTTAATGAGCATAAGTATTTGCAGCGTCCAGGGCTAAATTGCTTTTATTAAAAACTGTACTTAGCCTTTGACCCTTCAAAACAAAATTTCTGTGTTCAAAATAAGCTTCTAAATAACTTTTCATGGTTAACTGTTTAAATATACATACACCAAAGTTTTCAAAAATAGGATAAAATTAGGTGCCAAGACATGGATTTAGAAGCCTGAGTGTGATTTTTTTTAAAAGCACCTAAATGATTTATGTGCACAAGTCCAGTTAACTGCTCGCTGCAAACCCTGATCAAGGAGTGTAGCCTGGTATGAGTTTTTTTCATCTTTATTGATTTGTGGAAGTTCAGTATATTGGAAGAGTGATATTGATTGCAAATATAGCACAGGGTATTTGCTTATCAATTGGTGTTTGCATTTGTGGTGTTCGGACAGTAAAAATGTTAATGGGGTCCTGGACTTGTTTTTTTCAGCATCGATGAGCGTTTTAAGTGTAATATTTCTTAGTGGGAGGAAAATCTCAATAAAATCTGAAATTCTGCAAACAGTTAGGAAACGGAAGAAGTACAAAGCATCTCCTTCAACGATTTAAGACTAAAAGGGGAAGAAAGTAAAGAACTAGCAATATTTAAATACAAAAATATAATTTTTTAAAACCATTATTTTCATCCACCATAGGTACATGATCATATATAGCCATTTTGTCTGTGCTGGGCACAGACGTGTCTGTATTTTATTTCTAGTTAAAAATCCCAATAATACTGTGTTTTAGTAATCTAGGCCAATGATTTAACCATTATTTGTGTCCTTTGTCACCCCTTCTCTGTCCCCACCCGCCAAAAAATCAATAATGCAGGAAGAAAAGGAAGCATCTAAGGAAACTCTTAAACATCTGGGGGAAACTCTGCATACGTATGTAGGAACTAAACTGAGAAGTTTGGCTGCCCAGGTTGAGGTACTGAAAGAAGTTAGGTATGTACACGTTTTTTAACTGTACCAAATTACCACTGCTGTATTTTTTTCTTTTAAAATGAGTGCATGCTATTTGTTCCCTCATTCAGTTTTAATTTTTGTAGTCATTATTTTCATTCTGCTATTTTCCTTTTAACAAAACTAACACGAAAAGCCGTAGAGAAGTCTTTTGGACTTGCTACTACAATCCTTGACTGAAATCTGCAGCTTTTGTATCCAGCTGTCAAGTTGGTAGACTAGTCCCTGCCTTCCAATGTTGGTTGGATAGATCTGAAGATTTTAGTTAAGATCTTCGTATTTCTTTCTTACTATCATAGCAAACAGCTTGAAATTCCTATTCAGAGTCCTCAGGCAGTTTCTGATTAAAGTTGTTAAAAAGTATGAGCACAGTGAAATACTTTCACTGCTGATCATCGGCTAGCCATTCAAATTACACACCCTCTATCTGGGATGGGCTTTTAGAGCGCATGCTACTATTGTTATTCAAGCTAGCTAGATCAGAGCTAACTCAGGTATGGTGCAGTGTGCTGTGGCCACACCTTTGATTGCAGTGTAGACATAAGTCTTTCCTGTGGTTCCCTCTCTGTGCTGCTTTGTTTTGTGTTGCCTTTTTGTTGTGTGTAGATTGCAGAGTGAAACAAAATGAAGCAGTACAGGGCAGCTGTGGAAAGGGGCTGTGCTGGGAGAAGTCTAGGATAGAAGTGACATCAATTCTAGTGAGAAGGAAGTCACTATAGTGTGTTTAAGAGATAAAATGGATGAGCTTTTCAAAGAGAGAGGTGCCTAGGGTAGAGAATAAATCTAAGAAAAATGAACAGACAAAATATAAAGGGAGAGAATGAGAAAGCACAGAGCAAGAGAGAAAACGCAAGTGTAGCCTCTTATACTATTGAATATTCATATATACCTGTTACTTCCTGCAATATTGTGTTACTTGCTGGCAGATGTCATACCGTTTCATTATCTTCTTTTTTGAGATGGGAGTGGGTGAGAATACCTGCAGGGACAAGTGAAAGTTCTGCTGACTCACTGTTATTGGATATGAAATTAGGTTAATGTGGCAGGTTTTAAAAAACAATTATGTGCACCACTATTGAGTAATATTGTTCTAATATTGTTTCAAGCTATGAAGAAAAGTGTTTTCCAGCTAAATATTCTTGTTTAATTCTTTCTCTCCTCACCACCCAGGTGTGCAAATATGAATGTTCATTTTGGAGATGACCTCTTCAGAGCTGTAAAGGAGGTTACTGAAAGGTGTCTCATTGTTCCGTCTTCCTTGGGAAAGTTGGAGAAGATTTGGGCAGAATATAACTTGGCTCAAGAGATGATTCAGTTGTGCAAAAATGTGGTGGGTTGGATGTTTTTTCCTCAGAGCGGTAATTTATAGCATGTTGATAGAGTACATTAGTCTTATAAAGTGAACTATGGTATCATGAATAGAGAATGGAAAAATCTACCTTGCCTCGGGAAACTGCAACATTTTCCAGGAATGAAAAATTTGGATTGTTTGCTTCATTTTGAAGAAAATTAAACTTTTGACACTCCTGACTTAAATGAGGCTTTTGGGGCATTCAGAGCCATTAGAACATGGCAGGTGAAGGTTATTGGTATGCTCCTTGCTCAGAAGGCGAGGAGATGTGATATGGGTTTTAACCAGGCTGCAACTTTATTAGTCAAATTACATCCAAGGTTCCCATCGGGGAACAGTCCAGTGCAGTGACTTGCACCCCATTGATCTTTTGCCTTTTCTTGGGGCTCCCACTACAGAGGGAGCCAATCATCAAACTAAGAAGTTCTCTGTGCGCCTCCACTCGCTCTCTAGCATGTCCCCTTTGGTGGTTGAGGCGAGAGGGGACCTTGGCACCCCTCTCCCCCCCAGCCAACATTGCTATCAAGCACATTGATGGGGCAGTCCCCCTGCGGTAGTATCCTAGCCCCTGGTTTCTACTTGCCCTCTGGGGGTTAGACACATGCCCCATCATTGGGAGGCTGCTATGTTACCTTTTTGGATCTGGAGCCTAAATCAGCAAGTTCCTGCACTGGGTACCTGCCAAAAGTTGTGGCAAGTGAATGTCTCTCCAATAGATCCAAACTTTGCCCTCCGGGACAGGGAGAATCCCAGCCCTCTGGTTGCCCAAAACTCAACCCCTAGATTTCATTGTGAGGAAGGTGAGAAAACCTCACCAACCTTGGCCAGTTTATGGTATGTAGAAACATTCCTTCCCAGCCCCAAAGTGGTGACTACCACAGCCCGCAGCAACCTAGATAAGGGAGGGAATGTTGGTTGACTGCTGGAAGCCAGCAAACAGAAGTGGCCTTGAGCACGGGGATCCTATCATGGCTGCAAATCTTGTGCCAAATCCCGTGAGACCGTAAGCCCACCCTGGAAGTTCTGAGGAGGCTGGCAGTCTTATGGGATCCACTCCCTGCTGTTTGCCCCTTCTTGTTGTGTTAGCCATCAAAACACACCCCTTCCTAGGCTCAGGGCTCTTTTGTGTTGTTATTAAAGTTGAAACTAGTTTCCTATAACGTTGGAGATTGTGTCTCTCTGTCACACCCCACAAGTGATCTTTGAGACAGTATGCTAAATACAGGAGAGCTCTATGTTCCCTCTGTGTAGTAGGGAGAAAACAAAAGTGTTAATGATACAGAAATGGGTGTGGTGATCTAGTGTAGGAGAGAGCATGCCACCCAGCATAGCCATTGGCAGTCTCTTTACGTCAGTTAACTTGATTGGAGCCGACCCAAGTCAGGGAAAGTTCTAGTTATGTGCTTTACTGGTGATTGATGGGCAGGACAGGGTGGAAAAGGGGGATCCCCCTCTCCATGTCCCCCATGTATGGCTCCAGCATTGGGAGAAATCAAAGAGAGGAGTGGTTGAAACCAGTGTTCTGTGGAGTCCTTGGAACGAGCAAGAGAAATCAATGGTGTGTATATGTTTTGGGGACAAAGATGAGGGGATTATACTTCCGCTAGCAGGAGGCTGCTTCTACCTCAGGTACTTCTCCAAAGCTACCCAGGAGAACGGGGAAAGGAGCCGTTATTCACACAGCACCCCTCTCTCCTCCAATGTGCGTGCACACATGTTATTTTCCCCTGATTGCGCTCCCAAGTGGCAGCTTCTTTAGGCTTCCCTTACAGGCTTCCTGTGCACTACATCCCTCTTTGGTACTGGCTTGTGCTGCTGCATGTTCTGTAATGTTTACCTACCTCATAATTCTGCTATAGAGGCTAAAATAATGTTTGCAAGGAGTCTTGAGTTTTTTTTATATGGAGGATGCTGTAATATAGCTTTATCCATTATCTCAAAGGACTTTGCAGAGCAAGGTAAGAGTATCATAAGTGCAAAGTAACTTTTGTTATTAATACATTTATCCCTTTCTGTATAACCTACCTGGGAGAGTCACTATGACCAAGTTCAGCAGTTCTGCAGATAAAGTGAACCCTCAGGATTCATCATTGCTAGAAAAGATAACTTTATCTTACAAAATGTGAGACCAGTAGACAATGTGTCATGAATTTTCTCCTAAATTTAAGAAAAAACATTTGAAGTAAGTCTATTTACTTCCCAAGCACTGCAGAATTATACTGATGCATTAGCTCGTGAAATGGACTAGAAAATTACTGTAAATAGAAGAGAAACAAGTCCCTTTTCCTCACCATGCATGAGCAATATTTAAACTAAACAATAGTTAAAAAGAAACTCTTTTTAAATTTTCAGCTTTTAATGATCCAGTAGGTTAATTGTAAACAACATAAAGAGATTTGTTTTTAAAAATAGTGTTTAACTTTGCTCTGCGTGAGTAACACCCACTACGAACACATATGTTAACAGTAAAACAAATGAGCTTGTTATAATTTGTTTACAGAGAGGTGGTCAGTAATGAAGAGAAATAGGTTGGTTGCCAGGGCTTTGATATTCAAAGTTGTTTAAGAGTAGCAGCAGAGAACAAAGAGAAAGAAGGAGCTTACAGCAGTCTTAAGAAAGAAGGAGCAGTCTTAAGGATTTATTTAAGTGACTTGTCCTTGGGAACATCCTTCATCCCAGATGAAGCAGCAGCAGTTGAAATCTTTTTGAGATACATGGGTTAATCAAATATGAGCAGCAGAGGACAAATAAAACAAAGATCCAGACTAAGAGTGAAACCAGCACTTGAGTGATCTGCAGAATTCATTTTAAGGTCTCCCTCTCCCACCACCTCTGATTTGCTACAATTCATTTATGGAAAAATCACTTAGGGAAAATAAGCTGAGCAAATGCTAGAAGTGACCTGATGCGTGAAGAGGATCTCTCTAGTCTCAACAAGTTCGTTCTCTGTGAGATAATTGGATAAGTTTGGAACTGTCTGCAACCAGCCTGTAATTTTCTGTGAAGAGATTTTGTAATAGTGTATTACAGCACACCGAATTGTTACATGATAAACATCATGAAGGGAAGATCTCTTCACATGGCAACTTTTTGTTAATCCTGATATGCTCTAATTGGTGGGACATAGCATTGGGGTTCCACTCCCTGCTTGTTGTGGATGGCTAACAGTATGACAAATGCTACACACCCAGTAGAAAAGTTTCTTTTTACAAAACTATACTTTGGATCATGTTTGACCTGATATGTCTCCAATTACATAGAATCTAGCTATCATCTTGTTTGGAATCTTGTTTGAGCGCTCTGACTGTGCAGTGAAGAGAACAAGAGTTCCTGCGGCAGGGTTACAAGTAGCATGAAGAGGAAAAGTTGAATAGACAGGTAATAGTGCCAGGGGACAGGCAGGCCTGAGAGGAGCAGAGGACATACAAATGGGGAAGTGTGTTCAGGCTTAGAGCAGCCTGAAGAATTAATTTAGACACCAATTCCCCAGGTGAAGTAGCAGCAGCTAGAGGCAGAAAATTTTGCAGCTCCAGTGGGATTTGTGGGGCAAGTACCTCTGAAGTCTTTGGGAAGTGTAGAAGAAAGAATTTGAGTTGTAGTGACTCAATACCAAAACACTTTTCTTAAATAAAAAAATTTCTTGTTTTTAACAAAAGCTGTCTTGTTTTTAAAGGACATAGAACTTTTCTAATGAATTACCTAAATTTAAAATCCATGTGTAAGTGGAATAACACACTCCATAGAGTGTTAGTTAAAAATCACCTCTATTGGGTTGATGAAAACACAAGGCATGCACCTCAAAGGTTGATTAATATACACCTAATCATCATTACATACATCTAAATAATTTTGCTCTAAATGTTGACTTTTAATCTATCTACAGTTGAACAGGTCTCAAAGATTGAGAAATATTTGTCTTCAAAATTGTCTGATGATTTTAATTCCATATGCAGTTTGAAATGAAGTGCATAAAAACCCAGTGAGCCCAAATAGGCAATGGACAGAAAATTTGTTGATTATGTCTACTTGCTCATTCTGTCCATTTAACTCATTAAAACAATTTTTATTAGCTCCTTCATGCTATGCACTAGCCTTAGGAACATTATTGATATTTCCTCAATTCTTCCTTCTCTACCCTCTCTGCTATGTTGGTACTTTATCTTGTCACATCTCTAATTAGTTTGTAAGATCTCTGAGGCAAGGATCTTTTCTTTTTTTTTTTGGCAGGCCCATAACATAGTAAATAACACATGGACAAGTAAACCCAATACAGGACTGGTTGCATGAGGAATATAATGCTAGTTGCAGGGCAAATTATATAATATGATCTTAATTTTCAGCATCTTTACTTCCCCCAGTTTTTTTAGACTGACTTAACTAGATTCTTCCAATTTTTGTGTGTACAGCCTGCAATGGGTGGCTTTTGAGCCTGTATAGTAAGTGTAAGGTAAAGCAGACCTGATATGGAATGAGATGTATCTAGATGCAGTTTGGCAAGTTCTTGACCCCATTTTTTTTTTATCAGGACTGGGTTTATGTATACTGTGAAGGTCTTCCCTTTCCTAGTGGGCCTTGAGAGTTATATCTCTGCCTTAGTGCTCCATGTGGAAAGTCTCTAATTTTGGTGTTTTTTGCCTCTGGCACAAGTGAACAGGCACAAGTGACCAATTAAATGGTAGACATTTTGGGGATACTAACACTATTGATCTTGAGCCGTTTGTTGGTTTCCCAGACTTACTATGTTGGGGGAGGGGATATAACCCCCCCCCCCCGCACCACAGTAACATTTAACTTTTAAAAATAGGAGGTACACAAGAATGAGGATGGCAGTTAAATGACATATTAAAAAGAACAATCATAAGGGTAACATGCCTGCAAGCAGCATGAGGACTATTTAAAAACACCATAATAGAGGCTCAGAGTAAATATACATCCCAACATCAAAAGAGACAGGAGGACCAAAAAGAATGGCTAAACAG